CAATTGTTCCTATTCGCCTCTTCAGTTGTTTCGCCCCCTCTGTGGCTGAGGAAATCACCGAGAGTCTGGAAATTAGATTATCTGATGTGGCGTCATGACTTCAACTGGCTGAGGCTTTGTGCATGACGAGGCTTTTGAGTGCGGCGATTAATTCATGCTGGTGCTCCGACCTGTCTCGGATGCGGAGATTGGATGCTCTGATCAGGCACTGCGGGTGTGGCTGGTGAGTGTCTAGCCTTTGCTGAGTGGACTTCAGGATGGCAAATCTTGCATCTTGCCAGCTGAGGTGGACGATTGAGTGAGGCTTAGAAGCTTGATCTGTCGGTTGATGGGGAAATGACACCACGGATGCAACAAAGCAGTGATCTGGTGGGATGAGATGAGATGAAGGTGGGTAAGTTGTGTTAGCAGGCAGCACAGTTGTTCAACATGAACAAACTGCCCGAATCAGCCTCGCCAAATATACATACGATGTGTAATTTCAGTGTTATTCAGGTAGTACCGGGTCTATTTGCTGCATATGCACTCATAAATGCGTACGTAAATTCCATACCGTATGGTAATTTAACATATAGTATTCATGTCTCTAGAAGCACATCTTCATCATCATGAGCCATCCTCAGAAGTATACTCCGCAGGCAGATGCAGTACTACAGCCTCCACAGACAGCCTCGGATCCTAATCTCGTGTTTACTCATTGCCTTGGCTTATTCGTCCACGTTAGCAAGCTCAGCATACCGATTCCCTAACCCGCAAAAGCACTGCTTGGATCGTTCAGATCCCGTATCCTCTGATCCTTTTCTACCCAACACATCCTCCATCGCCCAGGCAATACGCTCCGCTCCTAGCCTCGCTCCCTCAAGATTGGCAGCACCGGGTCCCAGACGAAGGGACCCCAACCGGCCCGTCAAGAAAAGTGGCACGTTCGATTGCCACATCAAGTCATCCGTGATGCAAGGCAATCCCTGCTTGGTTTCAATCGGATATTCACGGTTCATGCGCTGGAGCAATGGGAGCTCATTCACATCGGCCTGCATGCCTGTTGCAAAGTATATATAATCGATGCGAGGAAGTTCAGGGATCGGAGGATCTGTCGTAAGACGCCATGTGCGCGAGGCGCAGTACTCCTTGCCGCAGATGACGGTGCGTGGGTGTATAGAAAGCCGATGGGCTGCCACATGTTGCTTCAGAATCTTCTGATACCGTGGCGTGATACTGCCGCCATTACGCGCCGCTTTGATCATCTCAAGGCGTTCCTCGTCCGTGTCTGCGGACCAGAATGCTGCCTTTTCGAAGTTCTTGAACTTGCCCATCCAGTTCAATGCGAGGTCGAAGTGCTTGACTAGAAGCCATCTGGTCAGCATCCCCCACCTCTGAATGGAACATGCAGTGAGGCTGTGCAACATGCCCACTTACCTTTAAAATCCGACCTCAAAAGAAACCATACTTTGGTCACCCCTCGCCGAATGGCCATGTCCACCACTTGCGCTGACGACAGTCCGCCCCCAACAACTACCACGTTCGTCTCCTGACGTTGCTTAATCTTGGCCTTCACATTGATACTCGGAAACATGCGAATCTCCGTGCTATGACAAGCACCTTGCTCTTCCTCACCGGACAGCTTGAACGGAAGTATCTTCGTCCTCCCCGGCCCAATAGCCAGCACCACCACACGACTATAAAACCGATTGCCCTCCGCCGTAGTAACAGTAAAGATCTTGTCAGACGGCGACAATTCTGAATGATAGTCGTATGATATATCATTTACTTCGCACTGCCTGATCATCCCCGGCGCGTCCAGCCCGTACCGTGATACAATGCTCCCACAGTAATCTCCAAACAAATCCGTTGACGGCGAAAAGTAATCTTTACGATCTCTTTCATCAATCTCCACTTCCCCAACGGCCCTGATTACCCACATAGTTAGCAAACAGAATGACAGTCACTGTATGTAACGAAGGATTCACTCACTGCGCCCTCGACCTCATCTTCTTCTTCTTATGCTTACTCAACTCCTTCCCCACGCACCCCGAAATCTCCCATAAATCCCTCTCCCTTCTGACCTCCCTCGTATACGCCAACATCCCATCCCGATCCCTGGGATCCACATGAAAGAACATCGGGCTCCTCAGCTGCTCAATCTCTAATGTCTTGAACGCCCTGTTCCATCTCTCCATCCACTTGTCCCCTGAACTATCCAGTACGAGCGTAGATATGCCCCCATTCTCATCCCCACCCTTACTCCCCTCTCCCATATACATACCCTCACCAGACGAAACAGACGAAGACAACGACGGTGGAGCAGAGCCAGAGCCAGAAGAAGACGAAGACCCCCTCCGTGAATAATGGGTGTCATCATATTTTTGCCACTTCTCCGCCTTGACGCCCTTCAGTTTCCCGCGGTGCGCCTGCACCAGCGCCATTCGGCCACTGTGCTTGTTGATCCAGTGGTAGCGTTGGTGTTCGTCGTCGGTGAACATGGCGGAGGGGGTTTCTTCACGGAGGCGTGCGGCGACTGCTAGGCCGCAGGGGCCGGCGCCGATGATGAGGACATCGAGGATGTCCGGGAAGGATGTCGATGATTGTGTGGTTTTGCCTACCATGTCTGGTTGGATTGGTATGTGGTATATGTATTGTGTGGAGTTGGTGGTAGTAGAGGCTTCGCGGGAAGTAAGTATAATATAATATAGTAAATTAATTGATTGATTGATTGTTCAAGTCTGTGCAAGTAGCAGGGTTTATATTCGATAGATAGATAGGTGATATATGATGGTGGTACTCATCACTCCCCCGGGTACTTGGATCCCCAAGGTCCTTGTCGCCCAAAATGGAAAGTCGGGATCCTCATTATTGATAATGTGTTTGAGACTGGGGAAGGGGTTTGAGGACCTTGGAGGCGATTGCAGAGCATGATCTGCCAGAGTTTATATCATTGTGAGTGATTTTTGACGCTATTGATAAATTGCTCTACTAGCTACAGTATACTATGGAATAATGCTTGGTTTTAACACTTGGAAAGACATTACATTACTATAAAACAAACCCTATACAACAACAAACGTAATTAGCAGCAATGAGAAACCTGTCTCCGCTAAAATTATCGTATATTATTTGTGCCACTTTTTGGCTCTGGGTTCCGTCGTCATTGCACGGGAACGAGGAGCTCCTCCCCCTTCTCGACGATGCCACGCATCCTGAGGCCACACCCAGCCTCGCACGCGCTTTGCATCACGGCGTTCTCCAATCTGGGGCTCTGGAATCCATTTGTCTTTCTTTTCTGGTAGGATGCGCTGCCGGGTCAGAGCACCTGGGCCTCCCACGTTGAGATGGGCAGACGGTTGTGACGGCAAGGGAACCGATTTTGAAAGCATCAGCAAAAAGTACAAAGCTAGACTGGCGGTCATTGGCACGTCCAGCTCGTCGGAATCCGAAATTGGATAACTACCCAGTACGGGAGACTGACTCGCCAAGGAACTGTCGCTGGATGGAGTGGGCGAATGCGGATAGTCATAAGTACTGGAATACGGCTCTGAGGCGTGCCCACGCTGGTTGATCGCGAGCTTTGTCGGAATTGGCGCAGACAGCTCCAGGAAGCCAAAGTAAGGCACATCATCGCCCTCATCACAGCCTGCCCGCACACACACGAGCTCGATCTCGGTAAGAATGAAGCCGTAGCGGCAGGAATGTTCGCGCATGCATCGTTGCAGGTGTGCCAGGCCGTTCAGATACTCCACTCTGCGATGAGGCGCTTCGTTGCGCATTCCTGTGTTCCAACGGTCGAAGGTCTTGACAATACCAACGAGCCGTCCTCTGGTAAGGCCTGAGCTTGTTCGTTCGGTGTCTGACGCATAGTTGGCAAGAAAATGTGGCCCGCCATAGTTCTTGTTAGGTGACCCTCGCGGGATAGGAACAGCGTAAAGGGACAAGTGGTCCGGGCCTTGCGAGACTGCCAAGGCAGCATTGATACGAGGCGCATAGATGTCTCGGATGACGTTGACTAGAGCTGGCTCGCAATCTGGGGACAAATAAGAGCTCGGAAGGATATTGAGGGGCGTGAGATGTGAAGGGATTGCGGTTTTGAGAAGCTTCGGCAGACCACTGATAGAATTGAACGTGGCTAGGGAGAACGAAGTCCAGCTGCGCAGGTTCCGAATGTCCCACCAAAAGTAATCGTGCAAGCCTCGTGTCGGAATTACGTTCACGTTGCGCACGAGGTTGATTGCTTGTGTCGGGGTGGTAAGGTACGAGAGCAAAGTGGTTGACTGAGAGTTCGTCCTCTCGGTCTGGTGAACGAGGCCGATAGGAGAGCATTGTGCACTCGACGCTCGCACGTAACCGTATGGAGAGCCAGGAAGCATAAGTGGCACCTGCACCGGAGGCCACACTTTGGGATTGTATGGCTCGGCTGGCGAGTGTGGCGCATAAGGTGGATACACTATGATGTTGGGTGTGGCGGGTGTAGCTGGTGTGGTAGGGGAACTCTGAGGTTGAGAGGCGTATCTGATGACCTGTCGATATGCTGGATATCCGCATCGACTTGTTCTTGGATCTTCAACGTTGGAGGCAGATACTGATCGAGAGTGCGCGCTCGTCGCCTTGCGCTTCTGCGCCGGCGTTACACTCACGGGAGATGATAATGACGAGCCATTGCGAGTGGTATACTTCGGCGACGCCACCGCCGGGGATGCAATAGGAATGCATCCCGAGGCCTCAACAGCAACCCGATGGCTTGACCGGCGGTTGGGGGGAAGCGATAAAGAGCCAGGGGGATTGCGTGTGTTTGACAGCACTCGCCGTTGACGATGGGGTCCACTGGTAGGTGGAGGCTCAATCACAACGTCTTGAGGTCTGATCTTCGGAAGAAGAGTAGGCCCATGGTGATGCTGCGGGGGCGAATCAACTACAGGGCTGGTAGCCGACGTGATGACGGACCAGGGCGACGAGTTGTTGGAGTAAATAGAAGAATCAGAAGCGTTGCGGCTATGCCCCGTTCCGGTATATTCTTGCAGATGCAATGCAGGGGGGGTAGAGGGCCGGTAATAAGAGTACTCCACAGACATCTTGTTATATTAAGTCACCGTAGGTCTGAGACGATATATCAAAACAAGGTTGCCGACTGATAGCTTGGGGAAAGTCCAGCTTCCCAAAACGTATCAAACAGGGAATGCTCGAGTAAGAAGCTAAAGTCGAAAGAATAGAGAAGAAAGAGGTGCACTAGGCGAAAGAAGATACAATGTTGTCGAGTTCGATTTGTCTTGGTGAACGACTTCACTGAACTGTGGCATATCCAGACTGGAGAACGGTTGGATATTAAATGTTCTTCAACCTGGGGCCTATAAGTCCCTTGATCCAAAAAAAGATACAGAATCAATCGAATTGTCTGCAGGGACATGAAACAGACATGGCTCCATTGCGACAGCCAGTCGCTAACCATACTAGGTATCCATGATGGAGATGGTAGGGCCATCGACACAGATTTGTCGATAGCTGCTTGGATGTTGTGCAGAGCAAACGATCCTAGGGCAAGCGAAAGCGTTTCATCGACAGTCGCGCGTCAAAAAGTTTCTATATTTGACATCTTTGTCGCTTCTTCAGATCTGAACCAGGCTGTCGGTAGTCTATTCCGACGATGGTTCGTCCGGAATCTGCACAGGATCTATATTTGGGCAACATTGGGTGTTTCGTCTATTCTGGGTAATTGTAGCTAGATCGATGGGTTCCCGTAAAGGCGTCACGCCTGGAGCATCTATTAGTCGGCGGCAAGCAGATGTTTGGCGTAAAAAAATAAAACGCAAGTGACTGGTACCATTCCACGGCGTGTAGTGCTTGAGGGGGTGCCGTTGTAAAGTTAGCCGCCGAGGTTTGATAGCAGGGCCTGGGGGAGCCGCAGCCCACTCACCGGGCATTGGCTATTGCAGTCGAAGCTCGTAGATTGAAATCGAATACTAATCCACTGATGCGATACTCTCAATACCAAGAGGTTCTAAGAATATCCCCGCCTGGGTGTGCCGATAAATCAGAGGTCTTGAAGGTCGTCACAGTAGGCGCCGGCTATGACCCTGGACGGCGGCGTCAGGACGCCTCAGTGGCTCTTCCCTGTCGACAGCCTGCAGTGTGCTTGAACTCTCTCCAACTGGACCAATCACAGTCATCTTAGATGAACTTGGGTGCTTATTGTGTGACGAGGTTTGGCTGTAGATGGGTCAGACAGAGACTGACAGATACTCTAAACGGAGTCGGCGTGAAGTAAAACAATAGAGCGTCCTTGTAGCTCAAACTGCTGCTATTCTTGGTCATGCCTGGTTTCACGCCCACCGAAAAGTCCCTGAACCTAGCAGGATGTCTGCCTATCCGTTTTCCTGTCACTTAGGCGCTTGGGTCAACCAGTGCAACTTGCAACGGGGTGAAGGTGCAGGATGAACACGCCACTCTTTGCACCCATGTCACATGACAAGGTGTGCTACAGTAAGCAACCAACAATCCGATCGAGAAAACAGAGAAAGACTACAGACAATTATTCAAGTTGTACATCTTGATTAGCCATATTATAATCATTGTCCTTTCGTGACTCTTGATGAGTCTGGAATTATTGGTCATCGTCTTATATAATTGCATTCCAGCTCCTGTCTGGACAAGAGAAGGGTCTCCTCCCTAGGAGGATACATGAACAACGTATGAAACATTAAGAACCAATGTAAAGGAGAAAAGCAGACCCGGAAATTGGTAGGAGCATTCCGCTGCCCCCAAGCTCTATTAAGGCGAACCACAAATAAACAATGCGCATGCTGAAGGGAATCTAGTTAAACCGTCTAAGCAACCGGTCATGTCCAAAGAAGCAAGGTCGAAAGCAAGTCCATCATATGCTCATAATTCATGCCTTGACGTCGTACTTGCGGCGGAACATATCGTCCACCTCAGTCAAGTAGTAAGTACCAGGGTAGAGAGTCTCGGTGTTGCCGGAAGGCTTGAAGTTCTTCTTGAGGTGAGCATGCTCACGGAGGGCACACATCTAAGTGGACGTTAGCAACTAGAGTTCAAGGTGCGGGTCAAAGATAGGTCGTTGAAGTACTTACATCAACGTAGGACTGAGGAGGGAGAACGTTGCGGTTGCTAAGACGGTTCTTGAGATCGAGCTTCTCCACCAGGTTGGACACGTCTCCGACAATCTTCACGCTAAGCAGGGAGCTGGCAAGACCACTGCCGTAGGAGAAGAGACCGATGCGCTTGGACTCGCTAGCATCGAAGGGGACGTGAGAGATCAAGCTAGCCAGACCAGCCCAAACGGTGGCAGTGTACATGTTACCGCAAAGAGTGGCAACCTCGAGAGCGGGCTTGACACGCTCAGCGAAGCGCTTCTTGGTCAGACCCATGAAGGTCTTCTCCACGTTCTTGTCAGTGAGAGAGGTGGCGTAGTCCAAATCACGGAGCTCAGGAGCCACTTCGGCGAAAGCAGGGTGAGTGGGGTTTGTGAGGTAGTCGTTGTACAGCATACGAGCGAAGGATTTCTGCACCAGCTTGCAGGTAGGAGCATGGTAGCAGAGGTAGTCGAAGCGGTCCAAGGCAGTCTTGGAGTCGTCCTGGGCGGTGCCGTTGGTACCGTTCTGAACCTTCTCCTTCAAGGTCTTCTCACGAGCATTGTAGGCCTTGTAGCAAGCGTCGACAGCCTCAGTGTAGCATCTGAGGGAGAAGTGACCATCCACGACAGGGTACTCGCTGGTCAGGTCGGGCTTGAAGAAGTCGTAGGCGTGGGTGACGTAGGAGGCACGAAGACCGGGCTCGAACACAATAGGGGCGTCAGGACCGATCAGCATGGCGACACAGCCAGCACCACCGGTAGGGCGAGCAGCACCCTCGGCGTACAAGGCAATGTCACCGCAGACAACAACGGCATCTCTGCCATCCCAGGCAGAGGACTCGAGCCAGTTGATGCTGTTGAAAACAGCGTTGGTGCCACCGTAGCAAGCATTGACGTTGTCAACACCCTCAACGTTGGTGTTGCCGTGGGGAGCCAGAAGCTGCATCAGGACGGACTTGACGGACTTGGACTTGTCCAGCAAGGTCTCGGTACCGACTTCCAGGCGGCCAATGGAGTTGGGGTCGATGTTGTACTTGCGGAGAAGGGAGGAGAAGGTGGTCAAAGCAATGGAGTAGATGTCTGCCGGTAAGTGCACGTTAGCATTGCCACGCAATCATGACATGCGGACGATGTCTGTCATTTCCTCAAAAGCATACCTTCACGGTCATCACAGAAGCTCATCTTGGTCTGACCAAGACCAATGGTGTATTTGCCTTCGCTCACGCCATCGAATTTCTCAAGCTCGCTCTGGTCGACACACTAGAAAGCACGGGGACATATTAGAACACAGCTCAAAAAAGGAAGCAGCAGATAGTCATGGGGTGGCAAGAGGCACGAACCTGACGAGGGAAGTAGACCTCAATGGCCTTGATACCAATGTTCTGAGGACGGGCAGCCATGGTGAATGTGTAAAAGGAGGAGGGGTAAGTATTAAGCGGAAAGTGGGACAGTAGAGTTTAAGACACAAAACACTCAAGAAAGAGAGCTATTGCGGAGAGTATGATGTATGGGGGGAGGAAGGAGAATAAAAGAAAATGATTAAAAGTAAGAGGAGAAGACTTTGTTGGAGGAGAGAGAAAGAAAAAAGGAGCTTGAGAGAAGGTGAAAGAGGAGAGTATAAGTAGTGAAGCTCACGATATACTAGAGGATCCCCCCCCGAGACCAGCGGGCGAACGGTTTCCCAGGTGGTCACTGACCATCGGCCGGAGGCAAAAGAAAAAAAAAAAGCAACGAACTGGGTCGGCCCCCGTTCGTATGCAGCCAGACAATACTTACGGATCAGCTACTTTTTTAGTGTGCTTCTAGTGCGTGGCCTGGTGGGCCTGTCTGGCTCAGTCTGCAAGCTGTGGTTGGTCGGCGCCCTGGCCTGCCCTGGGGTGCCTGAGGTTGTCCCGCCGGTGTTCTCGCAGTCACCACGCCTCAGATCTATAGTATAGATGGTCTTTGGGTGATCGAAGTCACGGCGCATCATATCAACAAACTTCTTTCGACGATACACCATTTCTCCCCCATGACGGGGAGAAGAAAAGGGGTCGAAATTGTGGATGGGAAGTTTCACCGGACAGGACTCCCAACTCAGAACGATCCACCTCCTAATTTCCACAATTGTTGAGAGGGAGAAAATCTGATGGTGTCCAGGATCTGGTATACGCCGTACTCTTCATCCTATGTCCCGAAAACGGGGGAACAGGATACGGCTGCCTCCAACCACAGCTCTCACACCCAACGCATCATTGCACAACCTAGCTCCAAGTGGTCTTACCGACAGCTCATCTTGCTCCGGGTGGATGATTCTTTTTTGCCTTTTCCTTTTCACCGACTCTTGCCGCCATGTTCTGTGATATGGCATTCACCCTAACTATACACCCGCCCTCGATCAACATCGGCCCATGTTTCTCTCCCACACTGACCGATATGAACGTGAGGATTCAATCTCCACACCACCGTACTTTTTGGAGCTCACTGCTGCAATAATATTACCCTACTTACAACAATGCAGCTTAACTGCAGACACATGATGTAAACCCGCAATGTGCCCCTCTGTCCCCGGGATGCCAAGCACTTCAACACGGCAATGGGATGCGTTCCCTGGTATCCTTTGTCTCTCCCCTGCGTCCCGGCCATTGATTGCCCATGACGACAAACCTGCTTGCGAGGAAAACTCCGTCTGGACTCGGAGTATCTTTTTACGGGTTATTGTTTCGGATCAGATGGCATATCTAATAGACCACACAGGATAGATAGGCTTGTCCGATGGTCTTGCCCGATCCGTAGGCTTTGAGTGTCGCATGCCCCTCGTCTTCTCCCTCTTATCACACTTTTTTCCCCTTCCACCATGGCTCAGTTACTCACTCGAATGGACGAAGGATCGTCGTAATAGCCAGGCAAGAGTTATCAGCTGACGCCTATGGTGTGCTTGCAGTGACATCTACGTTCTAAAGCGTAAGTAGGTCAGCTAAAACTCCCGTTCTTCTACACCTGCATACGCCAGATACCAAACAAACGGGATAACGCAAGCAAGCAGTCAAGATGAACCCTTTCTGGAATAGATGTAATCCCAACCAAATCTGGTTCCGACCACATCCACCCGGTATAGCCTGACCGTGGAGTGAAACAGTGAAACAAGTTGAGGGATTAATCAATCTTATCTTGTGGAGCATTTCGGTGCCATTGCTGTAAACGAGCCTCCATCTTGCCGAGACTCTCAGGCACAAGTAGGGTCCTAGTGGGTTCAGATGCGGAAAGCGTCGAGAACAAACCCGCCATTGAAGAATATACCCGATCTTTGGCCGTGCCCCTCTGGCGGAAAATGGGCCGAGGGGCGCTCATTAGTCGTTGGCGAAAATCCCACATTGTTCATGCAGATTTCACTAAACGTAGTCAAGTACAAAGTAGACTACCTGGTGGGTGCCGATGGTAGGGGAGATCCACCATCATTCAATTGGATCAGGTCTTTTTTTTTCCTTTCGGGATTCAGAAGTAGCGCCGAGTGACATTCTTGGGGCTGCAAATTGTGTGGTCAATATCGGATCTCCATCGTCGAAGTGGGATGTGCGAGGCAAAAAAAAAAAAAAAATTAGATCCGTGTGAGGCGTTACCAACGTCTGAATTGCGTGTGCTGCAGATGCTGTGAACCGGGGTGGGAGCAAGGGACCAGGTCAAGCACTGATGTCGGCTGTTCGATTAAGTAGAGGAGTAGTAAGTCGGCATCTGCATGATCAAGAGCCTTGCAGCATTTATTTTGACGATGGGAATTGCCCAACCATACTAAAGTAGTGGAGAAGTAGTGAATAATATGTGACGCCGGAAGTTCAGATTAGATCCTGGTGGTTCACTAATGAGCTCACTGCCAAATTACTAAGTAGGTGTGTATAGTAGTATTTAGATATCACTACTATATACTAGTAGTGTTGGTAACTTGAACCAGCATGATGATGCTAGGAAACAGAAACATATATGATAGTAAGCCATCACTACCCGCTTGCTCTTTGATAGTGCTGCTCATGACCCTTTTCTCGTCTTCATACATTCTAGTAGTAGTTATACTACTACTAGTTCTAACTGTTATGACGGTTCATGTTACTACTGATACTACTAGTAGAGTACGAGTAGTACTACTATGACAATATATATTACTACTTCCCAAGTCAACGAGACTGGCAGCGTTGTCTCGGTACTTACTAGTAACGGTACTAGTATGTATGGCCAGCGTTACGGTATGTCTCCAGTTCCTACTGCTAGTTAGTCAAGTTCCTTTCTCTATTTCTATTCTCTTCAATCCATACCTCTGAATTGCTCTCATCGTGGCCAGTTGCAACCAACTCACATGGACACAATGGACGCAGGGATTGGATGATTAATCCACACACATCGATCGGTCGGGAGAAATCTGTTCCAGAACCCTTCTGCCTGCGGATGCCGAGCCGTGGCCCCGACCAACTGCGCCACGCGTAGCCTCAATGTTCCCCCCCCAAGTCAGTTCGAAGTGACGGGCGGTCCGGGGAACTGAAGTGAGTTCTCACTGCTACTACTCGAGATCTGACACGGGGATTCGACTACTGACCATCCTCGTCCCTTCTCCATCTTCAGGAACACTTCCCCCCTTTTCTTCTCCAACCCCCCTTGAGATATTCTACACTCTCTTTATAACACGCTATCCCGCCTCGTCGTTCGTTCCCGCCCCTCCGATCGGGAGCATGGCTGCATTGGCTGTCACTCCTTTCCCATCCAGATCATGATCCCGCTTAGCCCGGTATCTGTGATACTACCCAACTCGCACGGCTCTCGGGAGCCCCGTATCACCCGCCATGGGCAACGACAATAAATTCGAATATGAAGCCCTTCCAATCCCATCCTACGAAGAGGCCATCGGCGTTCGTCCAGGCTCGTCCCGATCGCACCTCGATTCTTCCGAAGAAGTGAGCGACAACACCGAACGACAAGGCTTGCTCCAACGCGGTCCCCAGACGGGTGCCCGTGGAGAGACTAGACCTCATGGATATCACCCTCCCACCGTCGAGTCCGCTCGGAATAGCCTCGATGACCTCGAGTCCGGGTCCGGATCGGATAGGGGCTCGCTCGAGGAGTTACAGCGGGAACTGGCTCAGATGGACGTGGAGGACGCTGGTCAGCAAACGTCATCTCAACGCTCTCGCCTGCGGTCTCGGTTTTCGAAGCGATTCAACGATTTGACCCGTACATTAACCTCGTTCAATCTACCGTTTCGCCGTTATTTGCCAAGATTGCCAGATTTCAGGTTTACCATCCACCTAGACGAAGCTCGGTCCGGCTTAAAACACAATGGATGCATGATCTTGTTACGTGTTTTTGGATTACTTCTGGTGGTCACCATCGTGTATATCTTCTTCATTTCGGACCTTTTCAGCATGAATAACCGTTTCATCATGGGCCAATCTTACAGCGCCGCATCCGTCGAGAACTTCGTTCAGGGTCATATCAATGAGACCAGCATTGCAGAAAACCTGAAGAAGCTGACCGCATACCCTCATATTGCCGGTACGGAAGGCAGTTTTGTTCTGGCGGAATGGGTGGCATCGGAGTTCAACAAGGCGAACTTCGACGAGGTCGAGATGGAAGAATTCCAGGTATACTTAAATTACCCCCAGCAAGACGGTCGTAGGGTAGCGATCATCGATCCTCCCGGCCTTACCTGGGAGGCTACTTTGGAGGAAGATAACGAGCAGACCTTGGTATTCCATGGCCACTCGAAGTCGGGGAACGTCACTGGTCACCTCGTCTATGCAAACTACGGCTCCCGAGAAGATTTCCAATACCTCAAAGATCAAGGAGTTGCCTTGGACGGCTCCATAGCGCTGGTCCGTTATGGTGGGTCAGAGAGCGATCGGGCCTTGAAGGTCAAAGCCGCAGAATTGGCTGGTGCAGCTGGTTGTATAATATATTCCGATCCCGCAGAGGATGGCTTTGTCCGCGGTCCCGCCTTTCCAGACGGACGCTATATGCCAGCAGACGGGACACAAAGAGGCGCCGTCAGTTTGATGTCATGGGTGGTCGGTGATGTACTCTCGCCAGGTTTTGCATCGACACCGGATGAGAAAGTGAGACTCAAGCCAGAGGATAGCCGGGGACTGACGGCTATTCCTAGCATCCCTCTCGCCTGGCGCGATGCCCAAAGGCTCTTGCAGGTGCTCAAGGGCCACGGTTCGAAGGTGCCAGCCAAGTGGGTTGGTGGTGTTCCGGATGTGAACCAGTGGTGGACCGGGGATGCATCGTCGCCCACCGTCAACCTCATGAACATCCAAGATGAGGTAGAAAGACAGCCCATATACAACGTGGTCGGAAGGATCATCGGGTTGGAGCAGCCGGAGAAAAAGATTATTGTCGGTAACCACCGAGACTCGTGGTGCTTAGGAAGTGCGGATCCAGGTAGTGGCACGGCTGTGTTTCTTGAGCTGGCTCGAGTTTTCGGGGAACTGCTGACATTTGGCTGGCGCCCACTACGCACCATCGAGTTTATTAGCTGGGATGCTGAAGAGTACAACCTCGTTGGCTCGACGGAACACGTGGAAAAGGAATTGCAAGCACTTCGTGAAAACGCATATGCCTACATCAACGTCGATGTTGGTGTAAGCGGCAAAGAATTTGACGCCGCAGGAAGTCCGCTTTTCGAGAGCGTCATAATGCAGATCCTCGGTCGCATATCGGATCCTGACAGCAATGAGACGCTCAAAGATATTTGGGAGAAGAAGAAGAAAAGACTCGGACCTCTCGGTGCCGGAAGCGACTACGTCGCTTTTCAAGACATCGCCGGAACTTCCAGTGTCGATTTTGGATTCATCGGCGAACCTTTCCCCTACCACAGTTGCTATGAGAACTGGGACTGGATGACCAAATTTGGTGACCCCGGATTTCAATATCACAAGATCCTAGGCCAGTTCTGGGGTCTGTTACTTCTCCAGCTTGCAGACAGCCCCATCCTGCCTTTCGATTTGGAGGCATATGCGGCGCACGTTGGTGGCTATATTTCTGGCCTGGAAAATTATGCCAAGTCAAGGAATGTCCCAATTGCCGATAACACACAGAACGCTGCTCGGGATACCTCTGTGACCTTCAAGCCCTTGTATGAAGCCGCGGCGAAGTTCAAGGACGATGCGTCTCATTTTCAGGAGTGGGCTAGGGTCTGGCACGATGCTGTTTGGGGAGCTGGTGGGTTTGAGAACAACGTTGTCGCTGTTCAGCGGCTGGCACATAATACGCGGATGGCTCATTTCGAAACCCATCTTCTCGATGACAGGCCTGATGGCGGCGTAAGTGATTAAACTCTGTCCCATATGGAACAAAGACTAACCACACCCGAATAGGTCCCGAATCGCACGCAATTCAAGCATGTCATCTTCGGCCCTGAACTTTGGTCCGGCTATGACCCTACTCTCTTCCCTGCTATTCGCGACAGCATCGATTCTGGCAATTGGACGCTAACCCAGGAGTGGATTGATCGGGTCTCCAATATCATCAGTGACGCGAGCGACCACCTCGTCCATAAGAACTGATCATACTGCTGCCACACGGAATAAATCCCTCCCCACTTTCTCCTCCACGATCTTTGGCCTCTATCTACCTCCTAGGCCTCCTACCGCCAAATGACGACCCTAATCTGTCATAAACGCAACGCCCGCTATAGACGCCATCTCCCGACTCTGCACAGTATACCTCCACATCTCTCGCTTCCTGTGTATCTTCCTTTCGCGCAAAAGATTCCCTTCCTTGGCATTCGTATTGTCCTCTGATAGACGGGCATTGACGAGCCCTCTTCTTTCTTACCAAGCCATATTGTCGCCATGCATTTGTGTCATGTCATGCCTATCGGATCATATATCTTCTTGTATCTAGTCACCTTGACCCCCCGCCCCCCACGGATCCGGGCCTCTTATGCGTCATCTTCTTTCTACTGTCTCTTCTATCTTCTCGTCTCTGTATCTAAATTTGGGTGTTTGTCTTGCCTCGGTGCTTGCTTTTGCACCTTGCTGTGAATCATGGTGCATTCGGAGTATATCAATTACTACCACAACTACTAGTCAATGTCAGGAATTTTTCTTTCTTCCAGTTATCTCTTCTTACCAACTCGTCAACCTCACCTACATCAACTGTTTCAACTCATGCGATTCGAAATCCGTTTGAAAAACAATCCCAATCAGCATGTACGCGTACCTAAGAAGTGAGAACCGATTCCACATGTGGCCCCCATTCATCAAGTCTCGTAGTTCCTGTATCCTGAGAAAATATACTAGGATGCATGCATCCTGTTGTCTACCTAATTAACGCCAACGTAATGAGTTCCACTAACCTCCCAGAAGAGTTACGTTGGTTGGATAAATAGTAGTATTTCTGAAAGGGTATTTTATCGCAAAGCCCCCAACTAGACCCTACCTTAGATAGTATACTCTAAGTGAGATATTTGGAGCCTGCGTCTAAACAAACACATGACAATCACACTGACTTACTTACCACCTTGTCTTCCTGATGCGTATTTCAATCATGCCAAGAAATGATCTAAAAACAAAAGACACCGAACCAGAAAGTAATAACCGGAACTCATCATGGATGCGTCATATCTCATTGAATTACGTTGATGTGTCTCTCCCGTTGTAAGCATTGCAATCCATACCGTGCCTTTTCTTTTCTTCACTTTCTTCACACAATTCAACTGTATCCTACATTGTTGCGTGCTGCATACATTGCATTGCAGCTAGCTAGCTACATCCCATTTCAGAAACGAATAAAGAAACGAAGGAAAACATAAGGATAGGATGGGCGACAATAGTAGTCATAAGAACTTGAAGGGTGGATGAGAGGAAGAGAAAAGGAACGCATCGCACACCATGGCCATGACTCCGCCGAGATGTAGATAGGAAGTAGATTGAATGACGTGGGAAAGAAAATGAAATTTCAAAGAAAGAATTCAATAAAAAGGCTATAAGATAAGAAGAAAGAGACAACCAGGCCCTCATCCCACACCCGTGCATGCGCCGTGTTATGTATTAGCCAGTCAACCCAGGGTTTTATATACAGTACATGTATGGAAGACAAGGAGGAATAAAAAGGATGGAAAGGTGACGAAGATAGAACAGAAAGGTATTAAATATGCATTATCCCGGTTTCGCCTTTTCGTGGTCGTACGCTGTATGCAATGTGGAACCAGAAAATGGTTCATTTGCATGCTCTATAAGACAGTTCGTGTAGTTTTGGGTGGAAAAATGATGTGCAAGAGATGTTGTGTGCTCGTGGTTGTATGTAGTAAGACTTTCTCTTAATGGTGAATATGAATCGAGTGGCCGGAGCCTTCGGTTTTGAATCCGAATACGGAGGGAATATCATCTCCGTCAGCGTAAGTCAGGACTGACTCATGATCAGTAAGGAGAATATACATTATATTTCCATTCCTTCTCAGGCTTCCAGTGCGCTGCTTACTTGCGGAAACTCTCAACTCCCAGCGTTGGCGTTTCAACCATGCGATCGCAGGGCACGCCTTCGTCGCGCCTCCGGGCGAAGAAGCTATCACATTCGGATACAATCTGTGCCCATTCCGCAAGAGCTCTACCTGCGTATTTACTGGCTGCGAGTTTGTCACTCATCGCAAGACTAATGTCAAGATCATTGGACTGCTTTTCCGACTCTGTGTCGTCTGTTCGGGCGTCTTGTTCGTCTGATTCGGGTGCACCTTGAGGGTCATAACTCTCATCGTCGTCTTCTCCCTCCGCCGCCGAAACGTATTCGGATGACGTCTCACAGTCATCCCGCTTGATCAGGGATTTTCGGAGCTGCAAGTGCAGCTGCGATCCCACGGGAAGACAAGGAGTGTAGAGACGCTTGTTCTTGCTAGGCCATTGAGGCCGATCCATCCACTCTAGCGAGAATTTGAACGAGTAGGGCTGGTGTGCAGTCTTGGGCCGACTCAGCTCCCCAGATTGGTTCTGGGGCCGCCAATTACCGTCCAAGCCTTTGTCTGCTGACGCTGGATTTTCAGAGCTGGCAGAATCTGACTCGTCAGAGCTGCTAGAAGACGACGCCTCACCGTTAGACTTTGAGCTAGAAGAGCCACCAAACATGGCTTTGAGGATACTCCATTTCCGTTTAGGTGCGGGTTGGTGCTCCAACGATTCCACTTTCGCAGCAGCATTGCTACTGGAGAAAGCGGATGTTTTCTCCGGTGGAGCCGGAGGAACAACACGGTCGAATGACACAAAGAAGTTCGATGGCGACAGCTGATTATCACACCTGATAATGATAATCCTCCGGCCTGGTGCTGGCGTGCACGGTGCAGAAGAAAGCGGTGTGGTGAGTTCTTCATCAGCTTTTGCCTGGAAAGCAAGATAGTATTTCCAAGAGCGCTGGAGTCGGTTCCAGAGCGTCTCGTATATCGTAGTGTCAAGAGACGTAGGCTCATCGTTGAACCTCCCCAGTCTCCAACATAATAAACGATGAAAGTAGGCGCGGACCATTGGACTCCAATGACTGAAGTAGTGGTAAAAAATCGACTCTTCTAGGAGGAATTCTAAGCAAAGATTGGCCTTCCTCTCCTCTGAAGCAGTCCACGTGCTCCAGATGGCAAAGAGAAATGAGAACACCCGGACTTCAGTGAGAGAATTGTGACTTTGCATCATTTGACGGCAGACTTGCAGCCAGAATTTCCAGTCGAACAAGTCATTCTCCATAGAATGAGAATATCGTGTGATGATGGGGATAACCTCCTCCACAAAATCACACAGTAGGAAACAAGCATTATGGTCGAACAGCGACGTCCTCTCCGCAGCTGCTCTCATGATGGTACAAAATGATTCCGCATACAGCAACCTTGCGTGGTTCGGCTCAAGCGAAGATTCTGAGAGAAAATCCCGAAGCAGGATAATCAAGCGATTCTCAGCCATCAAACGATGGCTATTCGCTGCCCCCAGGGGGAGCGCCGAGACAGCCGCATCGGTTCCTTCTATAAAATCATCGAACGTGACCGCAGCAGCCGTGTGATTGGTTTCCGGCATTTGCGGAACCGATTGCTTATAAAGAGTATCCTCAAGAACAACTAGGAGCTGCGAGTGAATCGGCAGCAAGCCTGGTGCCAGGATCCGCTTCGCCTTGTCAAGATCTGGCGGTAGAGCATCAGCGTACAGGACGTGAATGTACTTGACAAAAACGAAAAAAAGATCGGTATCCCGGCCACTCCATCGCGAAACCCACGGGCTCTGCCAAGGGATCTGAACAGTGCTCAAGGGTACGTCAGGCTTCTGCCGAAGGTATCGCACCAGAGCCGTATGGGCATGAAAAGCAAGCGTCCGTAAGGCTGCTGGAAAGTTGGAGGCAAGGTCCTGTGTCAAGGCTTTCGTACCACTACCTTTGTCGAGGTTTGACTGGCAAAGTACGCGCCGGAAAATGCTAGGAGGTGTATTCCACAGCCGCACAAGGATATCGGCAACGCCAGGACAGAAGAAGAATGCATACGCACAGGCCTTGCCACAGAATGCAACTAAGCTGGCGGGCGCATGTCGCATGGACATCCTTTCAACCACAAACGACATCTGAGACAGCAAATTCTGCGTGAAAATATTCCTTATGTTGTGATGAATAGAGTCGAGGAGAAAGTCGGAGCCTGACGAACCATCCGAACTCTCCGATATAGAAGTTGACGCATGTTTGAGAGGTTTTGGGAAATTGCTGTGCGACGGAGGAAGCGGAAAAGGAACCCTCCATTCGGGTCGTGTCATAATGCCAACGATTGCTTCCAAGTATACTGGCCTATCCGTCCCGGATATGGACTGGTTGTTCTTGCCGTTTAGCATCTCTAATAGCCCCGTCCACCATTTGTTGAGTATATTGACCCGACGATCTAGGTCTTCAGGCCTCAGATGTCTACAGGATTGATGCGACTGGTTTCGGTTCAAAAACGGCAAAAGCGCGGACCGGATGACGTTGGCTTTCAAAGCGCTGGACTTTGCCTGAAACCTGGATGAAGACTGAGTTAACCAACGTATGCATATAAGCTACTTCCTTCAGGACTCACTTCTGAAAGTCAGCCTCGAGGCCCCGGAAAACACCCCAGAGGTCATCCTTTTTTCGCGGCACGTCCACAGTTCCGGCTGGATTCGTAGTTGCCGGTGCTTTAGGCACCGGTGGTAGGACTGGCGTTGTGACATTAAGGGTTGCAGTGAGTTTTTCCAGCGAATTCTTGGCCACCAGTGATTGAGGTGAAGAACTACTGGGAGTACTGGGACTATCTGCTCGACTTTGCGTCACAACCGCGACCAGCGGGCGTCGTGGTCGTTTCTGTAAGATTGTCCGCCTGCGAGCGGGGGTAGTAGGCTCAGATTCCGCACTCCCAGTATCTGCTTGGCCGTTCGCCTTGGGTGAGGTTGTCGGCGGATTTAGGGTTTGTTCCTCTGTACGTAGAGAACGGAGCCGGGAGCTTTTCCCAGAAGGCGGGGAGCTCGACGTCCAGGGTTTTCGAGCCAAACTGACCAGCCTGCCGGACATGGAGCGGGCTTTGGAGGGGCGAGCAACGGGGGACGGTGCCCTTGTTTCCGGAACCTTGGCAGGAGGAACTGAGGTTTCTGGGCCAGCAGGATCCGACACATCCTCTGTCGATACGGTAAAGCGAGAAACAGCGATAGTTGGTTTGTTCTTAGACCGAAGCGAGGTCCGTCGTAAGATGTCTTTGCCAGCAGCCACATCCTCTTTTGACGGCGACTCCGTCTGAACAGGGTGATTTAGGTCGGAGAACGTCCTCCGCAGACCAGGCCGGCCGGCCTCGGTGGCCGCTAGGTCCGGAAGGTGGTTGTAACTAGCGGCATGGGTCAAATGGACGTGTTCGTCATCGAGAGGAGTTGCGAGCTCTGGAGAGGAAGAAGACATGGTCAAAGGATAGCCAATCCTGGCTATATATCCACGCAAAGGAAGAGCCCTAGCGAGGTGTACATCTCCTCCAGCCGCAGAAGGCTGGACAATATACTATCACTCAAACGGGCGTTGGGGAGACCAGCTCCTCCATATACAACGAAAGCCACTCCCAGAGAGATCAGACCATATGCAGACCAATCTATTCCAATAGCATTGAGTCGTCCGGTTAGCGATGCGGAGAAAGACGAGGAAGAGGCGACGACAAGGAAGGGAGGCTTGGAATGATGGCGGTGCAGGCAGGCAGGCAGGCAAAGGTAAGGCAAGCGACCGCGGCGAGCGAACACGGTAGTTCTCGACGAAGCTCGGGATAGGACTGGCTCCGAAAAGCTAATTCGGGAACTTTGGACGATGCACGGCGAACTAGGGACTGAAATGTTAGCCAATGCTGGGCAGGAGAAAAGGTAGAGCGAGCGGTTGATCGACGGACGGGCAGAGTTCCGGCGTGAGTGAATTCGAAGTATAACGGAGAAACGATCGTAAGGTTGAACGAGGGGCAGGTGGGAAAGCCGGCAGGGGCAATAGATAGTAGACAGAAGAGCGCAACAGAGCTAAGACTTGCTTGCTCCTTTCTTGTTTCTTTATAAGGGCCCAGGGAAGTGGATAGAGCGAAGGAATAATGGGGTGTGAACAAGCAAACGAATGTCGGGATCAACGAGGGAAGGGAGCAGAGCAGGAACTGAGCGGAATCGAAGGAAAGGGGAGAAAGGAGCCGCAGGATGAGATGGGGATGAACAAGCCCAGCAAGAGCCAGTGACGGCCAAAGAAAGAGAGACAGAAAGACAGAGAGGGAGAGGACATGACGAGCAGGCCGAATGGGGCAGAGCAGATGAACTGACCGGTTTCGATAATACTTCCAACTTCCTATTACATACAAGCAAACCCACTTGTGCTTCTTCTCCTGGTGGCTTCTCCTCTCTCTAACCCTTGATTTAGCCCTTCAGGAACCCGGGCAGATGGGGCTTTCCTTAGACTGGAGCAGCCTCCGTGAAGCTTGGCCCCAGCGATGGAGGGTATAATGATCTCACCAAGTGATTATTCCCCTTTGGACGACGACGACGATGATGATGATGGGGGAGGGAATGGTGACCTTGCGGGCGCGGAAAAGTAGATGACGAGAAGGAGGACTGGGACTCCTTCCACGTTTAAGATTGAGAAAGAGAAGAAAGCTGTCCTATCCTAAAGGTTTCAAGAAAAATTGCCCAAGTAGGCGGTCGCTTAGAATATCTTTCTTCTACTATTTCTTTTTCACTATTTTATTTTTTCTTTTCTTATTTTCCCTCTGCCTGCTTGTCTGGATTTTATGGCTTGATGATGTACCCCGTCCACGCATGGAGGGCAGAAGGTAAGTACACACCGTCTGGCTGGCGCTTGGGCGGTATGGTAACTTACAGTAAGTACCGGGTATGTATGTAAGCATCTCTTTTTATTACGATACCGCACTTCCCTAGTCGGAATTCGAGCGATCCGAACACCAGACTCGCCCAGAATGAAACTCCATTGTCCGTCTAGAGATGATCTGGGACGAGGGTGGTGATGCTCATATGATGAGATTGAGGGAAAAATTAATGCCTGGACCTGGTATTTGCCCCCTTTATCGTCCCCCTTCGTTTCCTACTGTATATCTCACGAACGTTGAACTGTCCGGGTGCGGTCCCTGGTGCTTAAGCCTCGTAACCAATACATGGGGAGGGGGGAAGGACTTTGCCCCATGCAAGGCTGTGAAGAAAATTCAATAATCGCGTCATGACGAATCCATTCTCCAGGCTGGACTTTTACTATGAATAAACCCACATTTGCTTAGGTTTAAGATCTAAGAAGTAGGTGCTATGGTAACAAAAGGGTTGAGAGGAGGGATGGACATTGCGACTATTGATGGAGGAAAACTGTATTTGTGACGGGTACCATACTTACTACTTACATTACTATCTACTTCCCCCATCCAATCTCGCTCAGCTCCGGGCTCCGATCCTTTTTGAGGCTGCATGCACGTCCAACAGCAGCTTGCAGGAACAGGTTGGGTACGCAGTAGAGTTTTCGATCCTCGTCCTGGTCCCCGAGTTGGGCAATGCGAAGCGTCTGTGGGAACGGTTGTGCTGACTCGTCCGAGAGGCGCAGTGGAGGGGAACATTCTCCCGTGTTATTATTAGTAGTAGTGACATGATGGTAGTTATCTATTTCGTACAGGAGGAGGGCTGGGATCTTGGCAGGACCCTGATATTAGTCCCTATTTGGTTGCCGTATGGGGTAATTGTGAAACACTGTGAGTAAAGCCGCGCGCACTCGACTTGGCATAGGAACAGGTTAGTCAGCCTGAGGCTGGTAAAAAGGAGTCAAGAGTTGATTATTTAGTACGAAGCACTTCCATGGTCTTATCAAAGTACAAATTGTGTAGAAATGTTACTATCAATCGAAGCGTGGATGATCGATATGTGGTGTGGTGTACTAACTCTGCCCCTGCTTTGTAAGGAAAGTAAATAGTCATCTCTGGGTGACTTGGCCTTTCACCGTCCGCGCCGTAACTTACCATTCATTGTTTGTTTAGTACCACCGAATATACTTGGATCGGATCCCCAGCAGTACCACCGCAACTCAAAACCTTCCCCTCCAGCATCCTCTTGGAATAGTCAGGTCGCTAATCAAATCTTAATGAATTCCTGCCAATTCAATCCTCCGAAAGGAATGTTGTACAGTTATAAGCGGTCCACCTGGAGACTCCCGCTTTCATTCCATTTGACCAACGTCATCCTGTTGATAACTGGGGGATGAAGTGGCTCAGCCAGCCATTTCATCCCTGCCACCATTTCCTGGTCTTGTCAAGATTCCTGGAGTGTGAGAACTACCTTGACTGACAGGCCATCGATCGCTCGATCACCCCATAGATCGATCCTGCAGGTATGGACGTGTGAGCCCCATGTGTTGACAGAAACCCGACTGCAACAACCTCATAGTGTGATATCGTAGACAGACAGACAGACAGACAGACAGATCGAAACAGATTATCGTATCTGACTTTCAGTCAAAGGGCTGAGTTCTGATAGTGTAGCGGTCTGGGAAAGCAGTCCTGGCTGGAGCTGTCATATCTCACGCTTCACACCCACTGTAGAACAACTAACGCTAACTCCCCTGCATCCCCTTCCAATCGACAGATCTTACCAACACACTACTAGCAACGATGATTCGTATTGCATGTTGTTTTTTAGCCCGATGAAGAAGGACACGTTATGATAGTCTCTCAGCCCGAAGTAAGGTAGATGCATTTGCATGCCCTTGGGAAGATCAAAAGATGCCCTGCCCTTCCGGTCACCGGCGCCCATGTGCACTAGACAATGACCAAATGTACCAGATGAATTCACGACTTTCACACGTCGCACACCAAGGTCATCATTGCAGGAGGCGAATCCCGATTTGTGTGGCTGTAACATGTCCGCTGTACTCCGAATAACGTTCCCAAATGGTGTGCTGGGATCAATCTGCCACTTATCAATCTGAAGAGGTTCGGACGGTCGGATATATCAAACCCGCCCGCGCTACGGTCGCCTGAGGCCAATTTCTGCGCTCGGGGTACCCGCTTTGGGCCAAACGTTGAGTACTACTGCTACGAAGTACTCCCACTCGCTTTCTTGAACAACCACCCTGCCGGATTGTGTTCCGAAAGGATGCAAAACATACTTGACTAGAAGAGCTTGAGGGAAAAAAAGAAAATTCATGTGCTCAAAGTAGGTTTAATTTACAGAAGTTACTCCAGGACTTGACCAGCGGAGGATATCATGTTAAGTCCATCCCATTGTCTATAAGCCCCGACTCTCCTCTATCGTTGTCGGTGAAACAACAGATACCTAGTGAGCAGCGTGGGCCTCCTCCTCCGGTTCCTCCTCGAACCAGCTCTCCTCAACGGGAGCGGCCTCACCGGCGGCGGCCTGGCCCTCAACCTCGACCTCCTGGCTCTCGTAGGACTTCAGCTCATTGGCGAGGTTGGCCTCCTCGGGGGACTGGGGAGCGGCGGGAGGAGCGAACTTCTGGACATGAGCGTCGGCGTCACCGGGCTTGACGGGGGTGGGCTTGTAGGCACGGAGTTCGCGGAGGTAGAGCTCCTGGACAGGGTCGGCTGCAAGACGTTAGAAACCGTAGATGCCTCATATGCAAGACTGATTTGCCAAACACATGTGGCATTCTCGATGGGAATTGATTGCACTTTGTATGATAGAGGGTCACATACCCTGACGGACAGCCGAGGTCAGGAAAGTGCGGCGAGAAACAGAAACCTGTTGCCGAGAGACGCGGGTGAAGAGAGAGCGCTACCAAACAGGGTCAGCCACCATGTCACCCAGTTGAGTTGGGGGGCAAATCGTAGGTGTATCGTAGTCTTACCGACGCTCTGAGAGTCTGGGACATCATCGCGGCGGGGTGGTAGATGAGGGGGGTTGGAGGTAGGTGGGTTTCTGCGAGGAGAGCAAGTGCTGATTGAAGCCGATGTTGGAAGTTCGACGTTTGTTCGGGAGCCTTCGGCTTGGCGGCTGACTCAGCAGGACGGCTGCGAAGTCCAAGTCAGGTGCATCTCCAGGTTGGATTTGTCCGCTTCGCCCCTCAACCTCAATTCTCTCGCTCTCTCTTCCTTCCCTCTCTTCTCTCTCGTTGTTCTTTGTTCCCCCTCCCTTCCTAATTTCCCAGCCGCCTCTTCCACAAGGCCTTCCTTGTCTGCTCTGCGACACTTTTTCGTGATACAACCCTCACGGAGAGACCTTGACTGGTTCCATCGCGGTCGGGCAAGTTTGGCTTCGAGGTTTCGGGGAATACGCTGGAGAAGGAGATCACCGAGTACTTCAGTGCTTTACTCTGGGAACTTTGGCAGGACCAAGAGTCCTTCACCTGCCCGGAAAGGTAAAGCGCTAGCTTATAGAACCTGATCCCCTCCTTTGAGGACAAACTGCATGCCGGTGACTACCGGTTTACCTTCACCGTTGTCATTCATCATGTAGTTTTCACTCGGGAATCTCATGCTTCGTCTCCCATTGGAGTTGTTGTTCAGATATGCTTGGGGCATTCAGGCTAACATCAGTACAAAGGCAGTGACGTGGAGACGTAATTGCAAACCAGTTTGAGCGATTCGCGCCGCTGCTGTCCCATCTTTTCTCGCCGCTACACTGTGAGCACGCCGAATCACAGTCTTTTCAACAGACTTTGGACGTGAGCCTCACCTTGCCACTCGTAAGCCGTTGCACTCGCAGCTCCGAGTTTTTCGATCACTTGCGCGAAAATCGCACCCTTGAATCAGAACACGATACATCCAAGTCTTGCCACGCTGCCTCTGAATATGGCTGCTGTTTCCCCTGCTGCCGCTAGGGCCGAGCCAGGCCAATGGAAGAAGAACCTCTCAGCCCACGTCATTTGCCCCGAGTGCAAAGAGGTTCCCCCGAATCTGGAGTTCCCTGGCTCTCACGAAACTGTTTGCGGCTCATGTGGTCTGGTTCTCGCTGATCGGGAGATTGACATGCACTCAGAATGGCGTACATTCTCCAATGACGATCAGAACAACGACGACCCTTCTCGTGTTGGAGATGCCATGAACCCGCTTCTCAACGGTGATCAACTAGAGACCCAGATTGCTAGTGGTGGGTCGGGCCGCGTTCGCGACCTTTACCGTGCTCAGAACAAACAATCGAGTGAAAAGGCAAACAAGGCTCTTCTGGCAGCCTACAAGGAAATTGGTGCTCTTTGCGATGGTTTTAACATTCAGAAGAACGTGGCAGACACAGCGAAGTATCTCTTCAAGATTGTGGACGATGCCAAGGCATTCAAGGGAAAGTCCCAGGATGTGATCATTGCAGGCTGTATATTTATCGCCTGTCGCCAGTGCAAGGTGCCACGTACCTTCACTGAGATCTTCGCGGTGACCAAGGTCACAAGGAAGGAAATTGGGCGTATCTACAAAGCTCTGGAGAAGTTTTTCACTGCACAGAACCTCGAGCGGATCAATGCCGTGGTCTCCAGCGGAGGTGTCCCTGATCCCAACGACACATACACCGCCACTACTTCCACCAAGCCTAGTGACCTTTGCAACCGTTTCTGTAACCTTCTGGATCTGCCCTTCCAGGTTACCAGCGTCTCCTCTGCTTTATCCGATCGCGTGACAACGATGGGAGATTTGGCCGGACGTTCTCCCCTGTCCATCGTGGCAGCCTGCATCTACATGGCATCGTACCTGATGGGACACGGCAAGAGCGCCAAGGAGATATCCCAGGTGGCCCATGTCAGCGATGGTACGATCCGCGGTGCTTACAAGCAGCTATATGCTGAAAGAGAGCGCCTCATCGATCCCGAGTGGATCAAAGATGGGAAGGGTGACCTGAAGAACCTACCTAACAGTTAAATGGGCTGGACCTGGCCCCATCTCAAAAGCAGTTTGACTACCTGACATTTGCCGGAATAGCTGCTCTTGCTTCACACCCAACTCACTAGTCAAACATCGCTACTAAGCCACTGAGTATAAAAATGATACCCCAAATCACCTAGAGATATACAAAGAAGAGAGAGAAGTACCAAAAACAAAAACCACATATAATCCAAACCATTTCATACCGTTGCTTCACCATATCAAACCAAGAATGACAATTTGCGAGACGAGGACTCGGTAGTATACAAACGAATGAGAACAAACCAAATAGGGAAATTGAAACCTGAAACTCGAAAATAGCTGGTTCTCAAACCCACGCGCCGTCATATTTTTTTTAATATACCATCTTCCAGTTCTGTCCACCCATTCCGGAGCGATTTCCAAAAGCAAGCCCCGATGGACAGACACATCTTTCCTTTTCTTTCAGTTCTCACTTGAATTTGCCAAACTTTCCCAAGTTCATTTATTTATTCATTTGCTCCGTCTTTTAGCCTTCATTGTGGGTAATTAACCCAGACATAATGAATTAGCTTAGTAGCATGCATGTCATGTATGCATCATCTCTATTCAATCAATCAATTACAGTCATTATTACTAGCATCTATAATATGCAATAGATAATAATGTAAACCGATGACTCTTAGTATTTCCCGGGAAAGAAAAATAAAAACCTATTCTCCCTATCTCATCTCTGGAGTATTATTATAGTGATCAGTAAGCGAAAAATGATTGAACTTCGGCTCAGTGAAGGATGATAATTAGTAGAAGGTACCAAGGGGCAGGCGCAATGTGTATGTGATCGCCCTTCACACAAATATCCAAAAGAATGATGTACGATGGATGGAAGATACGAATAGAAACGGTTGGAAGTGGGCACTCCAGCGAAGCTGGCTGATTGGCTGGCTAGCCGTACTTACGTTCTGTCGACTGGCGGTGGTCGTATGTTGTTGTCGTTGTTGGTGCTCTATAGCTACTGCACAGAGGTATGGTAGTACTATGCGTGTATGTGCTATCGAGGGAATGAAACAAGACAGTGGGGTGCACGAGTGTCTCAAGGAGTAAAGGAAAAGAAAAAGGAAAGAGAAATCAACATGTAGAATCAGATAACGGTCAATAGCCGGTACTTCACTGGATCTCGCCAATGTCACCTTCCGAAGGCCGTTTGCCGTCCGCAGAGGCGGCTAGGGTTTCGGCGACGTTTTCGACGTCTTGCTCAGGGGATGAGGTTTCTTTGGCAATGGGAACATCCTCCTTGACCACGGGTTCTACAGCGGGGCTTGGTTCAGCCGCACTGTCGGTGGTTGTTGGGATTGAGTGGGCAGCCTCGGTGAATGTAGGTTCCTTGGACTCGGTGACTGTCGTGTCCTCTGGTGAAGCTGGGGCTTGTTCTTCCTTCGCCGGTAATGGCTGCGGATCGACAGATTCACCGGCGGTGTTCTTTGCAATCGCTGGGGCCATGGTATCGGGCTTGGTATCAGGAGCAGCAGGGTTGACTTCAGATCCAACGACCAAGTTACCGTCTTCACCAACTTGCCAGACATTCCACGTTGTGGTGATCTTGACCTCAGGAATGGTGGGTAACCTCGTGCTGGCTTTCTCAACGGCAGGCTTTCTCCGCGCAGGTCCACGAGCACGACCCTTCCGAGCATCACTCAAAGGTTGCTTCTCTACTGGGGCGGCCTCTTCCTCTTTCTTTTTCTCCTGAGGCTTGGGAGGGGCCTGCGGGCCAAGCTGCAGCCGTGAGTTCAGATCCGACAGGAATCCTGCCTTCAAAGCAGCAATCTTGCTACCGCCAGGACGCGCTGGCACGGCCGGTTTGGGTTTGGGGGCTGCATCCTTTGACTCTTCGGGACTTGCACGAGAGATAGGCTTGGCTGGACGGGCTGGAATTTGAGGCTTGGGTCTATCCGGGATGACTGGTGGTTGACGCTTTTCAGTAGGGGAAGTGACCGGCTTCGTTGACGCATCCACTGCTGGGGCTTGCTGCGGACGTTTCTGAGGGCGTAGTGGAATGCTTGGCTTTGAGGGAACTTCTGGGCTTTTGACCTCTTCCTCTGACGGCTCTATGGTCGTCACTAGTGTATGGCTTTCAGGCGCATCCTCCCAGATGTCACGGCTGGGAAATCTTTGCTTGGCCACTTCCGGTCGAGCAGGAGGCTTCTCGTCATGCTCTTCGGATTCCAAGATCTGCGTCGCGACCTGATGGGGATCCAAATGACTCGCGTGGCTCCGACGGAACGACTCTTGTTCAGGAGTCTCGAACGCCTCCTGCTTGGGGCCCTCTGGGGTAGACACCGTGGCGTGCAGCTGCAGACTGTTAGGCGAATCTTCCCAGATATCCTGGCTAGGGAACCGGTGCTTGAGCTCCGGACGCTGCTTAAAGCGCTCTGCAGTTGAGACAGTCTTCTTGTCCTTCGCATCATCCTCAGGGAACAGGGGCTCATATTCTTCAACATCTTCAAGAGGGGTGTAGACGCCTCCGTGCTCTTCGCGCGAGTCATATCGTGTCAAAGCAGGCATGCTATTCTGTACACTAGCAGCCCGGCTGTTAGACCTGCTGTGCGTGACACTAGGGGTGTGACTTCTGCTTTCATAATCGACACTACCACTCCTTTCGAACGAAGGCGAGACAGCAGGATGCTGGTAAGCCGACTCGGGACGCACTTCGTCAGCAGCCAATATGGGCTCGTCGTCTTCATTGCCATCAGCGACGCCGCGGTTGAGCTCTTCCGGGTCCGGAATTTGAGCAAAGCCATCGGGGTGGTGCAAGTGGTGATACGGCTCGTCAACATGGATCACTCGAGGTGCTTCTGACTTCTCGCCTGCATCCTTCTCCACCGCGTCTTCTCCTTGTGCCTGAGACTCTGTGGCTGGTAAGCTTGACTTGCGGAGTGGGGACTCAAACGCCGGACGAGAATCGCGGCGCGACTCGGGAGGCGGCGATGACAAGCGATGCGTATACTCGTCAGAGGCAATATAACCGACTTCCTCTTCTGGAGTTCCCACCACAGCAGGCGAGGTGCCTGGATATTATCATCAGCACTATCGTTCTGTCTATAAATGTGTATTATTGGATAACGTACCGAGTCCAGAGCCAGTGACGGCAGAACCTCGAACAATCTTGTTCAGGTCGTCGCTGCTCAAAGCCCAATCTGGTCTAGGCGTGCCAACACCGGGACCATATTGGCCTTGTTCTTCCTTGACATATTCTTCAGGGTGCTTCTCGTACCACGCCTTTTCGAACTTGTCGTTCGCGGGTACACCGTGCCCATGCAGGCCATAACTTCCGGGTGGCAGAGAGGCCTCACGACCACTACGGCTTCTGTTGTGACTCCGACCTGGACGTTGCTGCTGGTGCTCCACGACGTATGGACTTGGGGACGGAGCCTGGACATCGCCCGCGTTGGGGTACATGGGGACTCTCTGCCCAATCTCCGGGATCCCATGTTCGTCACCGTGGAGTGACTGTCGGCGATCTGCGGACGCGGTGGAAGATTCAGCGCGTGAGCCACTAGCCCGCGAATGCGATGAGCGAGTGGGCCTCTCGGCATGATCATCATGAAGAGGAGACCCGGCACGGCCCAGACCGGCTGCAGCAGCTTGACGGGAATCTGTACGTGTGACAGCCTGCACCTTGGCCTTGGCACTGGAGGAGGGTAAAGATGGCCTTGGCGCATGGAGCTTGAGATCGCTTCCCACGTTGCGTGTTTCCGCGGGGGTCGACTGGTGGGTGTCGGAGACGTTGCCAACATCCAAATCTTCGTACTCGATACCCTCTTCACCCAAAGAGGGAATTGTGACACTTGGCGGACGAGGAGGCAGATCGGTCGAGGGGGTACGCTTCATACCCGAACCATTGGGCAGGTCGTTCAAGGGAGAAGGTGCATAGCTATCGCGGTAGGGAGACACAGAGCGCTCAATGCGGTGAGTAGGACGAGGAGGGATCCTGGGCATGTCTGCTGAGGGAGGTGCAAGGCCTTGTTGAGGGGATCTTGACGGTCGGGGAGGGATGACTGGGGCTGTTTGACTCGACATGATTGTCTGGTTGGTCTGATAAATATGGTTTCGGTATGTACTGGAAATCGATTCTAACAATCATCAGTCTCATCGGAGCATTGAAGCCGAGCAATGAACAAGTGTCACATGAGCCTTTGAATCTCGATGGCGGGGAAGTGATCAGAGTTGGGTTTGAATTGGAGCTAGCACAGGGCAGCTGTGCATACATAGGTCACGGAAACAGGACAGGATGCAGGGGCGGTGTTCAATGTGGAGGGACGTGCTCCCAGAGGAAAGATGGAAGAGAGCACTATCTAGCGAGTAGGGGAGCTAGCAGAGGAGCTGCAGAAGAGGGCACGAGGCGAACTCTGGCGCAGGGATTGTACATATGTAGTCGGAAGCAGGTTGATAAGATAGGTGCCATGCGAAGCCGCTCACATTCTTTGTTGTCTTGGCTTGTCCAGCAGACTTTCTGAAGGCGGAGAGGAAGCCGTTTCAAGAAGTTTGGAACGATAGAGAAAGGACAACATTGCAATGACTGATAAGGGACATGAAATTGATTCGCTTACCTGGAAAGGATAACTAGTGTTGACGCAATGATGGAAGGAGGACTCAGCTGGAGCTCTAGAATGGGGGGTGGAGGGAGGAACGGCGGTGGGGAAAGTCAATTCTGGGAGAATCCAGCAGATGAATTATGAATATGATGCTGAGACAAGATGGAAATACACGAGAGAATGTGTCCGAGAAGGGGGTGGGGAAAATGAGGAGAACAGTGAAGTAGTAGAAACAGTAGCAAGTAGGAGGAGGAGGAGCAGCAGCAGCTTGGCAGCAGAAGACGGTCAGGCCTGCAAGATAACTACCAAGTAACGAAGTAACTATGGGGATGATGTATGACTCTTGATTCCCGCAAAGTGGCCGTAACAGCCAGTCTAACCGCTTCTTTCCTGCCACGGCCCACCGCCCCGTCGCGTGACGTGCTCTGACGGCATGAGACCGCCCCTATCCCCTCCTGGAAACCGTATGGTGACCGTATCTGGGCTGTGAGCCAACCGGCGCTGTTGGTTGCAATTACATAGCATCTAGAAGTATTGTTGAGGCGGTGGCAGAGGACCCCGCTGGGATCAGGAGTCATTTTTAGGTTTCCCAATTTTTTCTTTCTGTATCACCGTGTATTGTTCTTTCTCTTTTTGAGACACGTTCCTCCAAACCCTTGAGGGTCATCATATCATACCTCTGCATGGGATATTCAGATTCGTGTTAATCATTCAGATGAATACAAAGTAGTCAGGATAGCTAGATAGATAGGTGGGGAGTACATACAAATTTATTCGTCTTCCAGACATCCTTGTTCAGCTGACGATAACCCACCAATAATACCTAATTAAACAACAAATCCCAAGACTCATTGGGACTTGCCCTATGCATGAATGACAGTAATGGATAGGTATGATTCGGGGATGTTTTCTTTTTTACTTTTTCTGTTTTTCTCTTTCTATTTTCGTGGCCTTCTGCATTGCATCATTTGAGGCATTTTCCTCTGGTATGCATTGTGTTCAACCTTCCAAGAGCAGACTAAAGTTGCCAGGGCGTCTTTTACAGGCCTAGACGCCTACTAGGTACCCTAGTAACATCGACGATAACACATTAGCGTTTCGTGATACTACGAATTAGCGTCTATGAAAAGGTCAGCTCAGACCCCAAAGGCAAGGCCGTCGCCCCCCGCCTTGCACGACGCAGAAATTCGGTATCAAATTGGCGGATTACGGTTGATGATCTGTGGCCGATCCATTCTTGAAATCCCCCGTTCGCTCTAAGAATAGGAGAATTTAAATCCCTCCCCTATTTTCTTTCCCGCTACTTTGTAAGAAGATACCATGAATGGGTGCGGGGAGAAACATTCCAATACTGGTAGGGAACATACAGCTGTCCATGGTGAACCCCCCTCTGCTGCGTCAGGGACCACTTTAATCCCCCTCTCCTTCATGTTGGGAAAATGAGTCGGGCTAGACCATAGTCCAGATGTAATCCCAGCCACAGCGCCACGAAGGGGGATTTCTCCCAGTTGCTACCGTTGTACGGGTACAGTACAGAGTTCTACGGATGGACAATACTCCAAACTTTGGGAGACGGGGTATACTAGCAGTCTAGCGATGCAAAAAATGGTCACCTTAACCAATGTTCATTCAAATGCATAATTTTGCTATCTTCTGTGCAATTGCAATCTCCAAATACTTCAGTATGGCGGTGCAGAATTGCTACCCGGACTGATTGACTGGTGGCACAACAGGTGTATATGTGTTGGTTTCCCGTCCAATACCGAGTTACTCCATACGAGGCTGCATGCTGCTATGCATGCATATATACTTCAAACTTCTAAGGATCAAATATCAGGTAGGCCCGTTAACTTATAGGGTGTTTCGAAGTCATTGTGAGAACGGAATAGATACGGAGCATATGCAGCATAGTATAAGTCGAATAGTCCGTGTAGACTTTCGTGAGTATTCTGGTACTACTATGTGTCCATCCTTGGTGGCAAGTTTGTGGCTGTACTTGGCGCACTCTCCCTGTCCTTATCAGATCACGAAAGAGCATCTATAGAACAACAACACATACTATTGATATCATAAGAAACTCTTGCGTTATTTGCCTAAGTTGGTATAGTTATTAAATACCTCCAAGAGTCAATTTGCCTACTCATGCGTTCAACAAGAACTCGTGATTCATAGACAGATATAGTAGTCAATGATGATCTTTCCTACTTATCTACGGAGGATTAGATTGTGGCTGACAACCTTAAACCTTACTACCCTGTGTGCTGGTTCATGATGCCGTAAAGAGGCCTCAAAGGCATCGGGCAAGCCTGACTGCGGGTGATACCCCTTACTTACATGATAGACGGGTCTCTAGAAAGACTCGTGGTATCCAACAAAAATCACAGTAAGACTCGATTATGCAGCATTATAGGGGGTTGGGAGGAGAAGGGTGACTCTTCCCCTAGACGATTGGCCTTAAAAGATGAAACCCATACCTTAGAAGCTAGCTAGTAACTTTTAGTTAGAGGGAAAAAAAAGTAAGGGCAAGTTGGTATGGCCACAGGATGGAACAGCTGTCTTTCCCATTATGAGGGTTTGCGTGCAGTTGTAACGCAATCGACATAGAAAGCCAGCCACGAGAAGCGGTGCTAAGCTGTACGAATGAAGAAATTCTTCCTTGCCGGAAGATACTTAGGCAGTATATGATGAACGCCACCAAAAACAAGCAAGGTTTTCTACAACCAGAGGAAAGTTGCTGGTCGGCGGTAAGGAGAGAAGAGAATAAGTAGATGGGCTTCTGGAGGGTGGAAGGGAGGCCGGCGGGCGCCCTTGACGTGTTTGGCGTAAGAATTTATTGGTGCGCTGTCCCGGAAATCTTATCCTACCGGCAAGACCAGCTATCACTGGCTCCGTCCTGCCTTGACAGGTTCGCCCCAAAGCAGGCGGACTGCCAGGTCTCCGGGTTCAGTCTCCATGACTCGTAACTGTCGTCCACTGGCTCACGCCACTTTCGTCTCCATTCAATGCCTATATCTATTCCATCATCTCTGCTTTGAGATTCTCATCTGAGTAGATTCTTGCCATCTCCTACTGACAATTTATCGTGGTCATTCAGAACATATGCTGCTTAATTTTCCAGGAAACACACATTAACGCTGCTGAGGCCACCCCCCCTCCGTGGTACAGGATCTGAACTTCCTTGATCATGCCTTCCGATTGAACCTGTTCTTTGCGACTTTCATCCACAATCCATTTCATATGACATCTCTATATGACTCGATGCAAAACAATAAGGAAGTAACAATGCCCGCTTCGGCCAATAATGCTATGTCCCGGACTCACAGCCATTGTGAAGTATCCTGCCCCCTGTGATCCAGTACAGCAACGGCTTCCGGGGGCAACGTGAGTCTCGAGGAGTGAACAATGTTCTCTAGATTGCGAAGCATCTCCTTGGCTAACGCGAATCTTTTGCTGAAAGCCACCAGAAACCGACACAATTCCACGAACGCATCCTTAGAATCGTCCTCGTTCAAGGCGCCTAAGAAAACAAGGAGACTACTATGGGTGGGCTCGAGTATCTGCCTGGGTATCTGCCGCAACCCATAGGACTCATGGTACGAGCGGAGGCAATGGACAACTTGCTTCGCCGATCGAAGCTGGTATGACCTGGCTTGCTCAAATTCCGATGGATGGGAGGTTGGTCCGAAATGTTGGTGCTCTAGGAAAAATTGGAACACTGTTATGATCGTATGGTGATACCCTATACTAAACTCATAGTCAGAAACGGTGTGCATCTCTCGCTCTGTGGAGCTCATCTTCCTTACTACAGGTATAAGATCTGTGGTGGTTTCTCATCGTCGGTTTCGATGTCGTTCGGAAGACTGTCAAGCCATCGTTGCAAGCGAACGCATTTCTTATTTGCCGCTATCCACAATTCGCCAATTGCCATGTCAATCCCTTTGTCGAACAGCAGATCCGGTATGTCCGCGACAATCTCGGTCAAATCGATCAATTTGGTCATGACAAATCGTAGATATGCCGGTTTTTTAATGTGGTCGACTTCATTGAAGCGAGGATACGGTGTCCACATGATTTTATCATCGAGTGCAGTTTGGGGATAAGGCTTGTATTTCGGTGGCTTCAACTCTGCAATCTTGCGACTATGCAAGGACATTTGCCTGCAGGATAAAGACGGTTAGTTAGGCCGATTTACGTCGGGATACAGCCATACGAGTTCAAGATAAAGAGACCCCAAGCGGTGATTGCACAGGCATGCTGCAGTCTAAGAGACATCTTCTCCCACTGGCGGTGTCTCGTCCTCGGAGACGCGAACATGCCAAAGTCCTGTGCGAGCTGTACAGCTTGCCTGAGCATCAGCCAGCTTAAATCGTCTTTACCTCGGAATTTCAAACTTCAACTAGTCAGCGTCTGTCTAGATTTGGTTGTGTAAAAAAAAGGAAAGGGGTTTCTTTGCAAAAGCCATACAAACGACTCATTAGGGCCACAGCTTGAATATTGGCCAGAGAAGCGCGGCCTTCCTCCGCGTTCCACAATCGCTCTGCTTCCGCATAAAAATGCTCTCCCCGTGACGTCTCATCGTCAGGTATAGCGAAAGCCTCTGGAAAGTCGGAATATATCTTGTCGTGGTCAGAATAGCCACTCGAAAGAAGGATGGGAGTAACACACACTTGCCACCGCTAATATACTATTAACAAGCAGCGGGGTGCAGCAATTCGGGTCGGTTTCTTTGGTAGACATATGTTCCAGGAACATCTCTTGATCCAAGACCTGCAATAATGGATGGTCCCAAGTGAAGTATAGCGATATTAGGTGCGAAACGATATGGTCATCCTTAGTCACAGCTGTCCAAGGTCCGGAAGGTACTTGAAACAAGGGACTATCACATAGCTTCTCCACTGTTATCCGCAAGTGGGCATCGACGACTGGGCGCTCGTGCTGTGATGGGATATCTTCCGCGGGTCCGACGCTTTTAGAGTGCTCTGAACTTGCATCACTGAAGTCAGTGACTGACGCGTCAATAACAGTGACGAGGTCATTCAATTGAGCATTCCCACGGATCTTTTCCAACATCTGCCGCGCTTTTTCTTCGTCTGAGGATCGAAGCGTCTCGAGAAGCGAGTATAGCAGGCCTCGGTAGTACTCTAGCTCCCCTTGGGTGCGCCTCGCAGCGACCTTCCGCCTAAGGTCGAGCGTCTCATCGAATATGCATCCCCCGGTGTTTTGGCATGCTTTGCAAGGTGGCGGGCGTCCGCTGCACTGTGATTCTCCTACGTTAGCAAGAAGAGCAAAGAAGGTGATTGACAGATGAAGAGCAAAGATGCAGGGTCCTCCGAAATGGGCCTGAGTGCTCCAGACTCGGTGAGACACGCCCACACAGTATCTCTCTTCTCCCCTGCCTGACCGTCTTGGTGATTCTCACTGCTTGTAAGAAGAGCTAAAAGTCCAGGTATTACCTTTCGCTTTGCCTGCTTGCATGGCAAACATGCGGTCGAGTTCTTCCTCGACTTAGCCAATGTGGTTGAACCCGTTGCAACAGGGCCGCGGGGCCCTGGGGCCAGGGAGGGAAGATGTTTGCCTGGGTTTTCGGAATTCATTTCAGGCGACTATGTCCCCTTGGGAAAAGGAAAGGTGGATTTGAGAGGATCGAGGGATGCTACCACATCACTAATTAGTGGTCGAGGCTGCTCTTGGGTCAGTCGAATGGTACGACAGGGAAATCGCAACAAGAACGTACGGTGATACTTTTGCAATCTGAACCAGTTATTCTTGGGGGTAAAGGGCTGCAAAGAAACGAATATCGGCTCAGGAACAGGGGCGAAAATGCTAAATCGCCTCACCCTATCAAAATTTTCGGTATAGCGCGCGATCTTGGTGTTTAACTTTCATGCAAAGAGCAACCTATTCCAGGAGTCCTATCAATAGGCATACTTCGTCAAAACACGGATGTCAGCCTTTCGACGGTCGGTGGATGTTGCTGTGGACTTGTGCCGCGGTGACAACAAGACCCAGTGGGGGTTTTGGAGGGGGGAAGCGATATGACCCCAGAAGGTGATGAGATGGTTCAGCAACTGGAGAACACCATGATACACGTGATCATAGACTTCTTCTATACGAGAGTCTGGGGATGGGAAGGGGCAGGGTTGGCAGAAGCAGAAAGGCTTACCAGATAACTAACTGCCCGGAACCATGACTAACGGGCATCACTTTGAGCCAAAGCGCCTGCTTGGTATGAAAGACCCCTCAGCGGGAAGCAAACAAGCATCAATACCGGTTATTTCTGGGGGCGAGTTCCGGTTCCTAACAAGGGGCCCTGTTTAAAAAGGACCCCAGCTACTACAAGTGGACAGCTCGCCCGATTTCTTCCCCAGGGTTCCTCGATGGGCAGAGGTCTGGCAGCAGCGCGAGGCGCAACGGAGCAAGCTTGTCGTGGTATTGGTTACGGCCCTATACCGTTCGTTCCGGCCGATGTACAGGTAATGACACCATGATCGCATCCCCAAAGCAATGACTAGTGTCCAAGTCTCAAGGCGCTATAGGTGAGTGCTTGGGTGTCACTAGCCCAGACGCATGCTGGAAAGCCTGGAAAGTCCGCTTAGCGTGAGATGGCACCTAAATTGACAGGTATGCACGGGGTCCCTGACACCGCAATTGGTTTACACAGTACCCTCAGGCCGTCAAATAAGTGTGCCACAAGGTAGGCCAGGAAGGCTCGCGCCCCATCTTGCCGCTACGGCCGTCGGGTTGTTCCAGTGCACTGTTTACCACGATAGGATTTCAGGACTCGAATGCATACAATACATGACATAGGTCAAACTCTACTTGCGGGTACTATCATTCCCAGCGATCTTACAGGCCGGGTAAAACAGCCATCGGGCCAGCGAACCGCAAAACAAAGTAAGGGAGAGTTTCTGGGAAAGCACAAGGCAGAGAGGGGGGGTGGAAATCGAAGAAGAAGATAAAAAAAAAAAGAAAAAAGAAAAAAGAAAAGAAAAGAAAAGAAAGAGAGGCGAGCAATATGGCAGACAGGTTGCTTCCCCCGATATGCAGCAAATACAATAGGTGGAAAAGTTCACCGACCCGCAACACTATGGAATAGCACCAGCTGGAGGACTCCAGATCCTAGACTGGTAGAGGTTTGTTGGTCCACCATAAATCAGGTCGCCGGTCCACTCACGCCTCGAAAACGAATAGCTACCGAACCAGACAGCTTCTTACATCAGCCCAGCCGGCTCGCCTGTCAGTCAGAACGGGGCTCGCATCCTCTCACTGCTTCCTTACTGCGCGGCGAGTGATGCTCCGTTCTAGCCTGCCATGGCATGGCCCCGCAGCAGCTTCTCGATGATCCTGGTTAGCAGCTCGATATTGGCGCCTGCTTATGTACCTCGCTCGAACCAATGTGGTTTGTGCGGTGCAGAATTCCGTGGCGTGACGCCTCGTAGCAAATCCGGCTGGGCGACTAACCTGAGAACAGAACCTCTTGCAGTGGGACTATTACCAGAGCCTAGAGCTCTCGTGTTATAAGCTTAAATCGAGGACCAGAGATCTCTCTCCTCTTGACACAGTATGGCATCCACTGGGGCGCATTTGTATGCACCGAGTGGTCATCCTCCTTGCAGAATAGGGTCGGGAGGGGCGCGAGCTGGCTAAAGCCCCATCTCCACATAGCACCTGCGGCGAAGGTCGCGCCCGTCGATCATTAATGGTTCAAAAGTTACACTGCGCCGGTCATCTGTTGCCGTAGGATCCTGGGAGGCAACTGTGCATACGCGGCTTTGGATACTCTCAGAGGATCACAATGAATGGGTCGGATCACCTGACAGCCCGCCGCACGACCGATTTGTGCAGAAACGGCCTTTTACATCACTGTGACATGAGCCTGAACTCCTTTCGATCTTCGGTTTGTTACGAGGGTTAACCAGGCTTTCATTCCCTGATGCTCGCCCTCCTCCTTAAATTCGCCACCAATCTCGATGACGGGATCACGATGGGGCGCGGCGCGGTTTTGCTAACCAGCAGCACGCGATTCCCCAGCATCTCAAACGCCTCGAACTCTGGGGCAACGCTTTTTCGGCCGGAGTCTGCTAGGGGGGAGAGGTTAGTAAGGTACAAGCACTTGGCATCATATACTTCGGTCTCCCTGCACCGATCCAATCACCGAGACTCGTCCTTACCTCCACGGCCTAAGCGCCAATCAATATGCAGACGGTGGCCTCCGGGCAAAAAATAGTTTACTCCTTAACAATAGCCCTCTTTCTGTAACCTCAAGAGGTACTGACGGACAGCTCAACGGCCCGACAATAACATTCTTCTGTTCGGGCACCATTCGGAAGAGAGACCCAAGAGCTGGGCATCCGTGGTCCTACAAGTGTCCATGGTACAAAGTAGTCTTCCTCTAGACAGTTTCCTCTCTTCCAGTAGGGTTGTCCATGTGGCTCAAATAAAACCCCGAGGCTTCCTGTACCCTTGCGTGCGGTGACTGCAGGAGTTGGCTAATAGAGTTCCAGATAAGCACTCAAGTTACACCTTCTAACGATCTGTTGTCTCCAATCAAGAATGACTGCAACATGCATCGACGGCATTCCAGTCTTTCTGGGTGCTTCTAGCCTTTTTAGCTTCTGCTGAATGTAATACGGGTTCGTGATATACGGTTAAGTAGTAGTTATAGTGTGCTTTTTACGTGTTCCGGACGCTCTGACTCGTTCTAACTCGAAAGGTATGTGCGCCTGGGCTTCTGTGGAATGCATCCCACACACCTCTGGTTGAGCGTTAGTATGAGGGCAATGGGATCGATTTACTCTGCGGATACTGTGTTTCATTTCCACATAAACTCACCATGGGACTATTCGACTTGCTATGCAAGTTTCACGGTCTCTGAGCACTAAGAAAGAAGAATCTGTATCCGCTTTCAACGAAAGCGAGAATCATACTCTAAGACTCAAATGGCTGGAATACCACGAAAAAGCGTACAAGCCTGAGTCTAGACGGCCTGCAATAATAACCAGTCAACTAAGCTACTAATCAATACCTACCCAGGCCGCAAACACCTCCCAGCTAAGTGGAAGAGTAACCTCTCAAGATATTGCCTAATCAAGGCGAACATGACTCCTTTCACCTCCGTTTTCGGAAAGATAAGCCGCCGTCTATCTAATCAGGGAGAGACACCGCCTTCGGTTAGAATCGGTACGAGGGGCTCAACGCATCAAGCCGATTGATATGCATATTATGGAGTCTGATGTCTGATATAGAAATATATCGAATCTGTTACCAAATTGACGCGACAAAGGGACCGACATCAGCCTATCACCGCATGTCCTGTCAATTCGCGCCCTGTCAAGAACAACGGCGGGACGTTGCATATCGCGTGGAGGCTCGGATATCGATGGCAAAAAAGGGAGTTTGTCCCATAGAATCAAGGCACCCGAACCGGCAAGTCAAGAGTAAAAACTTTTTTCTCGGGTTACCCCCTCCCCTCTGCGGGGATTGTCTGGGTGCTCCTTAAATTCAGTAGATAGAATCAACGGTTCGTCCTCGTCTGTAGAAAAAAAGTTTGCCATCTCAATTGCTCTCTCACGACTCGTTTTGCCACCTCACCTTGTCGTGCGCAGGTTTCAATTTCTGCAACTAGTTGGTTTCTCTCCCGCCTCTCGGGTTACGGAACCGAAAGTTGTGACGCATAAGGTACTTAGGATCGCCAGGGTCAGTCACTTGTTCGGTGACTCATAAAGCATCTTTAGTCGCGGGATTCAATTGCGCCCAATCAATTCCGCATATAATACCTTTCATTTTCTCTTTCTTCTTGATCACTTTCCTCGCAATTCATACACAACAACACAATCATGGGTTCTGTTGCGCCTTCTCCTGCGGAGCTCGACGCCTCCGTCGTCAAGGTTACTCGCTCGACCAACCTTCGCGATGTGCCTCTTCCTGGCTCCCCCGAAAAATTGAGCCACTCCCACTGCACCGACCACATGGTCACTGTGCGTTGGACCGTCGCCAATGGCTGGGAAACTCCTGAGGTGCGGCCATTCGAGAACTTGAGCATCCCGCCCACGGCCTCGTGCTTGCACTATGCCACCGAGTGTTTCGAGGGTATGAAGGTGTACCGGGGATTTGATGGAAAGCTGCGTCTGTTCCGGCCTGACTGCAATGGCGAGCGTCTGATGAACAGCGCTAAGCGGTCTTCTTTGCCCTCGTTCCGGTATGAGGAGATCAAGCGCCTCATTGCTAAGTTGATGCAGATCGATGGACCTCGTAAGTTGGACCCAATTCAATTTCCGGATGTGACTTCCGCGATTGAGAGAGAACCCTGAACGTTGAACTGACATCTTTGCTCTTTGTAGGTTGGCTACCCAAGGATCAACCCGGTCGTTTCCTCTACCTTCGTCCCGCGATGATTGGCAGCGGCCCACACCTGGGCGTCCAGACACCCAAGGAAGCCCTTCTTTTCATCATCGCCGTGCCGTGGCCCGACCCCTCGAAGAAGGTGTCCGAGCAGCCTGGCGTTCCGTCTGGGCTGAAGCTTTACGCTTCCCAGCCTGACAGCATCCGCGCTTGGCCTGGTGGTTTCGGATACGCGAAGCTCGGCGCCAACTATGGTCCGTCGTTGCTGGCGCATGGCAAGGCGCAGGAGCTTGGGTTCGACCAGGTGCTGTGGCTGTTCGGTGAAGACCGTCAGGTGACTGAAGCGGGTGCCAGTAACTTCTTCGTGGTGTGGGAGAACAAGGAGACGAAGAAGCTGGAGCTGGTTACTCCGTCGTTGGAGAGTCAGCTCATCCTTCCGGGTGTTACTCGTCGTAGTGTGCTGGAGTTGGCCAGGGAGCGTCTGACTCAGTCCGTGGGCAAGCTCGCTGCTGTTGATGTTGTCGAGAAGCACTTCACTATTGGCGATGTTGAGGAGGCTTGGAAGGAGGGGAGAATTGTGGAGTCGTTTGTCTGTGGTACTGCTGTGAGTTTTCCTTTCCTCTTTTTCCCTTCTATTTCACTCCGTGTGTATGGTGACTAATTGTGATATTTAGTTCTTCGTCACTCCTGTCAAGCTCATTCGCAACGGAGACGTAGATATGAACATGCAGGAGGCCGGTGCTGAACGCGCCGGATATGCTGCTCAGATCAAGGCCTGGCTCGAGGCCATCATGTTCGGCATGAAGGGCGAGGCGGCCCATGAGTGGGGATATGTCATTGATGGTGAAGTTGAGCAGTAAACACTAATAACAATGATGGACATGATGATGATGATGTTTTGTTTTGGGAGGAGAAGGACTTCGAGCCCGCTGGAAGGACTCGTGCAGAATGGATTGTAGGAAAGGTGGTGGGTGAGATTGAGCGGGGTAGCAGAACTGGACTTACTGTATATACTTAACTTATTTTCTCAGGTACTTTTTTAGAGTGGAATGATAGACTCATGTGACATGTCACGCTTGTTTGGATTCTCCGATGCCATCTCTCAGTAGGCGCCAACTACTGAGATTAAGTTTCCACTATGATACACTACTGAAAAACGTATGCATATTATCGGTGATCTGTGCAGCCGCATCTGAGGGTTATCGAATTAAGTAGTAATTACTAGTGGAGACTACGCATTCTCTACCCACCTCTGCGTAGTAACTGCACCAGCTTTTAGATACAGATCGAGCCTCGCTGAATAGACCTGTAAGATGAGAACCCACCGAACAAACCGTTCACGAGTAGCGATGATCGATCTGATCGGGCAATATGCCAGCTGCCGATGAACGGACAAAGGCTATGATAAGCTTAATAGCTACTCAAAGAATTTTGAATCAGACAGGTTTTCATGTGAATTTCTCAGCTTATGACTTATACACTACTAGGAAGATTATCTACACTTACATCATTTCCAGGCACACCAGTACACATGCCAATAAAATCTCCTAATTCGGTCATCGTAGAACAGGTTTACACCACTCTGGCATGTTACTACTCGGCGATCTGGTATCGTTCATTCCTCAGAAGTCTTCGATCGTTCCTGCGTTCTTTGGTGCGAATTCTATATATATATCTAGGCCATGATCTTACCCAAATAGTAGTACTCACTAGAGGCTCGTACATGAAGTGGCGCCCTGGCGTTAGGGTCTGAAAACTGGATAGTATTAAGCTCTTGTTTACTGGGCATAAACAGGTTTTCGAACCTTAGTGTATGTAGTATTGGGAATTGTGCTGGATCTATTAGTATATTGCTAGTGACTCACGGCTTCTAAGTGAGATTATCTGTACTACCACTACTAGTAAAGATAGTATATTCCGGTCCGCTTTAGCTGTAGTACTATAATCACCTAGCAGTTGCTAGTCGCTACAGATAGATCTACAGTGCCAACCGGGAGACCACAGCTACTAGTAACAATAGTTTCCACTACTACAGACTTATACTGTTGTGTTGATATGGTTAGTTAAGATTAAATACTGTCTTCGAAATCATCATACACTGCGTATAGACTCATGCACAAACTCGTTGAAGCCGTCAAGCCTCTCCCATATCTACACGATCCTGCGTGGGATTGTCTCCCAGATCTACCACCATCGGAGCATACTCTCCTAGTTCGTCGTCTTCATCATCATCATGCATATCAAGCTCCACCTCTTCACCATCCTCCAATTGAACCATACCCCGTCGAACAAAGACTTCACGGTTCAGCTCCCAATCATATTCCTCCTTGACCCAAGCCTCGAGCTTGTCAAACTCAGTCTTCACCATTGACTCAGTTCCATCGACGATCTCATGAAGCGACCGTCTAAACTTCACGAGTAGTCTTCGTAGGAACTCACCACCTTCCTCACCATCAAGGTCGAAGAGCCCCCCTTCAACATCATCACATCTCTTGAGCTGCAGTAAAAGTAACCTCAACACCCCAGCCAACAAGGCCTCTCTGTCCCGTATAGCCGCCCGACACGTCAGAACCAACTCCAGCAGCCTCTTCCACTGCTGGAGGCAAGAGTAATTCATGAGCGTCAAGATCATCAAGAACGCAAACTGCAGCTCCCCAAGCACCTGAGCCTCCCCAACACTTTCATCCCCCCCAGCATCCACAGAAACCCGATGTATCAAGTCACCCAACGCCCACGAGCGATCCTGCGCCGCCTCCGTCCTCTCACGCCCAATAGCCCCCTCCCGCCACGTCCTCTTCAAATCAATCGGCAGAAAAGAGAACTCGCTCTCCTTCTCCCCCGTAACCTTCTCTAATTCCTCCGTCGCCTCCGCCGAATCCATAAGCCCAGGTATAACATCCGTGTCCCTCTGCGCCGAGCTAGCAGACGTAACCATCCACCGCGGCCGACCATCCACATCCAGAGCCGGATCGCCCACAACGCGCGTCAAAAGCCGCGGCGTCAATTTATCCGTCAGTTCCTTCCAGGTCTGTCTTCCTTCTTCCTCATCCTCCTCGTCGATTTCAAGTTGTACCGGATGTCCAGCATTCTGTTGCGCCAAAGCCGCCGGTGAGACCCGACTGCGGTACCGGAATAATCCACCCCTTTGCCATATAGCTCCCAGGTTCGCTTTGTGGCGCATCGCTTCTTGTTTGTCTGCGTCGCTGTCGATGGTTAATGGGGCTAGGGTCTCGGTGTCGGTGTTCCATTTCCAGACAATTATGTCTGCGCCGGGGTGCGAGGGGGTGGTGAGCGCGACGCTGCCAGCTTGGGCTTCGTTAAATTTGGTTATGTCACCGACATAGAACCAGCCGCCGCTGCGGAGGGATAGACTTTCTGTTGTTCCGGTGTAGAGGAAGTGCCATCCTGAGGGGAGGTCGCGGATGCCGTGGAAGTTGGGGGTGGAGGTGAAGGTTATTAGGTCGATACCGACAAAGGTCTTTGGTGGGAGGTGAGGGACAAGGATTGTAGGGGACGGTGAGAGAGAGGATGTCATGTCTGCGTTATGGATATCTCAACGGTGGGATCGCTGTGTTTGGTCGTGTCGCATGTGCAAAAGATCGGATCGCAAAGCTGACGTCAAATCAGGTAGGCCGAGTGGAGATAAATGATGGCGATAATGGTACATGTATGGTGAGCGAGACGTTAAAGCATGGGAAAAATTCGATAAGTCCGAAAAGAATCGACGTGTAAAAAATCGTGGCAGGGACAGGAAGGTGGAGGGAAGCTCTGGGTAGATCGATAAAATGTGCTTATCTTAGCTTGATTGCGGGATAAGGAGCCCGGCTACGGAGTATCAAAAACCATCGCCTGCCATATCTTTCGGCTCAACTCACAAGCGCAAGATGTGTCAAGACGCAAGGAATAGGCACTGGCAGGTTGCATAGATTCTATACGCATGTTCTATCTACTGTGATTCTCTACGCAGAAAGTTACAATCAAGGACCATATCAGTTCTAGGTTCATTATATTGACTAGAGCAACCGCCACGAAGACAGCAGACTACCTAAATCCAGAACCGAAAGACACACTTTTGGGTATGTAATAAATTGAAGACCAGGCGATAAAGGCCGTTCTCCGCGTTTATTCCATCCACATACGGCAAGCAAGGCCAAGTCCGCTCCAATCCAACCATGCGGAGAAGCTCCGCACAACTTGGAATAAGTGAACCCGCACATGCTTACAAACGACGACCACGGCGACCACCCTTGCGACGAGTAGAGTCGGAGGGAGTGGGGGTGACGTCCTCGATACGGCCGATTCTCATGCCGGAACGGGCAAGAGCACGGAGGGCGGACTGAGCACCGGGACCGGGGGTCTTGGTGCCGTTACCTATATCGAAGATTAGTTTTGTCTCTTGAGTTGGTGCTGTTATAGCGCTCGTTCACATACCACCAGTGGCACGGATCTTGATGTGGAGGGCGTTGATGCCAAGCTCCTTGCAGCGAGCAGCAACATCCTGAGCAGCCAACATGGCAGCGTAGGGGGAAGACTCGTCACGGTCAGCCTTGACCTTCATACCACCGGTGACACGGCAGATGGTTTCGCGACCACTGTTATCCCAATCAGTTAGCCAACTGTATCCCGCGCAATAACCTATGCGACAATTCACGATATCCGACTCCTAGTCCATCGCGGGGCGCAAAATGTTCACCGGAGAACGGAATTTCGTGCAGTCGATAATCGGGTACTTTAAGATGTGACGAACCTCAGATCGGTGACGTGGACGAAGGTATCGTTGAAGGAGGCAAAGATACGGGCAACACCGAAAACGAGCTTGCCTGCAATTCAATCTCAGATTAGACATGGTCTCAAATCGTAAATTCGTGAAGCGTGCCCTGGGTTGTACATACCATCTCCGGCCAAAGGACCGAGAGAGACGTTCTCCTTGGCAGCACCGGCGGTCTTCTTGGGAGCCATTTTGTCGACTTGCTGGGGTAGTGGGATGGAATATGGAAAGGAAGGAAAAAAGGAAGTCGATAGGCCTCAAATGGCTTGGATACAGAAAATGACTGGTGTGTGCCCTACCCACGGCGGCTCACATTCTGATTGGCTAAGATTGATCAAGGGCGGTGGGCAAGCGAGTCTGGCAGCCTGAGGCCGCGGCACCGCGGTGAATCAACTCGATGACTCTTTCTGTGACAGGCGTTGTAACGCCGGGTGGGCAGTCGGCCCGGTTTGGTGCTCCCTCCAGCACTATTTAAAATTTCTGCTGCAACCTCCCGAGCTATAACTTTCTTCTTTCTCTTCATATCCAATCAGGCAGACAGTCGGACTCAGTGGCTTTGTCTGCTGGCTTGTTTATTGGCTCAATTGAGCGTGTCGCGCAGCCTAGTTTCTCAACAAACAAGACTGAACGAGGACTAATCCAACCAGCAATCATGGGCTTCACCAAGGAATCAGCCACGATCGGCATCATTGGCATGGGAGACATGGGCAAGATGTACGCCCAGCGTCTGAGCGCTGCCGGATGGAGGTAATATTTAAACAAGTGTCCTTTCCAGTCAGTTGTTTCCGATTGTCAATCACCCTGGTGGTGTGCCATTTGTAATAGGTGAGCTCTCCCCTTCTGTTCTTATCTCTCGCTTTCCCCGTTGCTTCTCTCCCCCTCTTTGGATGATGACTTGAGTGCATTTGGCTCGAGTATGGCCTGGTGGTAAGCTTTCCTACCTTGGTAGGTTTGCGACTCTGCTAGACCGTCAATGATGTAACATCTCAGCTACCTATATTTCTTTGTCTGAAACCCAAAGCTATCAACATATGTTTATGATGATTCCTTCACACACTTGTGCATTATGGCCTTGTGCTAACCATTCTGCCAAACTAGGTTTTCGTGTTGTATATTGTTAGAGAAAAGCAGAAACCGGACTGAATTAGCTGTACTAACTATTTACTCTTTTTTATCTATCAAGGATTAATGCATGTGACAAACCCGACTCGTATGAGCGTCTTATAAAGGAATTCGAATCTACAGTACGTCCATGATACTTCACAGCTCGCGCTGTCCAGACATAAACTCATCCTTCATAAAACCAAAAAGCAAAATGTCACTATCTTTCCCAATGGCCACCTGGTTTCCAGAATAAGCGATTACATTATTTACAGTGTAGAGGCCGGTGTCATCGACAAGGTAGTGGAAATGTATGGCCCGTGTATGTATTTCAGTGCAAAGGCTTGCTTGCTGCGCCCTTATTTGTGCATCATGAGAGAATATGCCTGTCTGACTTGTGGAATATCACAAAAGCTACCAAGGTCGGCGCAATTGTCGGTGGTCAAACGTCCTGCAAGGCTCCTGAGCTCGCGGCTTTCGACAAACACCTTCCCAAGGACGTAGAGATCGTATCATGCCATTCGCTACATGGCCCTCAAGTCAACCCTAAGGGTCAACCTCTGGTACGCTGCTGTCTGCCTGCGCCTGCCTCTCTCTGGTTTGGCTTGAGCCTATTGTCGCTCAAGCCAAGATCATGCACAGTACAAAGTATGATAACATTTACGCCCATTTTTGCTTTGTCTAGGTCTTGATCCAGCACCGTGCCTCCGACGAAAGCCTCAACTTCGTCAGGGAAGTCCTGTCATGCTTCGAATCCACGTTCGTTTACCTCTCCGGAGAGATGCATGACCGCATCACGGCAGATACCCAGGCCGTCACCCATGCGGCCTTCCTGAGCATGGGAACCGCGTGGCAGGCCAACCAGCAATTCCCATGGGAAATCTCCCGCTGGGTGGGAGGCATCGAGAATGTGAAGATCAACATTACCCTCCGCATCTACTCCAACAAGTGGCACGTGTATGCCGGTCTTGCTATCTTGAACCCAGCGGCGAAAAAGCAGATCCGGCAGTATGCAGAGTCCGTGACGGACCTGTACAAGCTCATGATCGAGGGCCGCCGAGACGAACTCAAACGCCGTGTCAGAGCTGCAGGGGAGGCCGTTTTCAAAGCGGGTACCAACGGACAGGATCTGCTATTGAAGGACGAAGTTCTCGACCGTTTCTCCCTGTCAAACCGGGAACGTGAGCAAGCTCCTCCAAACAGCCATCTCAGTCTGCTTGCCATCGTTGATTGCTGGTCCAAACTTGGAATTGTCCCCTATGATCATATGATCTGCTCGACACCCGTGAGTGCTTGTCCCTTGCTTTCCATGGCGTTCCGGCCTCCTTTCTCTTTCTTCCCCGCGCAATATATGCAATGTAACGTTGCTTTAAAGCCAGAGTCTAATCACGGCGCGCGCGTGCAATTGATATAGCTTTTCCGTCTGTGGCTGGGCGTCACGGAATACCTCTTCCGCAATCCCGAACTCCTCGATGCGGCCCTAGACACTGCAGTCGACGACAAGACGTTCCGCTCGGATGACCTGGAATTTACCTTTGCAGCTCGCGTGAGTACCAACCTGTTTAGCTCCAAAAAAGACCCTGGCCGCGCTTGCGCGGTTTTATTCCATTCCAATGGATATGGATGGGCATTAGAAGAACCCAACCCCTCCTCCCAAGCACATTCATTGTGATTTGTACACAACACCACCACTGACGTCATTCACTATAATCGTGCAGGCATGGTCGGACTGCGTATCGTTCGGTGATTTCGAGTCATACCGCGACCGGTTCGAGCGGATCCAGCAGTACTTTGCTCCCCGATTCCCCGAAGCCGTCAAGCTGGGCAACGAAATGATGAAGACCATTCTGGAGAAGACCGCAACGGGCCAAGCCTAGTATAGGAGAAGACACACGAAAGAGATGAAATTCGAGTAATGCCAATGGCTCCTCCCAAAGTCTAAAAGCCCAATCACAAGAAGCCGGCTAGGGAAAGTCGGGTAGCGCGTCTAGAATAGGTGGAAGTCTCTGCGCCAGTCCGGCAGGATCGGGGAGGGGCCAACCCATAATAATCATACTCATAATAACACTAATGATATATTAATAATAATGTGTAATAGGCAGCAACTGGCTCGCTCGCTGGATAATGACGGATGGGAACGACGACAGGTGACAACAGCGGAACTTTGGGAAACAACGTACGGGGATTATCCCTTGAACTAATCGCAATCGGGCAAATAAGGGTACTCCTTTGGATTGTTATTGACAGGGTTTCTTTCCCAGGTCGAAAGAGAGTCATGGAAAGTCACGGAATTTCTACTATCAGGCGAAAATGGTTATTTTTCTTTTTCTCTTTATTGCTATGGCGCTGTCGTTGCTCCGTGTGGTTGGAGCAGCTCTTGGTATGTTAATTGGGCATGCATGTATGTAGTATGTTTTTGTTCACGCGCGCGGGGGCTCAGGTCGCTCGCACTCTTTTGCGCACGGAATATTCCACCGTATCGCTATGGGCTGGGCTTTATCCATTTAGGGCAATTCGCACACGTTTCATGGGTCCCGCCATGGCAGTCACTAAGATGCTAAGCCCGGATGTTATTAGTCCAGGCGGTAGCTAAAAGGTACTAGGCTGCTTGGTGTCGTATCTTTGAGAGGTGCCAAAACTCTGGAATGGAAAACGTAGACCTAATCCGATCCCAACAGACTTAGGAGGGTAGTATCGTTCTTGGTCCTCTTGCATGAATAGATCATCAAGTAGAGTGTGAGTGTGTGCGCGCGCATTTCGAAGCGACTAGCTACTGCTGGAGCCGAGATCTTATATTACTTGCATGGCCTGCTTTGGGAAAACAAAGGGTTGATCTGTATGCTGCATGACGTTTGGGACGGAGACCCTCCTTTGAGGCTTCAGCCCCGGGTCGTGGGAAGTCCGCGGTTCCGGTAGGGGACATGGATTTACGGAGTACGCCGGATCATTTAGATCGATTGTTCTCCGGATGGATATTAAACTTTGAATACCATAAATCTCGGACGAGAAGAGCAGATGTAAAGGCGGATTGGTAGGATTGGTAATGGTCCGGAGCAGACCGTTTTTCTTGGGGCACGTCGCAGGTTGTGCTCGATCGATAAATCTTGGCATCGATGCACTTGCTAAGTCCGAAGCGGTTGGTAGTAGCCTAGCTGGATATTGATAGTTCACGAACATGTCGTATACAAAATTATCTTAAAAGTCCTATCTGAGCGGACCAGGCCGTCTTGTGGCGTAGTGTCGTATGTGCCGGGGTATGCTAGGATGATTACGATCCAGGCTATGGCGCTCCCTGGCCTGCATCGTCATCTGCATGGCCATTGTCTTTTCAAGCCACCAGATGGTGTAGTGGTAGTCAGAGTGGGGTATCACATGGCTGCACTATTTGCATGGCAAAATCTTTTTGCTTGCGAGGTGCTAAGAATAACCGAGCTGTGGACTGATCGAGCCTGGAGGCGTCGGAGGTTTGCGTTATTGGCCTAGTCCGCCCTAGACGAGTCACAATAATGACAGCTTCAGGAGCCCAAAACATAGGGGGCGTCCGACTAAGGTGGTCCTGCTTCTTTTCTGAAACCATGCTGCGCAACCTTTCCCCATACACCTTTTCATGTCTGTACTCCGCTGCACGCAACAGGCCATACTGACTGTCGGTCAACCCATGAAAACGTGTGGAAAGTGCTGCGTTGTCATACTATGCTTTGGGAGACGCGTGGATAGCGTATAGGGATACGGTATCCGTCTTCCCTTGGTGCATAAAACTATGGCCATAGAATAGACTTTTTCTTATCGCCCCCCTCTAGGTTTCCCATTCGCCTCGAACCCCTTTTTATGGGAAGAAAAAGGGTTAAGCCCAGGATTTCCCAGCCCAAGGTTGCCCGGCTGTCCTATTTCAAGAATGGTAAAACCGCCGTCTTGAGACCTCGCAATCGGCGAAGAGCTGACCCGTGGAAAGCCAGTTAACGAAGGTCCCGTCTCCCGGCTCGACCATGTGATTGGACCCGTTATCCCGGAGGCCCACCCCTGGATGAGCAGCGAAAGAACGCCCAGGATCGGTGAGAATACGACTGCTTCCGAGATCCGAGAACTTGGTCTTAGCTACGGATGGCGGATGCTGATTGGCAGCGGGGGTCTTTCACAGGATTCGTGCGTCCGAGAAAGTAATGTGGGTGACCACTCATGTCTAGTGACGAAAGGGTCCATGATTGGCGCCAGGAACATTAAGCGGACTTGAGTTCGAAGATAGCAAGTAACAGTGGACTAGATGGATAGTAGAGAAGTTGTAGCTAGCTAATACACCGGAGCCACTTTGTAAGTAAGAACTCAGTTTTGAGAAAAAAAGAAGATGAGTGGCTACCGATGACGATGCAACCATAATAATGGTGGTGGTAGTGGTGGTGGAAGGGGAGGAAGGGGAAGAAGCTGAGTGAAAGATGGGAAACAACCGGGATACCTGTAGCTTGAAAAGAACTTACAGAACTGACTTAAAGTACTCTGATTCTGGTTCACCATTCGGAGTACTTTTACTCCGGTCTCTGGTAAGATCGGAGGCTGGATCATTTTACCATAGCTTTTCTGGGGATTGAAAACAGGTCAAGAAAGGTGTAACCAAACGCAGAAGCAATCTTCATTCGTTTGTAGATGATGGATGGACCTCCAACCGAACGACGATTGTGTGCCAGCCCAGAGAAAGGGACGGGGGAGAATAACAGAAGGAATAACAAGGGAAGAAGAAGACCTGAGTTGATGGGTCCGGCTGCAGGCTGCAGTCTGATTGATCAGCTGCTGCTCTCCGACCCAATTGGCATGCCCCATCCATTGAACGGTCGAAAATCATGATGCTGGATTCCCGACAGAAGTTCCTTTCGCTCGTTTTTTGCCCCCCTTCTCTACGCACTCCGTCGGCCTGTCTTTTTTGCCCTCTTACGCTACTACTGTACTAGTGTCTTCCTTCCCTCCCTCGAAATCCACACTACCACCCACCCCCCCCAAGAAACCCAAATTCAATCCAGGCTCCTCTCCCGTCTGCAAATAAGCACCCAAACGAAAGTTGCGCATGGACCCAACTCCATGGATATGGCATAGTCCCAACCTGGTTTGATTAAATGTCCACTAGGCAGTCATCGTACCTTGGGATGGAACCCCCCCCCCTCCGGCTGCTAGTATGGTTTGGGACATTGCTGGGCTCTTCCTTCAGTGCTCTGTCTGGGCATAAGTTGGCGAGCACAGACCATGTGGCCATTCCACTCCAAAATATGCCCACTGAGAGCCCGGAGAGGCGTGGCAGCTGGGGGAACTTTAAATTGGGAAAAACCCGAAGATTTTCGCCATGGTTGATCTGAGAAAAAATCAAGGTACCCGCTTGCCTTGCGCGGTGGGCATATCTATCTGACAATCGCCCATTTTGATTGACGATCTTCTCCTTTCGTGGGCCCAATCTTGCTTTCTATCGCTGTTGGATCTGAATAGACTCGATTGCCTTCACTCGCTCTTCTGCCCTTTCTGTCTCCCTGGCAGCTGCTAGTCCGTCCATCGGAGGGTGTTCGCCCGCATGGTAGCGTGATCTCCCATCTCTTCATCGTTGTGATTGCCATGCAGATCTGTCGCATGGCATCTGTGGCACATCACTATGTGGCTTAGGACAATCATGCACCTTTCGATTCTTCAATTGCTCTAAGTATGAACAGCCCTTGTTTCCCTTGTTCTCTCCAAACATGGCACCTCTGCTCTAGCAATCCCTTGCCAATGGACGTGACCACGGTCCCCCCCCGTCGCCTTCCAGGCCCATTGATGGTTCATTACGAGGATGGGGGCTTTCGGTCTTGTATACCGAGAGAATCCAGTAGATGTCGATTTCCCCAAACGATGCTTGGTCTTTACTGACAGAATCTGTCTCCGCAGTGATGTTTCTTATCTCGTCTATCTATGAATATCATCAGGCCTCCAGCAGCAACTGCTAAGATTCCAGCATCTATACTTCCAGGAAACCTCCACCAGAAGGTGTCGCCCGCACGCAATCCTGGTTACATTCTATTCAGGACAGTCCTTTTGTGATACTATTCTTTTGGTATCCTTATATTTATTCTCATTGTATTATTCGTGAAGTGGCTTGGGCCCGCTCTCTCTCATTTTTCCTACATCTACACTGATCCGACCATCAATCGCCTACCTTTTCCTTCCTTTCCTCAAAGCCTACCCTCAAACAATCCTTTTTACCATCCAAATGAAGTTCTCAAATATCTTTGCTGCTGCAGTCGCTGCCTTTGGTTTGGGTAAGTGCCTCCTTCTGATATCATTGTACCTGCTGAATTGGCTGACTGTTTTTATTTAGTGCGCTCAGGTTGCAGCCAAATAGTCAAGCACAGACCATCAGAAGGTGCAGGTGTCTCCTATAGCATCAATGTGCCTAAGAATACCTCTTTGACGGGCTCCGGCCCCATCTTTCTCCAATTACAGGCACCACCTGGTGTCAAATGGTTTGCCCTGGGTCAGGGGTCCCAAATGACAGACGGGAACCTGTTCATCGTCTATGCGGCATCCAAACATAATGTCACTTTGTCCACTCGGAGGGCAAGTGGCCATGTGCAACCTCTCTATGACCCTAGTATCGAGGCTTATCTTCTCGATGGCTCTGGTATCCACGATGGGGTCATGACGGCCAATATATGTTGTGATAACTGCACAACACTTGCTAATGGAGAGAGTGCACTGGGCAATTCTAGCTCCTGGATGTGGGCCCTGACGCATGGCCCTCCGCTGGTGTCTAGCAATGTATCCCAGCTGTTATACCAGCATGACTGGCATGGCACTTTCACCTTGAATACCACTTGGGCTGTTGGAGGCAACAATACCAATCCCTTCGTTATTCCGATGGGGACCATGCACGAGCTTTCGGCGTACACTCACCAACAACAAGTCAGCGACACCATCCTCCATAAGAAACGAATCGCCCATGGCGTGATGACCTCGGTGGCCTTCGTCCTTCTCTTTCCCAACTTCGCTCTTCTTTTGTACATCGTCCCTTCTCGGCGTACAGTACCATGGATCCACGCTCCTCTGCAGCTTTTTGCTGTGCTTCTGGCGTTAGCTGGGTTCGGAGTCGGTGTTTCTGTCTCCAAAGATCTGCAGGAGCTTGGAGGCTACCACCCGGTCATAGGGTATGTGGCAGTTGGGGGTGTTGTTTTGATCCAGCCAGTACTGGGCATCATGCAACATATTCATTTCCGCAAGACGGGAACGAGTTCGCTATATGGCGTCTCCCATCGTTACCTGGGACGGTTTTTCGCGGCCCTGGGTGTCATCAATGGTGGAATAGGGTTTCATTATGCCACTGCCAAAAACCCTGATATTCCTCCGGCTTCCCCTATTGCTTATGGCATAATATGTGGGTCAATGTTTGTCATCTATGTCTCCGTCATCTTGTGGCGGAGATCGAAATCGGCATCGAAGACCTTGAGGTTCAATTTACCCTTCTTTCGACGGCGACAAGAGAAACCGCCAATCGCCAAACTTGGAAACAACAGCGACAGCACACTTTGTGGGAGTGGAGTCGTTGAGACGTCTCGGGAGAAGTCATGGTTGCCATGAAACTCCCGCAGAATATCACGATCATTATCAGCATTTTGTACTATCAAGCGTACATTTTCGTTGGGTCTTGCATATCCGGAGTTCGTCGTACTATAGCATCTTGCCATCTTCCATTCTCTTCCGATCTTCTCTTCTCACCCCTGTTATCATGTAATATTTTATTGCATCAACAGGATCTCTCACTTGTCTTCCACCCCTACTTTCGCTAATCTCATGCATTATATCTCCGAGAGATTCTTCTGTATATATACGAGCTAGCTCGTTTGACTGCTTGCCATGTGTTCCATGACTATGTTGGTCTTTCGCGAAAAGGCATCGATCACGACGCCCAATCAATCATATTTACTAGTCAATCATCTCGAAGTGTATCGTTAACAAGTTAGAGAATAAATACACATAAAATGCTCAAATATTTGTGAGCAATCAATAGTGGAGGCAACAGAAGCGACGATAAACAAGCTACTACTCCGTAGTATCTACTAGGCTAAGTTAGTTAGCCTGAGGCGATAAGAGCGGGTTAGTCAGCTGGGGATCCAGCCTGAAACCACCAGCGGTGGGATTGGAGAAAGACCCCGGTCATTGAGGCAGATTACTTGCTTCGTTCTCTAACTAGCATCTAGCGTTGTCATCTGCAGCCTGTGCTACATGTGATTTAGTTCTTAGACGCCCTCAACCTTCCCGATCCCTCCCCCCTCTTCAGCCTCACCACCTTCGTGACCGCCGTGATTTTGTTTCCCCTCCCCTCCCTTTTGAGGTGCCCGCCGTCAGCGAACACGCCCATCGAGAGCAGTCGGTCTCCAAACACCCCGGGCAGTTTGATCGCTCCGATAGTGTCGGTGTTTTTGTCGGCGAACTCAATGCAGTCCTCCGTTCCCTATTTCAATTGCGACAGGTGATACGCACTCCTCTCTTGCGGCTAGATGGAGCTCTATGGCGTCCGGACATAACTCAGCGTTCTCCGCGACGTCAATCCAGCACCGTGCTGTGGGTGATGGACGGTCATACAATAGCTTGGAGGATAACACTGCAGACGGTAGCTGGCCTGAGTCCGCTACGCGAACCGGACGAAATGCTCGTTCGGAGTCTGGAGGCAGTGCGACCATTGGTCTCCGGGGAGGGTCATTAGCCCCTTCTTCGGGGGCCCCTGGTAGCTTCAGCTCTGAGCTTAAAAGCATGAAGACGTCGCGGAGCACGACCCCTCGACCCGAAGGTGTTCCCGCACGAAGACCGAGCAGTTTAACAGAGCACGATGAGTTGTCCAGCACCGAGGAGCGCCAGGCCGTGATCCGGGACAAGATCGCAAAAGAGATGAAAATAAAGACGGGGACGGAAAACATGCTCGAGGCGCTCCTGGCGAAAAACCCGAAACATACCAAAGATCAGAGGCTAAGGGTGGAATCGGAGCTGAGTTCGTCCAACCGCAAGCTTGCCGAACTACATCATGAACTGGAGGAGGAAATGCTACGTGCGCAGGCGCCGTCCACCCCTCCCCGAAGTCGCCTTTCAAGCCTATTCCAAGGTGGCCCGATGCGTTCGCCGACTCGGAGCAATATACCTATCGAGGAGCAGCAGATCCCGGAAGGTGAAGCGGAAATGGAATCACCGACATATGTGCTGGCGGAAACACTCCAGGCCCTGGAAATCGAGGGCATGTCCCCAGATTATTACGTCGAGCGTGCGAATAGCCTGGTGGAACTGTTCAAGAGACATCCTACTTTGAAGTACGACTTGGAGTGGTCGGTGTTCGGGCTCCGCGTGCAGATAATGCTCTTAAGTGACAGCAAGGAAGCTGTGGCCGCAGGGTATCGTTTGACTCGGTATGCCATCGCGGATCGGAAGTCGTTGCAAATTATTCGGTCATTACATACAGACGAGCTGGTAATATTGTCCCTTGTCAAGGAAAGCAAGGCGAGCATCGAGCGTGAGCAGGCCTTGAAGTTTGTTAGAGCGTTTTTGGACGTTAAGGATGGCGTTCGGGAGATCTCGCGTGCTGTGGTCAGAACAATCGTCTCTGTTGCCGAACATTACGAGGACCGCCTCCGGAATATTTCCATCATGACTCTAGCTGAGATCTTGGTGAAGGATCCGGCCCTAGTCGCATACTCTGGGGGCTTTGCCACTCTGCATGATGCTCTCGCCGAGGGGACTTTTGGCGCCTCAGAAAGTCTGATAGCGAGCTTCCTTCATGTGCTCGATACCCCTCATAGCAGGAAACATCTCCGTGGAGGGTGTGAGCTAGAGGCTGTTCTTGCACCGTTCACAGACTCTTTGTCGGATACTGTTCGCAATGGGCGCCTTAAATCTTCGGCTAGGGCGATCTCTGCCATGCTCAAGACGTGGCCAGGATTGATAGTTCTCGCAAGAAATGGGGCCCAGCCTTTGCAATCTCTCTTGGACTCGTTACACTACCCTGACCCACAGGCAAGGGATCTTATTATGGAGCTTCTGTTCGATGCGTTGAGGATAAAACCACCTTCATGGTCCTCCTCATTCCTCGCTGGTCGCAGATTGACAACTTATGGAAGAGTGGCTAATCTCAGGACGGAGACCGATACAAAGCAAGCTCGAAGCTTCTATGATGACGATGGAAATAGGTTCGACTTGACAGCGCATTTCTCAACTCTCATCCTTGCAACCCTGGTGGATGCAGGACTATCCAAGGTCGGTCCTCTCAATTCTGAATTATGGTAACATATTGACACGGTGCAGGCTCTTTCCGATCTCATTGAGGATGAAACGGATTTGTCTCTTAGACGCAAGGCGACGTTGCTTCTGACCGAAGTCCTAAAGCTGGCACATCACTCTCTGCCCCAGCATATCAGTGCGAAGCTCCAGGTCCTCCCGCATTTGCTACCAGCCGCTATACAATTCGACGTCGATAACCACGATGTTTCCACCTCAACCATATACCAGATCGAAAGCATAAATAGAACGCTGGCCCGCTCTGTAGGGGGCGTGTCAAATGGAGCAGGGCGTTATAACGTCGACGTTGACATATCTGCCTCTCTACTTACTGGCGACCAAGGCAAGGAGAAAATGAACCCTGCCATGGATGAGACCCAGTTCCGAAATGCGATCCTGGAGACTCATGTTCTCAATACTGTGAATTACCTAAAGTGGAAGTGGGACTTGATCCACCGTATTGTTGAGGGCCCTCTGACCAACCCCAAGAGGCTGGAGGAAGCGATCAAGGGCTCAAAGTTCATGAAACGACTCATGGGTTTCTACCGGCCATTCAAGTATAGGTTTTCTATGCTGCCGAACACGAAACCAAACCAACGTTATGTCCGCACTGGCTGTGCGCTGATGCGCACGCTGGTGCAATTACCAGAGGGTATAAAATACTTGGCCGAGAACAAGTTCTTGAGACAGGTTGCAGAGTGCCTTGCTCAGGTTGACCGCATGAGCGGACTAACATCCTCCTCTCCATTATTTTCGAAAGAACAAATGACCAACACATTGAGCGGCGGATACTTTGCGATGCTGGGAGTCCTCAGTGGCGACGCCAACGGGCTCGCTATGATGGAGCGTTGGCACATGCTCAACATGTTCTACCATATTGTTGAGCTTCGGGATCGGGACGACCTCATACAAACACTGCTCGGCAACATGGACTATGCCAAGGAAAGTCATCTAAGGGTCATCCTCTCCAAGGCACTCACCACCGGCTCAAAGGAGATTCGCATATTTGCGACGAGACTCCTTCGAAAATATGCGGTTGGAAACGTTCCTCTTTCCTCGCAGTCGGCCACTGGCAATGCCGACTGGGTGGTCAAGCTGCTAGTTACACAGCTATACGACCCTGACGTGTCTGTATGTCAAGTAGCTGTGAAGATCCTCGAAGAGGCATGCAACCAGCGTCACTATCTCGAGTTCGTGGTCAAGTGTCGCCCTTCCCTCGATCACTTGGGTGAAATTGGTGCGCCGCTGCTATTGCGGTTTTTGTCCACCTCAGTTGGGTATCATTATCTGGATGGTCTCGATTACATCACACAGGAGATGGATGACTGGTTTCTCGGCCGTAATGACGCATACGTGGGCCTTGTTGAAGCCGCGCTCTCGCGTGCCTACGTCGATCAACCGCGTCGGAACAGCTTTGTCCCTGAAGATCTTGTAGACCTGCAGGATATCGGACTACTGCCTCCCCATTTCTATAGAGAACTCGCTCGGACAGCGGAGGGATGCAAGCTTCTGGAGCAGTCTGGGCATTTTAATGAATTTGCATGGACCATCCGGGATTTTCAGCTTGATGAAGAAGACACAGAGGCTCTTCTCAAAGTCAAAGGCTGCCTTTGGGCCGTTGGTAATGTGGGCTCCATGGAGCTCGGTGCGCCGTTCCTTGAGCCTGATATTGTCCAGCACATTGTGAAGATCGCTGAAAGCGCGGAGGTTCTGACGATGAGAGGAACGGCCTTCTTTGTTTTGGGGTTGATTTCGCGCAGTCGACATGGCCTTAAGGTCTTGAGAGATTTCGGATGGGACTCTGCTCTCGACCATAAGGGAAACTCTTTGGGGCTGAGTTTGCCGACCGACTTCAACAAGCTCTTTTTGGTATGTCCCCATAAGCCAGTACCAGCGTGCAAGCCACTGATCGTTTTAATCTTACAGGTTGATTTCCCGAGCCATTCCCGGAACCCTGACTCGAAGCGCACATCTCAGGAGAAATTCAAAGAAGCCGCTATGGACACGGATCCGGCCAACCAGAAGATCTTGAAGTTGATAGTCGATATGGGCAATACCGTGCTATCCAAGCGGGCTGCGGCAGACCTCCATAAGTAAGCATTACACCTAATACGCCTAATATAACCAAATGCGATAGAAGCTAACATAAACCGAACCAACAGTCTCAAGTCGAAACAGCCCGATTGTTTCCATCAGCCTCACCTTTTCCGCAAGACCCTTAGTATCCTCGAAAGCCACCACTTCCGACTGCCTGCACGCCGCTTTGCCTTGGACTTGTTTGACAAGAGCGTCATGCGACGCATAGTGTTAGAAGATGATTCCGATTCAGACTCGGAGGCATCGTCTTCCCAAGTATCGAGCTAGGTGGTGGGTGCACTGGCGCGCTCCGAGTCTCTCGCAATGGGCTCTTGTACGCTTTGTTCGAACAATCGTCCTTTTTACGAACTATCATGCACCAAGCTAGACCACAAGCATCCGATGACCTCACGTTTGGAAATCTTCTTTCTTAGCCACCTCTTTCTTTCTGTCTTCCTGGCTATGGCGTTGGATGGTTCCGGTCATGAGCAACGAAAGGATGTTAGCATATCATGTTCTGCTCATTTCTACCTTGGTTTCCGGGCTCTTTTGCCGTTGATCCGATACCTTTATCTGGGTTTCTTCTTTATCCATGCTTGCATCAAATCGAGAGTTTTGTTCACGGGGGTTTGTGGGATTTCTGCATCAATGATCACCATCATTCATCTTAGGAGTGTCCTTTGCCTCGTTCATGGGGCACATATGTACTGTATATACTTAAAGATTACCATTTACCTTTTCAAACCCATGGAAATTCAGCAATGCTTGTTGCCTGACAACTAGCAGCTACTCAAAAGGAAAGATGTCTTGGCTGCCCGCCATGACATCGAAGGCGCGTCCCCGAACCTCGGATGACGGCCGGAGAGAGAGCTCCGGGAAACCAACCAGTCCAGCTCGTCTCCACCCGTCACTGAAGTAAGCCCAACAAAACATTAATCAATCAATCAATATAAGCGCCGACCGACCGACCGACCGACCGACCCTGGCCTAGATTTCTACCTTATTCTTTATATCTAGGACCCTCCTTCTCTTCTTCTCCCCATTCCCCACTCCTTTAAGTACCAGAGAACCCCCATGGAAGATGCCACCATGCCCACCTCTTCTCCACCTCCGCACCCCAGAAGCGCAGAAGAACACGACAGCGATGATCACCACCAACACCTCTCCTCCACGTTGAACAGCTCACGCGACAACGGCCCACTCCTCCCCGCACATTCCATCATCCGCTTCATCCAATGCCCGCGCTGCTCGTTACCGCTCCGAACCCCGCTGCGCCTGCCGTGCGGAAACACAATATGCAAGTCGTGTCTGCCGCCGATTCGGCAACGGACGGGGATCACTTACCCGGCCGATGAGGAGCGGAAACAAGGGTTTACGTGCTATTGGGGAGATGCGGCGTGCTGCCCGGGGGAACACTGTCTGGGGGATTGCGGGACGGATGTTTTGTTGGGGAGGGTGGTGGATGTGTTTGAGGAGGTGTTGGGGAAGGTGGATGGTGGTGATGATAGTGCTGGGTGGTGCGATGTTAGGTGGGAGAGCAAGAGGTTGAGGAGCGAGTCTGAGGCAAAAGGGACAGAAACTGAGACTGAGACAGAAACATGCGTTGCTAGGATTGGGTGCGATGATTTGTTAGGGGGTGTATATGGGTTGGTCAAGCAGGGTCGGGTTGGATATGATGATTTGCTGGAGATGGAAATTGCTACTACTACGTCTTCTGAAGAGGGTCGGGGTCTCCAAGGACAGGATTGTGAAGGGCAACAATCATACGGGAGGTTGAAGGAGGCAGTCCGGGCCGAATTGGACTGCCAGGTCTGCTACTCGCTTATATTGGATCCATTGACGACTTCTTGTGGACATACATTCTGTCGCGGATGCGTGGCTATGGTTCTAAATCATAGTGATCTGTGTCCGCTTTGTCGGCGCAAGTTGAATATGGCTTCGACGGTGCGGGCTGAGCCCGCTAACAGGAGGATCTCGAATCTGGTGGAGGCTTTGTTCCCTGAGCAGGTTGCATCACGTCGCGAGGGTTCCTCCAATGAAGATGGAGTGGCGGCTACGGGAGATGGAGAGCGGACTATCCCGTTGTTCGTGAGCTCGCTTTCGTTCCCGACTATGCCGACCTTCCTGCATATATTTGAACCGCGATATCGGACTATGATTCATCGAGTGATGCAGACGAGGGATAAGAAGTTTGGTATGGTTATGTATAATCGCTCCGGTCGGCTGCAGGAAGGTTTGGGCAGGGCCCAATTCATGCAGTATGGTACAGTGCTGGTGGTGGAACGGTTCGAGCTACTCCCCGATGGAAGAAGCTTAGTGATTGCGTCGGGGGTGTCGCGCTTCAAAGTGATCAGCTTTGAGATGGTGGATGGATACCATGTTGGTAGGATACAGCGTGTGGATGATATTGCGATATCTGAGGAGGAGAGGCTAGAGTCTTTAGAAACTTCATCGGGAACAGAGGAATCGCTATCACCAGCGTCATCACCACTGGAGTCTCTGCCCACGCAGCAGCTATTTCAGATCGCCTTGGATTTTATCGACAAAAGCCGTCGCGAAGGAGCAGCATGGCTCCATCCGCGTGTTTTGCTAGCTTACGGCGAGGCACCTACTGATCCGGCTGTGTTTCCCTGGTGGTTCGCCTGCGTTCTGCCTCTTTGGGAGGATGAGAAGTACCAACTTCTAGCGACGACAAGCGTCCGGGATAGACTGAAGAAGGTTGTGCGGTGGGTGAGGAAGTCAGAGTCTCGAGAGTGGTAGGTAGATGATCGGTCCGCTTCATTTGGACTTTTCTTCCACATCCTTCCTGGCTGGCGCTCACAATTTCTCTTGACAAGGTTGGCTCGACCCCGACCATCATTCGCCTCGGTCTTATGACTAGCCGTCCCTCTCCTCGTCTTTTCCCTCGTGCCAATGGTTCTGAGCCCAGCTTTGACATACCTAGCGCCGTCTGCGGGAGTCTTTACGTCCTTCACGCCATTCTCCATGTCTGTCTCCATCTCGTTTGGGTCTCCTCGCCCAGTTGATCCTGATCGCCGGCAGCGGGCGCAGAATCAGGATTCAGGAGGAAGCTATATCCCACAGACTCTTGTAATGGGGATCTTCTTGGCTATCTTTGCGACGCAAATGGCGATCAATGTCGTCCAAATTCGGCGAGCCAGACGGCGAGAACCACGCTGATAGATATGGACAACGAAAGACAAGACGAGGAAGAGGGACCGCACTCATTCACGCCAAGGTACGGGCTAATCCTTGACGTATCGAAGGCGCTGATAGTACGCGATAGCGTTTATTGGTCCTTCTACTAGTTGACCTTCGTGGCGCCCGGCCAAAGTCTGTGGCAGCCATGGTTTCTCCTCAAAAGCGAGGAATATAAATATACCCCGTCCTAGCTGGTGGCTGGTTGCCGCAGGGGCATACCCAATTCGGGAGCTATCCATCGCATCGAATAGGTGGGCTAACGCCCAGCTCGTAGAGTCTGGTGCGACTCCATGCAGGCATGGGATTCTTTTCTTTTCTTCTTCTTCTTCTTCTTCTTCCTCTTCTTCTTCTTCTTTTTATATCTCCTATGATCGGCCGATGACAGGGTCGACGGGAACTTACAGCTTTCTGCAAATAGAGGGGTAATAGGAGGGTTTAGGGAGGTTTCAGGCAACTAACTGTTTGGGAATCCCTGCATGTACGTTTGAGAGAGCGCATTGGTGGTGGAACTGGAAGAACCAACCCGTAGCTATCTATGCATAAAGTAGGAGCGAATGCGCCTTGCGTGCGTACCGCAGTTGGTGGAGAACGCTAATGGCGAAGCCTGATAAGAGAACAATGTTGCCTAACTGGCAGGGGTAGAGCCTCTGAGCCCATATCCAAACTCTGACTTGTCCACCGCAATGCAGTGCTGCTGCGGCCGTTTGCCGCTGAGCTGCGCTGGTTGGTGGGCGTTGGTCGCACAAGCGCTGCGGTTGAGAGTTGCGACGCTAAACCACCCAAGCGTTGCAAGATGGCGAGGAAAAAAGCAGAGAGCAGATGCAGCTCATGCAATCCTAATCGCCCTTTCCCATGACGTGCCTCGTCGCTTGCCTATTCGGGCCCCATTGAGTCTGGTTCGCCATGCTGTCCCTGATGCGTTGGCTTGCCAGTTCCCCCGGTCGTTTCCTTCCTTCTCTCTTTCTTTTCGTCTTTCTTCCTTCATCTGCAATTGATCCGCTGTTGCATCTTATCTGCAGTCTTCTTCTTTATCACTTTGAAGTATCTCCCTACGCGTGGAGAGCCCACGGTGAGTAGTATATCCCGACTGTATAGTGTACTGTTTTTCACCAGCAGGATGAAGATGGGAGAAAGATACTAGAGACACCAAACCAACACCCTTGTAGAGGAGAAAGAGAAAGAAAAGAGAAGAATGAAGTAAAGACAAGAAATGGGTCGGGTGATCCATCGTGCTTGCGAAGTTGATGTGGAGCGACCTTGAATTGGAGATATCAACTTCCCTTTCCTCCTATTCTCCCCTCTACTTCTCGGCTCTTCGTTTCCACAATCTTCTCCTGCACTGCATTTCAGCTTCTCTTTTGCATCTTCCAGGTGAAGGTCGCTCAAGCTGACAGCTTCTTCCTAGTATCATCTCAATGTCTTCTTCTTCTTCAGGTAAGCTTGGCTTCATCTACATTCCCAAGCTGCTGGCGGATTGCCTGATCTTTACTAAAATCACCCCACACCCCAGATTCCCGTACTATGGCCTCGTCGACCTCATTCACGAGCCATCCCAATAGCTATATGCCTCGAAGGTGAGTGACATCGACATTCTAATCGCTTGCTGTCTGCAGCTCTATGCTCGTGTTTACTTGTATACTGAGATATGTACTTATCCGACTGACTGGTATCTAAACAGACCATATGCTGTGAGTCCCCTCAACTGCTCGCTTAGAATCCCGTCAATTGCGAGCTAACTTGACGATTGTGCCATTATACAGCAACTCCCGAGCTATAAAAGTACACCGTCAACCGCAGAAACCGTCACCATTCCCCGCTCGGAATATGATCGTCTGGTGAGTGCAATGTGACAGGTCCAAAATGGCCCCTCACTGACCGGTGACACTTCGCAGCTCCAAGACTCGCAACATTTCGGTACGCGACCGCCTCTTATTTATCTCATATCTATCTCGACAGCTGACATTATTACTCCAGCTAAATTAAGAACCTCGCTCCTCACTGGAGGGCTGTCGCAAGAGACTCTTGATGTCAGGACACGCCCACTAATTGGCGTATATTTACTGACCTATACAGGTATTGATTTACGGGGCTGCTCAGCAGCATCCTCACCAAACTGGTCGCGAAGATATCTCTCAAAACCCAGCGAATTCCAATGCGACGCTCGAGAACAAAGCTCCTGGTTGCAATAAGCACTCAGATGTGAAAGTTCATGACCCTGAAGAATTCGACGTTGGTGACGATGAGGACGACGAGGACGCTCTGCTGGATTCCCATGACAGCGACGACAAGGGTGACTTTGATGAGTCTTCCAGAAGTGCAGGATCTTCTCCTACTCCAAGCGCCCAACGTACCGTGCTAATTCGGAATCTTCCCGACCGCATCACCCACAGAGACATCGTCGCAGCCATAAAGGGCGGAGCCCTACTGCACATCTACTTACGTGCGCGGGAACACATGGCCAGTGTGTCTTTTGTCGAAGAAGCGGCCGCCCGTGAATTCTTCCGGACTACGAAGACCTACGGTCTCATTGTTGCTGGGAAGCGCGTAAGTCCTCAATCCGGCAAACGGTAGCGCCGCTAATAGGTACAATAGGTGGAAGTAGGTTGGAATGACAGACAATTCTACCTTCCTCCCTATGTCCGGGCCAAAATTGACAATGGAGCATCGCGCAATCTAGTCGTCTACAATGTACAGCCGAACGTCACGGAGTGGGTCATCCGGAAGGATCTGGACCATATCCACAACCTAATCGTGATCTCGGTACAATTCAAGAATGGCAATGCCTACATCTCCACCAATTCAGTGCATAATGCGCTCTTTGCACGCTCCTGCATGATGTCTCGGTTCACATACAAGGGCATGAAAATTGGTTTCTATCCGGACGAGTGCGTAGGGTCCCCGGGGAAGTATCCCAGGAGAGAACCACAAACTCTAGCAAAGAAAACCGGCTCCGTGCCGAATCGGTTTCAACTTCTGTCCCTAGATGGGGCCGATGATGAAGACGACCATAGCAACCATGATGGACTGGGAAAGATGAATAATGGAATGCGATGGGCTGATAATAGCGTATCCGCCTGACTTGTCACCTCTCCTCTCTTTTTTTCCTATGCATTTTCCTTGATTCGTTGCGCTACCAAATAGTTGAGCAGCACTTTACTTTTAGGCAGGACTAGTCATCAAATCTGGGGGATCGCTAGTACTAGGGTGGTGTGTTGCGTGGAAGGGATCCGGCTTAACGGCACGAAATGATTGATCAGGCTGGACGGGCAAACGTGACGGGATAAGCAATAGCGAGTGGGGTGAGAATGAAACCAGGTGGCGGGTGATCTACGAGAGGGATGGCCAGACTGATTGCCAGATGCTGTCATGTACCGTGGCGAGTGCATAATCAGTCATTTACAACGGTGCATCCGTGATAACGTGCGTTTGTATACTAATCCGACGCACGGACGTCCAATACAAGTTGATAGCGGCAGGGCTGACGACAAAAAAGAAATTGGGTGATATTTGAGATAGTCCAGGCTTATACTAAATAACAGCCTAAGACCGGGGCCAGCATTGCACCATAATTTCCAAACACAGCCACTGTAAACAACCCAAACCATCCTCTTATTTGATTGAATTGTCTGCAGCGGTGGAATGGGACCACCACACCAGATCTCTCTCTTCTTCTCTCCCTCACCCCAGTAAGTACAACCGTTAAAACGACAAACAGCAACAACAACACCATCCCGCATAATATCCCATTTCTGCCCCACAAAACAACCCTCATAACCCGGCCATAATCATAAGAGGGGGAACGTTATAGGAAAACTTTTTTAAGACCGATCCGAGCCAAGCAAGCAAAACCCGAATCGTAAAAGGGGAAGCATAACAGCCGGGAAAAGAGGGGCCCCCAAATCCATAATTTCCCTTCTTTCGAAACGGAAACGGAACGGGAAACAAAGAAATGAGACAGGAAACAGGAGAGGCGGAGCAAGCTTGTATGTGTGTATATTGTTGATGTATAATGAAGCCGTTTAACGGTAGGACTTCTGGTAGCGAGCGCGGGCACCACGACCACCGAACTTCTTGGGCTCCGTACGACGGTTGTCGGCGACGAGGAGTGTGCGGTCGTACTGGACAAGAGCCTGCTTCAGCTGGTTCTTGGAGTGCTCATCGACGTACTTCTGGTAGTAGGCGACGATGGACTTGGCGATGGCCTGACGGATGGCGTAAACCTGGGAGGTGTGACCACCACCGGAGACGCGGACGCGGATGTCGACACCGGCGAACTTGTCGGCTCCAACGATCAGGAGGGGCTCGTAGACCTATCTCATTGAATAATCCTGTCAATTACCCGTCCATGGCACTTCGTAAAACCCGACAGGTAGGTGAGTGTACCTTGAAGCGGAGGATCTCAGGCTGGACCAGAGAGAGGGGCTGGCCGTTGACCCGGATCATGCCCTTGCCTTGCTGCAGTTGGAAAAAAACGAATCAGTTTGACGTTCTCCTTCTTTCCGTTGCGATTTGGTTCATCTGATATATGCGGTGCGGATGCAGATGTGTCGTTCGGTTTGGTTGCGCATGTCTTCTTCACTTTTCCCTTCACGTAATTGATCTTCCTTCAAAATTTCCTTGCGCCGTGTCGTTCTTCGTTTCGATACTCGATAACGCTTCCCCCGTGCTTCCAGGCAATTCACAAGCTTCATAATCCTCCTTAATGTCGAATGATACCCAGATCCTTCCAAACCTCCAAGACCAATATTGACCAATTCGAACGACACATCGGCATCCGCAACACGATAGTCCTAGACCAGGAGAGATAGATAGACAGAGAATGTAATCCTCATACCTTGCAGTGGGCGACAGCGGTGGCTAAAACACATCAACCGTTAGCATCCCAAGTCACACCATATCCCATCCAAACCTCCAATCTTCAAATCCACCCCATTTATATCACCACCAAAATTATAGAGGAAAACTCACCCGTCTTCTTCTTGCCGAAGCATTGCACACTCGGGACGGAAGCCATGATGGGGAGGCGGCGAAGTGTGCTGGGTGGTGGGAAGTAAGGTAGACGGTGTCGGGGTCGTGGAGTATTTGTCGTCGATTAACGGAGTCGCGCTGTATTAATTTTCGCTTCGCACAGTCAGGCGGTGCGATTTCTTCTTTGGGGCTTGTGGTTTTGCTGACTGTCCAATTCCTGTGTCTCGCTTAGTGCGCCGCGCTAGGCCGCTTTGGGTGGCTAAGGTAGGGCTTGCCGATGGGCTGTCACGTGACGGGGAAAGTTCGGACTCCGGATTGAGGCCATATGGAGAAGGTTGTATGTATGTTAGGTTGATTGATTGAGTAAGGCATAGCTATTCGTTTTACGTCAAGATGTCGCAGACTGTTGGAAAGGTATACTTTTCCCCCTTTCCTTTTCCTTCAAACTTCCCCTTCTTCTCTTCTTATCCATCCATTGTTGCTTTCCTTCTGCATCTATTCAATGTCTAACTTGATATCAAAAATAATCCCATATAGACCCGTCTCGCCTTCTCCCGAACATGGCACTACGTCGACGTCGGCAGCGACCCTCGCAGTCTGGGTAGACTCGCCTCCTCTATTGCCCTCACCCTCATGGGCAAGAACAAGCCCGTCTATGACCCCTCCACGGATTGTGGTGACTATGTCGTCGCCGTCGGCTGCCACGACCTCCGCGTCACCGGCAAGAAGCGCTTCCAGAAGAAGTACTACACTCACAACACCCGCCCCGGTAGTCTGCGGAGCATGACTATGGACATGATGTTTGAGAAATGGGGCGGTGGCGAGGTTCTCCGTCGTGCTGTTCGCGGCATGTTGCCCAAGAATCGCTTGCGGGATAAGCGCTTGGCTAGGCTGAAGAGTGAGTATACCTTCTCTTAAGTTATATTGATATCAATTGGATATATATTTGTTTGCCTCCTAGTTCTGGGGGAGGCTTGGGGCATATGTTATGTCGTTTGAGAAGGGTTGTATGCTAATAACATTGTTGTATAGCTTTCGAAGGTCTCGCGCACCCCTACAAGGAGAACATCGTCAAGCTCAACGGACAGTCGGTCATTGGGAACTTGCCCGAGGTGAAGGAAGCGTTTAAGGCGGCTAAGACGGATGCGTAATTGCATTGTTTTGTCTGCGCATCTGTCGACTTGCTGGATCGGATACCATTTTACCATTTAACCTCTTGTACTTTTACATATGTCATTGATATTGCTGTTGTCATGTTATGACTTGCTAGCGCATGGGTGGGAGTTTTGTGATATTATTTTCTTTTTATCTTTTGTGTGATATATCTTGTTTATACTATTACTAGCTACGCTACACAATTACAACAGCTTCGTGGCATCTCTACTGGAGTGCATTGACCAATGGTATATGAGAACCTGTGAATGATGCTATTATCCCTAACCTATATACAAGTGCCAGAACTCCATCTCATAACTGCTAATGCAATACTACAAACCATCCTACAGCTTCGCCTTCGTGTTGCGACCAACCGTGCACTTGATCAGCCCGTTCGGGTTGGTCTGCGGCGCATACACCTCGGCATCCTTGCCGGTGTTCTTCAGGCCCTTGTGCCAGCTCAGGTCTGCGACAAACAATTGGTTAGCCGAAATTCAGGACGAGAAGATATCAACCAGACAAATTACGTACCAACTTCAAAGTAGTGCTTGTTAGGCAGAGAGTACTCGACCGTCTCGAGCAAGGACTGACGAGCCAGGATCTGCTCCGCCATCTTGTACATAGTGTTCTGCACACTAGCCGAGTTGTCCTCGGCAAAGGTCTTAAGGGTGATGTCCCTGGCCGCCGCCCAGGTCGCATCGAAATGAGGCACAGTAGCGCGCACCTCGTCCAGCCCGCTGAACCGGCGCCACTGCCAGCTGGCGTCGACATCGGTGCTGAGAATACGATCCCATGTCTCAGGGAGGGTGGTGTACTCGTCGCGCAGGAAGCCCCAGAACTGCGAGTTGGTGCTCTTCAGCACAGTCAACTTGGCCAGAGACGACGTGATGTCAACACCCTTGCCCTCGACGACATCGACCTGCACGTTGCGGGTTTCCTCGCCATCCCGGAGGAAGGAGTGCGGGTGCGGCTTGCCGTCGATGGTCATACGGGTCCAGCGGTGGGTGATGATGTTGACATGGGCGGCGTGGATGTGGTTGTACTTGGTGATGAAGTGGCTTCCAAGAATGGAGCCGAAGAGCTCGGGGGGAGTGACGGGATTTTGCTTGGCGGTGATGTAGATGGTGTTCTTGATGGAGTCGGTTGCGACAATGACGCTGTTGTCGGCCTTGGTGTAGCTATAGGAAATGAGGGTTAGCTTTGAGCTTGGGTTTAGAGAAGGGAGAATACATACGAGGTGTCGATGTCACCCTCCAAAAGGACGCAGACGGTCATCTCCACGACTGTCTGGACGCCGGTCTTCTCGTCGCGGTGGACCTTGTATACTCGGACATTGTCCTTGCCGTAGCGGGCCGCAGTAACTGGGGAAGACATGGTGGGTATGGGGTAGGGAGGAGAGGAAGTTGAGCAAGCAAGGAGGGAATCAAACTAGCAATAAACACAGAACTGGAAATCTAACTGCAACCCCTGTGGCAGCAGGATGAAGCTTTTTAAAGGCTTCTCCGGAGCCAGGGAGCAGTCGGGATGGGGAGAGGCAGCGTATCGGCCACCTCCGAAGCCCGCGGGACGTGACGGCCGCAGCCTCCCTCGCTTTATCTTATCGCCCCGGGATTCGTAACCTTTGGGGTTATGCAAACATCAGGCAATCCCGGCTATGGATGCCGGGTTGTTGGCTAGAATCTATTGTACCGAAGTGATTGGGATGGATTCATCTGGTTGCCGTCAGCGGTTACATGAGACACAAAGAATGACAGCCAGACTACCAAGAAACAACCCCAAACGTAGATGGAAGTATCGGACATGTGACTGCCCAGACGTCATCCACTCGACATGAATCTCGCAACTCAACAAACAATGAATCCCCAGACTCAAGATGGTCTCTATGCCATAATTGCAGGAATGTCGGGATCTGCTAATATTCTGAATAAAGCATATCCCGTTTAAACCCTCGACTGGCCTCCAATTGCTCTGCTACGGCCCTGTCCGACACCGCGGGACCAACCAGTTGTCCAAAGGTTCAGCAATGAGAGCTATCCGACTCAATCGTGCTGAAACCAGGACACCAAGTCGACAGACCTCGACATACCATGTGGTTTACAACTGAATCCAGAGAGCGCCCACCATGGCTTCTCAAGTACCGTTCCTCCACAGCCTTCATCATCGCGACAGTTTGGACCTCTTCGTTCACGGTATGCAGACGTTCTACACCAGAAACACAATAGCTGACACCGGCAGGACTACTTCCTCTATGCTATGGTGAGCATCATCCATACCTACATCTACAACACCATCTGACATCCTAGATCGTCCCCGTCATGCCAACAGCCCTAGTCGACCGCGCGAAGATACCCTATGAAGACCGTACGTCTTACCCTCCACCACAATCAACCGAATCTATACCATCTAACACCCAACCAGGCGAACGCTGGGTCAGCATTCTCCTCATCTGCGAAGCCACCGTCGCATTCGTCTGCTGCCCGATATTCGGATACCTGATCGATGTGGCACCCACGCGCAAACTTCCCTACCTCCTCGGCCTCATCCTGCTCGGCGCATCGATGCTCATTCTCTGTCTCGCACGCACCATCGGCTTCTTCGTCATCGCACGGCTCCTACAAGGCGGTGCAACCGCCATGGTCGTTGTCGCCGGACTCGCCCTTCTCACCGACTCTGTCCCATTCGAAAACCTCGGCCAGACCGTCGGATACCTAGGGTCAGCGGTTACGCTAGGGTTCCTTCTAGGACCGCTACTGGGGGGTCTCGTGTATCGGGTTGCAGGGTATCAGCCCGTATTCGCAATGGCGTTTGCCATTGTAGGAATCGACCTGGTAATGCGATTTGCAGTGATCGAAAAGAGAGTCGCGAAGCGGTGGATGGCGCTGTCGCAAGATGATGCCGACAGCAACAACGAAACCAATCACGACAATCCATCCGATGATAACCCACCTCAACCCGACACCACAGACAACGATGCAACCATCATACCCAAGCACTCTCGTAAACCCACCCCCCTACTTCTCCTCCAACAGCCCCGCATCCTCATATCATCCTGGGGCCTCCTCGTCCACGGCATGATATACGCAGCCTTTGACGCCGTACGTCCCTCCCCCGTCCACCCTCCAACTATAACCAGATCCCTAACAACCCACCAATTAAACCAGACAATCCCCATCTTCGTAGAATCCCACTTCAACTGGACCCCCCTAGGCGCCGGCCTAACCTTCCTCCCCTCCTCCATGACCGCTCTCTTCGAGCCCTACTTCGGTATCTCCCCTCCCATATCCCCCGCCCCCAAAACCCAACCAACCCACCCCACTAACCCATTCCAATAATTACAGGGAAACTAACCGACACTCTAACCCCCCACCCCATAGCAACAGCCACCTTCCTCCTCCTCCCCATCCCACTAACCCTTCTGGCGCTCTCCAGCCAGCCAACAACAACCCATATCACCCTCCTAATGATAAACCTCACCCTCACCGGCCTCCTCGTCAACATAGCAACGCCCGCCCTGTACCTCGAGACGCAGCGCGTCCTGGACACCATGGAGCGCCGACAGCCGGGGATCTTCGGGCCAAGGGGCGCAGTCGCCCAGGCGTTCGGGATTCAGACGATGGCGCAGTTTCTGGGACTGAGTTTGGGGCCGTTGGCGGGGTTCGTAGAGGGGAGGTTTGGGTGGGGGAGTGTGGTTGTGGGGTTGGGGGTGGTTTGTTTGGGGACGGGGGTGGTGGTGGGGGTTGGGTTGAAAGGTGATTGTTGTGGGTATGGGGGGGAGGGTGGAGGTGAGGGGGATGTGGATGGGGAAGGTGAGAGGGAGAGGTTGCTTGGTGGTGATTGATTAGGTAGGTGAAGTAGTACCAGGATATAGATTTGAGTTACGTTCTTGGTTTCGAGTAGGAGAAGTTTTGTATGTAAGTTTGTTTGGTTTAGATAGTAGAACCTAGGTCAGTCATGTACTGATTGATACATTCGTATTTCAGATCAGATCTAACATCCATTCATTCATCCATCCATCCTCAATCATATCACTGCACCTTTTATCAAAAGAGGTAAGACGAGATTCATGCATCACACACAAACAAAGCAGGATTGTCTTCATGTACAGTTCAAACTCAATCCGAATACACACCGGTGTGGGTGTAGCATAGCATAGCATGGCATGGCATGGCGGAGCGGAGCGGAGAAAGAAGAATCCATATCAACACCAGAATGAATGGTTCAAATCATATGATGAGAGAATCGAAAATCGGAAAGTTAAAAGCGGTATGTTTTCTGTCTGTAATTCATTCATCGGGGGAGGAAGAGAAAAAGAGAGAAGATAAACGCCATCCAATGCCCTACTTGGACGCCAATCACCCCTAGGCAATAGGGGGTTTAAAATGTAATGAAAGTAAAGAAACTCCACTGTAACGCTCATATCCCCAAACACCATAGATAAATCAATCAATCACAGACTTAGCTGATCAATGCTCCCCACTCTACCGCTCCCACCGAGCCGACCTCCTCCCTTCGTCACCATCCCTAAGCGGTAAAACCGTTCCTCGCCGCCAGGCGTTCGACCCCCGATATACCACTTCTCCGGGCCCAGCGCATCGCGGAATCCTCCCGAGCCACTTGAGCTGTCGCTGCCGCGACGCTGACGGCCTTGGCTGTTTGTGATAGGGATGGGGTTTGATGCGGCCGGGGTAGGCGGGGAAGAGGCGACCTGCTGGGTCTGAGGTGGGGCCGGAGATGCTGGGGAAGATTCGGGCTGGTTCAATGGGGTTCGCTGGTGCGAGTGAGGACGGGAGTGGGAGGAGGATGAGGCGCTAGTGGTGGAATGATGGTGGTAGTGGTGGGTGGTGGTAGATGGAGAGGCATCTGATGAGGAAGCGGCTGCGTTGCCGCTGCTGGCCTTGGTGGCTATGGCTCGTGCGCCTTGGGAGATTTGGGTGGAGGAGAGAGAGGAGGATGGGCCAGCGGCAGCGGATTGTGAACCTGCTGTTGAAGCTTTGTATGTGGACTGGGCGCGAAAGGCCGCTAGAAAGTTGGCCAGGAATGGCCGGTTGGTGGACATGGTGGCGAGAGGGGGAGCCACGGTGAGAAGATGGAAGTGAAGTAATTGATTTTGGACTGACAGGGGTACGCTAGTCGGATGAGACTAGGGCCTGTAGTCGGTCGCAGGTGTGTTTGCTAAATATTGGTGTAGGAAGTGTGGGTTGCTGGATACGGGGAATGGTGAGGTGAGGGAATTGCGAGTTCTTGTATATAGAGTTGGTGTCGGTGGTCGTCGGTCGAGATCGGGGCGATAGTAGCCGCGGAGTTGCGGAGTAGACGAGATCTAGACGGGGAGTCTGAGAGGAGAGTGTGGGTGGTGGAGAGAGACTGAGTACAATAGTACACAAGTACACGAGCACAGACAAAACCAAAAGGAGACTGCAGGAGGGGACGGATGATCGGAGCCAGAAGGACGACGGAGGAGGAGGACGATGACGAGAGAAACGGCGAAGAACGAGATCCAGAAGTGAAGCTGGAGGACCTCCGGAGAGTCCCGTGGGCGGCGGCCAATCAGTGGGGGTGGATATCAATCCGGGGGAGCCCCTCGGCGGTGACGTCTATTAATGGTTTCCTTTAAAACTATCAGTTATATCTGTTTGATGGAGAGGATGGAATAATCACTCATCACTCGAGATATGAAGTAGTGTGTCTCTTATCTTTTATGCTGGGTGAATGTTCCCCCTACATAAGTAGTTGTTGTTGGATATACCATGTCTTTCTCCTTCTCTCTTCTCTATTGTCCCCCCACTCTCTCTCTTCCAAGTAAACCATCGGCCTACTACTTACTTATACTTTGGCACATGCGAGACCCAAAAAAAAAACAAGAATGAAATCACCTGCAACAAGAATACCCGATCGCACTAACCAGCCAGCGCTCACCGTAGGGAAATCCCGGGATCTTCCCCAGGCCAACTCCGCCCCGGACCAAAGGCTGGCTGGCTTGTTCGGTCGGGAAAAGTCAAGTTCCAGGGAGTCACGGGGTGTTCACATGCCTTGTCCGTTCCGATCCCGTGAGGCTCTCTTATTGATTAATGAACTACCTTAGTAGTTAGTTATTTCTGTAGTACTCTGCTTTCTCCTCTACATGCCCAGAATAATGGTAAGTCAAGTAAATATGGTCCTTATTATTTCTCGTTCAACTCCGAATCACTGGCTGTCTATATTCTAGCTTTTGGATTCCCGTGGCTTCCCATAAGTGACGACTTCCACCAGGCCTGATGCAGGGGGCTCAACAGCTTCCCTGGCCTCCAGACTCCAGGACCAGATACAAGAAGAAAATACATGCAGCATCATGGATAGAACAAGTACATAACCGACGTATGGAACATCTGGGGGCTGACCAGGGGTGTGCATCCAGGCAGATCAACCAACCGCCGTCCGGAGTAACAAAAAAGACAAGCTCCAACACAGCAGGAGTGCCCCTGACTGCGGCCAGGATCTGCAGGCAACCCAGCCGCAAAATGTAGGAAATTGGGCAGTCGAAAAGCACCATGCTACCTTTTTCAGTCACGAATGAGAAAAATGAAAAGAAAACGGAAAAAGAATAAAGCATGAGACACGGAAGGAAACAGAAGCACACTGACACAGAAACACATTGGATAGAGAACGCAGGAGGCAAATGATAAACACAAGACGATGCAACACCTTTCATCCTAGCTCGACCTCGTATGCCCCCATCGGACACACAGTATGTACTTACATGGTCGACTGGAAGACAACATGCGGATAGGAAACGGCCGTAACGGTTATGCAAACAAATCCCGAACACACTCGACCCTCCGTGCAGCTCAAATTTGGACAGGTAAAGGGAACATGCAAAGCGGAACGAAGAGTGGACGGAAGCCTTCCCTGCTAAAGAAATCTTTTGATGACTCGTTGAAGATGAGAGAGCCCTTGACGCAACAGAAATCAAAACACATGCCCAAGTCTATGATTGGACGCCAGTTAAAAACCACACACACCATCCCATCAACCCACTCATAATGGATGGAAACAAAACAAAACAGGTCCAGAATCACCGCAAATCTGCACTCGCCGTAGAAAATGCTCACAAGATTTTTCAAATAAAACATGGACGACCAGATAACCCAGTAGGACAAAAGAAGACGTTTTCATAACAATTGAGTAATCCGGATGCTGTAATCTAGACCAACGCTGTGGCGCGCTGCGCGGAGTCGGTGGCCGAAACGAGCTTTTTTCTATCTGTATTTTTTTCTTTCCTTCCATTTTCCGGTTCCTTTTTTTTCTTGGTTTTTTCTTTTTTCTCTTATGACAACCCTCAATAATCATTCATGAGGCTTTCCAGGCTGGATTCAATGCGCATAATCCAGGAGACTGATAAGGCGCCAAACCGCATAGCATGTACACGCTTGTGCAAGAGCATCAACAGCATGATCGGAGAAGCGTCCCCATACATACTCCCAGACAAATGCCTAGCATTGCAAGACATCGCTAGACTTATGCATAACATCGTTTGACAACGTAACCCAGTTAGTAAGACAAATTTTGTAACCGTTCGTTTAGGCCGCAGTACTTCGTCTCCCTTGACGTTATGCACATCAAGCTCAACGTGGTCAGCTCAAGACATCCACTTCCAAGTCACCACTATTGCCTAGCAGGCTGGACGGTACCTGGGATTCGGGGATCAGCATGCCGTCATCCATACGCAGAGCGGGATTGAGTTCCAAGACTCCTTCACTTACCGTCGCCACTCAACGTGGTCGAAGCCAGGTAGAGACCGTTCATCCCACCCTCCTGGGGACCAGCGGTGGTGGTGGGGTAAAACTTGCGTTCGGTATCGACGTGAGCGTGGATAGGCTCCTGGCCGGACGCCATGGTCTGGGGGAAGACGGGATTGATGTAACCGTCGGACGCTCCGGGCTGAAACATCGAAGTCCAGTCAATTTCGCCAGCGTGATTGGGAGGTCCAGGCATGACAGGACGTTTAGGGTCTTGAACAACCGGGGGCTTTACCTGCTCAATAGGAGGACGATCAACATTCAGCTGCTGGCCAGTTGCATCTGCGCCAGGCTGCACCATGTACGGGTTCTGCTTGGGAGCAGCAAGCCAGGGTCCACGCTGGTGAGGCTGTCCGCCCGGGAACGCGTCTTCGGGCTGACCACGGTTCATCCCATTGACGGAAGGCATGGAGAAACCCAAAGGCTGCTGTTCCGGATATCCGGGGCGACCGGGAGCCATGCCGTTGCCATTCACGGGCGCCTCGCCATACGTAGCACCCGGCATACCGTTGGGATGCGGGACGGTGGTATTGACTTCATCCTGAACGGGCTTAACGGCATTCTGCGCAGCTTGAGACCGCTTCAAGTGTGCCTGAGGGTGCGACAGGTGAGTCGCCCCAGTAGGGTTACCACGTCGCAACGAGCACTTCTGGAAGTGACGCTTGAGAATATCACTGCGAGAAAAGGTATCCTTGCAGAGCACACACATGTACGGACGGTCTCCAGTGTCTACCGAAGAAAACAAAGATTAGTCATCGGAACGATTCAATCCCCGCCATGCGCTACCGAATTATCCAGATGGAAGGAGGGGCACTCACGTCTGAGCAAATGGCGCTTCAGATGCTTCGCATGAAGATAGGTCTTGTTACAGTGCGGGCAAGGGAACTTTCCGTCCGCATCCTTGGCCGGAATGGTAGTGTTCTTCGCGGTACCATTGACACCGTTCGTGACGGGAGTCGCGCGTCCCGGAACGCTCGGCAAAATTCCGCGGCGGCCCTGCGACCCAACAACCTGTGTCCTGGGAGGTTCCTTCGCAGCATACGGGGGAGCACCGTTTGCACTTGCAACAGGGTCGGGGTTCATCCAAGGCGTTCCCTTGTTATCGGAGTAGCTGAAAGCACCTGACGGAAGACCGGAGAAATCCGAGCGACGATCACGCGGAGGCGCCGGCGCAATCGGCTGGGGATAGGTCTGCGCGCTGGACGCGGGAGGCAGCACGCTATGAGGCGGAGGGTAAGGTTGCGACGGCTGGGGTTGTGCCTGCGGATTGGGATGGGACAGGAACGACGAGGGAGGCAGACTACCCACGGTGGTGTGAGGCATGATAGGAGCCGCGGAAGACGCGTAGACATCGTGAGTAGATGCGGGATACCTCGACAGATCCGGCCGGTACGGCTGGCCCATGTAGGAGTGAGGGGCAGGGGATTGACTGTGATGAGGCTGCAGCGGGGGAAGAGTATGCGGCTGGGACACAGGGTATTGAGGCTGCATGGTGTACTGAGGCATAGGCATGCTCGAGATAGGTGTCGAAGACAGAGGCGTGGAGCCCTGGGGTAGGCTGGTGGATGGGGGCCGTGAAGGATGAGATCTGGGATCCATCGTGACGCGGAGAGGCTTTCAAACACGGGGAGGAGGGGAGGTGAAGGGGGAGAGAAGAGAATTGGGGTGAGGAACTGGCGAAAGAAGATTTCACGATATCTCGATCATTGATCGCAGGGCGAGAAAACCTTTTCGTAGGATGTGTCTTGCGACCAAGGCAGTGCTCCGTGGATGCGAAAAGACTGCCAATGCCACTTTGTTCAAATCCTGATCGCGTTCGCTCGCAAAATTCTCCTGCCCGGAGTTGTGTGCTCGCTTCTCTTCGATTGTGACTTCTGGTTCCTTTTTCTTGTTCCGACGAATGAACAATCCTCCCACCTGATGCGGAGAATTGACGATGAGATTCGCGGAAGAGGTAGGTTCGATAAGCAAATCGATGCTCAAGGATCCTCAAGGTCGACGATAGACGTGCAGGATCAAGTCCGACTCCACTGCAGAAAAGAGGTCAGGAAAGAGGTCGAGATGCTTAATCTGAATTCCCCACGGTCACCCACCAGAAACTTGAGTTGTGTGGGAACTTCTCACTATCCGCACGTTGTCAAAACAGTCAATGGTTCTGATCCACCAGGGAGGCGGCGTGTAAGTGGGTCTAACACAATCAGCAGTGCTAGAGGGAAATTTCGCTAGCCAAATTTTGCTTCGCGTCAACAATGCGCGCGAGATTGACCAGGATGGCTCTGATGGGAAGATCACAACTGCCAGGGACAACGCGTATAGATGCGGAGACAAGGGCGAAGGAAGAGGAAAAGTAAGGGGGGGAAGAAGAGCAAGAGGGCAAAAAAGAAAATGAAAAAGAATGATAAAATAAAATAAAATAAAATACAAAAGCTTAGGAAAATTTGTTCCAAGAGGGAAGACCCAAGGTAGCCGTCCCTAGGGTAGTCACGGGAATGGAGGGAGGAGGAGGGGGGGGTGGAAGGGGGGGCGACGAACGGCGGCGGCGGCACAAAGTTAAGTGGGTGAAGGAGGAAAAAAAAAAAAAAAAAAAGTTAGGGGAAAAAAAAAAAAATAATCGTCAGTATCGGAAGAGCGAAAGATGACACACTAACCTACTACTAAAGGCAAAGGAGGAAAAAAAGTGGAAGAGGGAAAGAAATCACGACTAATTGAAGGTTAACTGGGGATTGGCGGTGACGATCGTAACTCTGGGAGGCGACAACCGTAAAAGTTGAAGAGGAAAAAAAAATGTAAGTAAAAAAAGAAATATGGAAAAAAAGGGAAAAATACTATTAAAAAAAAATTATACCGGAAAATATTAGTTATTTTTATGATTTTATTAGCATCATCTTCTACTCAGTCAGCACCCAACGTTTGGGACGGTTGCTGGTTGCCGTTGACCTGATTCGTGCCTCGTCCGGTTTCCGAAACCCAGTCAAGAGCCGAACAAGGTCTGCATTTTCTCTGCAAACTACTAGACTATCCTACTTTTGTGGTCTCCCTGGTGTGCTTTACCTTTTGGGTACAACGATGTCGAAAACGTTAACCAAGATCTGCGTGCTTCGGTAGGCTTCGCAGTGCCTTTGGCACTGAGAATTCTAAACCACGAGAAGAGGAACGGTTCTGTAAACTTTCTGCCGCCCAAGAGACGGCAAGTTCGGCTCAACAATCAGAGTCTTTTCCGAAATGTAGAACACCGGAAGGGTAAGGAAAGCCCTCAGCAGAGCACAAGTCGATTTTGGTTGGCACCAGCGGCAAGCAGGGGAAAATTGTTGAAGGCGCTATTTCGATCGACGATGCTGGTTGGCTAACTCGTTCATCGCATAATGTATTTTAATTATTCGGATTTCTTGGTCAGGCTTCCTCTGTGTCACAGATTGGTTTGGAGGGGAGACACATCGGGCGTGTACCGAAAAGACAAAACCCGATGTACTCGATCGTATCCTCGCCGCAGACAGCCACGGGAAAGATACCTGGCAGGAACTTGTTGTTACCGGTCTTCTAGCCTACCAATCACAAGACTCCAGAGACTTGCGCGGACGCAAGCGGAGAAACGCATGAACTGTTCTAGGCCAAGCGTCAAGCATAACGAAGAAGTGATCCTATTTTATTGCTCTACTATTATGAGAATATGGTATTGGAAAGACATTCTGCCTATCCAGAACGGAGTCGGAGAGTCAGATGTCCGCGTCTCAATCGTTACACTCATCGCAAGGAAGACCGTAATTTTACGCCAGTTGGTTCTGAACCCCTCCGGGGAAGGAAGGGCCAGGGCCGAGAGACTCAAAAATACTACTACTTACTACTGTACTACTAAGGCATCGGGCCCGGATGGAAGGATCAAAGGAGAGTAGCAGATATCTAGACACAGCAGCAGCATAGCAAATCAGTTTTTCTGGTGATGAGGGGGTAGGAAGACATGGAGGGGCGGGAGGTCTAAGACTGCATGCCCGCCGTAAGATTGAGCTTCCGACAAGCGCAAAGCCGGAGCTTTGGTCTGGAAAGCTTAGTGAATCTCGTAAGTATCCCTGTAGTTACTATACATAACTACACCCATGAATGCATGCCTACCGCCAGTACAAAGTAAGTAACGTCCCTGTTTTTGGTACATACTTCGAACTACTATTACTACTAGTAGTAGTAGGAATTGGTTAGCAGGCAGGCAGTGCTCCGTCCGGTCGCATTCGACTGCCCTTTCGAGCTTGGACATTACACCGAGACATTATAGTAGCCTGGGTGCAGCAGAGCCTTTCAACGAATTCTTGCGTCTCTCATCATTTCGGAAGCAGAAGTAGTCTTTTACTTTGTAGTATGCTTGATGTCATGAGGCGGATGGAGTTCTGCATCCCTTCTCCGCAGTTGACAGGCCCGCTTGCTCGATATTGGCTCCTTGGGGCGCTCAGTCCTCATGGCACATCCACAATCCCACATGAGTTAGGTAGGGGCAGGAAACCTTATCAAGGCGATATCTTTGTTCGAAGTGGAGTGGCATCCTGGCTTGGACCTGAGCTTCACGGCTGGGAACAATGGTAGAGTTGCCCACTCTACTCCACGGCTGTCAATCTCGATTTTAGAAGTATATACTCCATCAATACTCCATAATGTGTGACATCCGATGGGGATCCCTATGGGGCCTTTCATCCTGCGCTTCCCCATCACCGGTATTTATATCAAGTGCGGCTTGTCCGCAGCATTCAGGTACCTACCTTCCTTCAGTTAATAACTGGTTTACAATTCAGTGTTTCCCGCCGCAGGCTACAACTCCCACGCAGCCACAGTACTACTATACTACTCATTGTTTTGTATCCTCAACAATTGATATACCCCCTACTACGGTCTCTACCAAGGAGTGACAGGAGTTAGTCTAACGGTGGTGTCACAAGCAACGACTCAACGGATGAGCCTGCATCTATTACTCATATCATGCGCTCGGTTTGCTTTTGACAAGTAGGTAATATTTCAGACTTGCGTAAGCTGCGCTGGACGGGCTTCCCAAGCAGGTGCATGTGTGCCTCCTGAGACATTCTGAGATTACAAGTTTGGCGTTCAGACCACTCAGGCTACCCTCCAAGTCTCCTGGGAATGAAAATCCCACGCCTGAGGACAAGTGATGTTCAGCGCAAAGACACCACCACCTACAGGGCTCCGACCATGATTGAACGCCTCAGGTATATACCAGCTGCATGGAGCTTCTAGACTGCAGGCCGCAAGCGTGGTACTTTTGCGTTTCGGGGAGTGGCAGAAATCCGGCCAATTGGCAAGTCGAGGAGGCCACGCACCTTGTTCCATCCATGCCAGTGTGCCGCCCCTAACAGCTTGATTACGCCTTGGAAATTGTGATTTCGGAGAATCGACTAATACCACATTTCCCAGGCGTAACCCGTGGTTCGGCGCTGCGTATCCTTGCCACTTCCGACCGGAGGTATGATGGATCATAATCAAACTCATTCCTGCAATCGCTGCTGGCATCAATCTCGAGTCCCGGAAGGGGGGCATTAGAGCAGTGAGCAGGACCATTCAGTGTCTACGGCTGTTAATCTACAAATCATTCCTCAGATCAACGATTCTTCATCATGATGGGTCCTCTTTTAGACTTCAAGACTGCGGCTGTTCTCCACCAGGAGATTTTCGCTGGGAGCTTCTCCCGCTTCGATTGTGGACCTCGACCTCTGGCTTAGGCGGGCGAGTGGAATCGCTGCACTTGCTTCTCCGTATTATATCCGAAGCTATCTGATCTGACCACCCGGCAGGGGTCACACAGCATGCAGCGATTCATAAACTCAGAAGGAGGCGCAATTCAGTAACAGTACGGAGTAGATAGTACTGTGGGAGCGAAATTGGCCATGCATGGCGGAATTGCGCGGACGAGAGTTCCGTCAGTTTGCAAATGCGGAAGCCTATTTTTGCCTTCTTCTTTCCCAGGAGGAATAACATTAACTACATTCGGATGAGGCCTCGCGCTCGTGGCCACGGAGCACTACGGGAGCGTGAAGGAAAGATGCCGTCATACCACCACCGTACCATCCAATACGTATATACTCTGTTACCAACCCGGTATTAACATTACTAATTTGTGCGGAACGAAAACTAATCTTGCAATCTGCGCTCGGCTGGATGGAATATCCATTGCCAATTTGGTATCTCCTCGTTCCTAAACTCATCATTTGTCTGTCATGTTATTAGGAGTTGTCGGTCCCCATCCTTGCCTATGTGATCGGATATATCGCTCAACCACAAATAATAATCAGCTAGACTAGCGCTTGCTCTTAAGCCGGTGGATGATGGTTCTGCAACTTCTCGCCTGACTTGCCACTTACGCTGGTGTTCCAAGGAACAGGCGCCCACAGTTCTCACGCCGGTCAGCACCACTGCGAGACGCCTTCCCGGACACGGTAAGACCAACATGATGCATCCAGTGGTAGCCTCCCGGTACTACCCTGCACCTCGCCCAATGTGGCGGTCCGATCACGGCCGCCGGACTCCACCAACGAAGCCGATGGCCCGCTCATGGAAACTTCTACGGAGACACCCAAGCAAGGCGGTGTGGGAGATCTCAGGAAGACCCAGTTCACAAAGTGGCTGTCGTACGAGAGAAGGCGCACTAGACGCTGTTTGTCCTTAGGCAGCGCATAGCCAGAGGTTAAACCAGGTGCTTAACGGCATGGCTCAACGAGAAATTGTCCGACCGATCGCCGCCAGCTTGCTATCGTCCTAAAGCTTGGCCTCGCTTGTGAGACAGTTGCGTGCTAGTTGGTCTACGGAGTACACAGTAGGGAGGCATATTGCTGTCCGCCGCTCTCCGCCCACCGTACTGTGTCAGGCACGAAAGCACTATTCGGGCTTGGTACTCACTACTACTGGGTACGGAGGTCCTACCCGGCTGGAATAGTAGCCAAGCGTCTTATATGTGGTGTCGATTACTTCGTATCGACACGTACCTACATCAAATTGCGTCGAATTCCATATATAGATTCTATACTACGGACACCGCTGCCCTCAACAAAAGGACTGTGTGTGCAGGCCCGAAAGTCCATCCATTACAACAAATTGATAGAGACTCTACCGTATACCATCTACGTGGCAGGGATGAGCAGGCACAACCGCGCAGCGTGGCTGGTCTGAGTCCAATCTCTGAACAATGAAAACCAACAGGCGCCGCGATAATAACATAATAGTGATATAATGCCACTAAACTCCGTACGTGGACTAGTTCGGCAGCGCTAAAGTCCTTAGCCCCTCGACGAAAAGCATCCCTACGGGTCCTACAGAGCAGAAAAGAACTCAAAACGACCGCATGCAGATCCTCCCGCCGAATCCGGGACGGTCAGAGTCGGCCGGATACTTCCTCGGCACTTTTACCCTGCCAGGGTGGTTTTTCCGGCCACGACCGGAGTAATGCCGAAGCTCAAGTCTGGATCGGCTCAGTTTCAGACCTCGCGTGCGATCCAATGACAACGAAAGTGTTGAGCGAGGCGAGAACGCCACTCACCTCATTCCACTTGATGCCAAGCGGACCGGACGCTCTTGCGATGCACATTTTGTTGGTGTTGTTCGGTGTGTGTGTATTGTGTGCTGTGTGGCCTGAGCCTGTGCTGCTTAGGCTTTTTCCCCTCTCTCCTCTTCGTCCACCTGTTTTGAGTTAGTTTACAAAGTAACTACTCTGTTCGGAGTAGTTAGCGATTGATCTGGATCGCATGGGTGAGGTAATCATGGTCATGTGCCCGACGCTGCGAGTCAGCCAGCCCGCTCACACACTCTCTCTCCCGCTCTTCCGCCCGGAATGCTGTCGCTTCTGCTGCCGCCGCCTTCGTTACTTTTTCCCATTCGATCAGATACATCTATGGGTACCCAGCAGGTGGCTGGGTAGATGCATACACAATATTTCGAGACATCTACACCGGCTCGCTTTATGTCTGAAAATCAGGGCCATATTGAACAATGGCTATCAGCGTACAATATTACAAGCTACTACTGCCCGAGTTGGCAGGAGTGTAAGAACGGCTAGTAATTAGTTAATTGGGATGTTATTGCAGCTACAGGCTATCCCACACACTTGACGGACATCGTTGGCGCTTGCAACAGTTGCTCTATCCATTCGCCAGCCACCCGGACTAGGGTCATGCATAACTGGGGGGTAGGACTCGTTCGATCGAGCAATGTACCCAGTCGGACATGGGCGGCACTGACACTGGTCGTCGATCCGAGGGTAGCCATCGAACCATGGTCTTGGATCCGACGATGGGCCATGGCCACAAAACCGCATGGTCCCTGTTGACTCTTTGAATGATACGATGGCGGATCCTTGGGATACGGGATGTATCTACCAGGGCCGCGTCATGATGTTTCCGACTGGTTTGACGCGCATGTATGATCCGGCGAGTGTGATATGTTCAACCGTATCAAATGCTACCAGGGCCGGAGTGGTATCCGGGTGGCTATGGTGTGAAAATGGCCTGATTAGTAGGATTAGAGTTCGTTGAGCGTAACGCCGTCACCAGTGGCCGGGAAGCCACCATACAAATTTCATTTCAGATAGAGTATGTGGCTGCCTGAGGCGTGATCAGATAAACGACGAACCCCCCTCTCACTAAAGCTGCAGGGGTACGTCCGCACTACGGAGAAGGGAGGAGGAACTAAGGGAAAGGAGGAGGAGGGGGTGCTGAGGGGAAAGGGGGGGAAAGGGAAACCTGGAGTTGAGGGTATCCATGATCTGCTCGATGGCCAGAAAGGCGAGTCCAACCCCGTCCCGCTTGTCTGTTGTCGTGTATAATATTTTTGCCACCGGCGACAGGCCGACCAGCAGCCACGCGGACTGGAATCTCAGTGTGAGACAGCCAGGTTTATCTGCCTAGTCTATATGGCAGATTATAATTTCTTCCTAGGCTGGAAAAGGATTGTTGTGACTTTCCCCAATAGGCATCTTCCACGGTTTGAGAGAGGTAAGCTGATTCTATCTTGCTTTTAGATGTCGATTATTACTATTATCATTATAGCATTAATTCTGTCAATTATATGATTACCACCAAGGTTATTTGCACTAGCAGCAAACAGCATCATCACCATCATCATCTTCCTCTTCGGCTGCCGAGGCAGAAGAATGATAGTGTAAAAAGCAAAATAATACCGCAAGAGGGTCAGCCCCAGGCAAGTAAACCAACTGACCAACGAGCGAGTTGAAGGCCTCAGGCGGGAAACCGGAATAACGGATTCTCTCTGCCAAGCACCAACCTCCCCTCTTCCTTTCCCCCTGTCAATCAATTCCCCCAGCCCAAACCCACCTCAGCCCGCTGCTCAATTCACCACTCGTGCTCTTTCTTTATTCTCGGAGCTTGGGTTGACTTGGGTCTCCAGCAAAGATAAAGTTACAAGCTACACCATATAGTCGATGCAAGACCATCCCAACACGGGCTAACATCCGACGGGAGAGCATACCAGCCAACCTGCTGAAGAATTAGCTAGATACTAATGTTCTAAACCAAGAATGCTCGACAAAATGTCGGCAGCGCGTCGGGGGGGGTAATTTACCACTGGGCATTTTGCCGATACGATAGGCAACGACTTGCCTACAACTCAGCAAGCAACCCAGCAATCCTCCCTCCCCCCGAAAAATAAGTTGCAAAAGTCGGTGAAGACAGGGAGAGGTCATCGCCTACCTGAAATACACGAGGAGAAATGAAAAACAATCAAAATAAAATGAAATAAAATTACCATGGACCATCAACTACTCCGTACTCACCTAAGTAAAGTACCGACCAAGGTACCAACCAACCCAGTCTACTATAAAAATTACAATTTCGCTGCTCTACAAAACGCCATGCAATGTGATCAGTGGATAGAATGGACATGGATAAACTGGATAGACAGATTAATGGATACACATCCCAGCCCTACTTGCTACTAACCATCTAAATGGTAGATAGATACTACTGCAACCTGCGTACCTGCAGGAAATTTAATGACCCTCTCCCCATCTCCTCCCCTATGGCCCGCCCGCCCATCAAGCGAAAATTCCTACGATCCAACCGGATCAATTAGGTTAAGGGCTTAAGCAGAAGACACACCCGCGTCAAGGTTGCAGGGCATTTCTGGAGAGAGAGACGGGAAGTCATTCGTTCGATCGGGGGGAGGCGTAGTGGAGATGGGAGGGGAGGGGGGGGGTGTGTTTGTGGTCGGGGCTGGGCTGGGTTGTGGATCGCGTTAAGTAGGTAGGGATTATGCTTGCTTGATGGAGTACAAGTGGTGCTAACTGCTAAGTGTGGTATGGTTTTATGTATGGTGTGACTAGATACTATCTACTGGTTAGTTAGTAGGGAGGGATATCTATCATGCTTGATTTCATGGGGTTTTTGTTGGTTGAGGATATATTCTAGCAGTATGTATTGTGTTGGATTAATGTTTGGTTTTGATGGGGGTTAAGTACTGTAGTAGCTAGTAGTAGGTTTTGTTTTGCTGGACGCATCAGATGATGGCGGTTATATATAGTATGCTTGGTTGGGGTAACTTCTTCCCTCAATATATAGTACATACACTGCAACTGACTATCTACAACTAGTACTATGATCATAGTGTACAAATTGAGACATCTCCCGAGAGATATAACCTCATTTTGTACTAATCAAGAAAAACCATTATTTGTATTTCTCCTGAATTTGTTCTCTGGTTGCCTTGAGTACCTCAAACCCAATTCTAATAGTACTTAGACCCACTAAGCGACATCAACTATATTCACACCGTCCATCAGTACTCCCGATCTTGGGAGTGCTAGTTACAACACTGCTAACGTTCAAGTCTGTGAAAAAACACTCTCGTAATGCATTTTTGGTTAATACTGCTGCTTGGTACATGACTACTGGTTTTTACTACCTGTAGAGGTGTGGTTGGTTGGTTATGAAGACAGCTAGTTCTATGGTACTACTTTATATATCTCTACTATTATTCATGTTTATGGATATTACTGGGTTGTATTTAGTATATATTTGAAATTATTCTATGAAGAAAGTACTCCTGGTCTGTTGTGGATAGGTAGAATGTAGAAAGGAATAAACAGAGGTTATCATTCTGCCCGTCTAACTTCGGTGATGAATACACACAAGTACATGCCGGACAACCACTAATGTAGAAAGGGGGCAAACAACAAGAACTATATTTTATTATCGTACTCAGAGCGACGCAGAATGATAAGCAGTCACTGCTGAAAAAGATAAAATATCAACGTCTAGGAAAGTCAAGTACCAATCTATATTTTCAGTAAAGGAAAATAGCCTCCCTTGCTGCCTTCTCTCTTTCATGCGCAATGCCATTCATCAGCAATGCTTGTCTATACTCTCAATCTCTCTCACATCCCGTGCACCCACAAGTCCCTCTTCCTGGATGATAACGCTTATGTGACTTGACATCCCTCATAGGATGAAAGACGAGTGTTCTGTGCGCGATTTCAATATCAGAATTCAACACATACCCATAATAACCTACCCACATAACCAAATCGTGGACAGACGATCTGAACTGAAGAACCTTACCTCCTCCCTACGACACCAAATACACCACCGATTGCACCATCGCAGCAACCCCAACCAAACACAAACACATCTGCCCATGCAACTCCAAACAATACAGCAACTGTCTCACACTAATCATCTCCACCACATCAAGCACATGCAACGGTGTTGGTAACCTGAAGATGTCTTTGATGAGCTTGCCTTGCTGCTTTGGACATTCCTCCTCTTCCTCCTCTTCCTCATCATCCCAGCCCCACTTCATCATTTCATCGTTGCTATTGTCGTCCTCTTGCTTCTCATCCTGCTCTTCCTTCTCCGGCAAAGATATCAACGTCTCACAATCCCCCGGCACCAAACTCCCCTCAACCAGAACAAGCACAATATACGCCGGAAACAATAGTAAGACTTGAACAACGAGCATAAGCCCCGCAACAAGAATATCGGATCTTACGAGGGCAGTGATGCCTGACAAGTCCGACGGCAGCAGCAGCACTTCATCCGGATCAAGAGGGGAAAGCAATAGCCCCGGCACATACATCATGATAGCTTCGGCTACAGCATAAAGCAGCGTCGGTAAGAGAAGCGCATCCCACCGATTAAAATCAAGGTCAAGAGGCACGTAGCGCATCTGCTCAGCCGGAGGGAGGACAGCGCTTGCTGTCCGGAAGAAATGGTATTCAGCGAGTGCGACGGAGGCAATGATATGAGCGAGGGGTTCAGGGAAGCGTGCGATAGGTGATGAGAGTAAACCTGTTACTATAAAGTACTTCACATTGTAGTAGATGGCGTACTGGAAGCCGTTGAGGAGTAAAATGAGTCCTTCTTTGCGGTGGAAGGTGGTGATGGTTTGGAGAAGGCTGCGAGTGATGGTGGGTTTTGGTTTTGATTTCTTGTTGTCATCCTTGTTTGGGTTGGGGCTCTGGTTCTCCATGGTTTCGAGGATTAGGAGGGGCATTACAACGTTGCCGATGATGTGGCGGATCTGAGGTGATGATGGATACTTGTTAGTTTGTGCTCGTTCTGGGGGAATTTGGATTGCTTACTGCGAGCTCGAGGATTAATCCTAGAATGGTCGTAAATAGTACCAGCACATTGTGGGTGGGCTGGGTAGGAAGGCCCTTTTGGAAGAGTCCATGGGCGTTTGCGAGTAGTGGATCATGTCTTGTAGAGTAGATGAAGGTGTTGAGGAGTTTGCGAAATATGAATAGCAGAAAGTGTGACATGGTGAGTCTCTAGACAGTGAGAAGTACGCTAGAAGCGAGTATCTCGAAAATGCCATGACGAATGAGGCTTATAGCCAGTAAGATATAAATACTCGAAGCCATCTTGCTCTGTCAAAGTGTTGCCGGCACTTTCCTGCTTTATGTTTCGGAGATATGCCTAACCTATGGTAACGACCGCAAGTACCTGAAGATCCTCACGGAAATCAAACTAGCTCACTGAAAGGGTCCATAAATAGGGCTGAATTCTATATGAGGCTTCTGTAGCCTAAGTGCGGGTGGATCCTGGCTGTGGAGAAGAGATTCATGGTAGCTGATCATGAAGGAACAGCAATATTCTTCCATTTCACCACAAACAGCTTAAGGGTGTGTTTATATGCTTTCCTACTCGATTCCCTCACTGACAAGATTGGTTGTTTGGGAGATGAATGCGTGAGGCCATACAAATTTCAGAGATACAATACTAATTAGCAGTATATGGACGCAGTGTCGGATAATTTACAAGACTGTATGCGGCGTCTGTGGACGACTGTAGCCAAACATTAGAATGAACGTAACCTGAACAGAGTAGTGAGGCAACTACCTCGCAGACGCCTTGCTTGACGCATCGTCTTGCACTACAACCTCATCTGCTCCCACGCCATCTATAACAGTCGCATCCGCAGCGTGGATTGCGTGCTCCACATTGACCTTGGGTCCCGTGAACCACTTGTGCGCATCCACAACCCACCAGATAGTTACCCCCAGCATCGGCGCTCCCCAGACCAGACACGTCCAGTTCATCAGATCCGGTGTCAGATCAGAGCCGGTGACACTGGGCAGACAGAGCACGGGCACCATGAGAAGCACGAACGCCACGCCCATTCCCCCAATCCAGGGTCCAAATGGACCCAGATGCCACGGACCTTTCCGGAACCGGTGACCAACAAAGAACACCCGAATCGCGATGGGAATGGCAAAAGCGACAAACTGAGCGATGCCGCCAATAGAGAATAACGCTCCGATGGCTGTATCGCCAGCTAGAACCAGCAGACACATGAGGATTCCTAGGACGCCGTTGAGGATCACCGCATTGACAGGGGTCTGGGTGCGCGTGTTGACCATTTTCCAGTATTTGGATAGAGGGAAGCAGTCATCCCGTGCGTAGGCGTAGGTTACTCGTGAGGCAGCCACCATGCAGCCCTGCCCCATGGAAAAACCGCTGATAATGGTGAGGGCTAGGAGGGCCAAAGCAGTCTTGCGTGGCAAGACCTGGAGCAAGTACGAGGCCCAGGGCTGGCCCAAGTCCGAGTTTATGACTGCGTCGATGTCGGTGACTGTGTAAGCGACGACTAACTGCAGGAACCATCCCAGCAAGCCGCCAGCCCCCGAGGTCATTACGATCGCACGCGGCGAGGCGACATTGGCATTGGAGCATTCCTCGCTTAGATGAAATGGCGAATCGTAGCCAGACATGGTCCAGATGACGCCGACGAAAGTCATCAGAACGGCAACACCATCGGGGAAGTCGGTGAGGTTGGTGATGGTGCCCCAAACGTCCTTGGACGAGGAAAACTTGGGCTCATTCGTAGTTCCAGCAGGAATAGCGATGAGGGTAATGACGAGGGCGATGATGTTGAACGTTGAGCCCCAGGAGTTGACTCGGGCGACCCATATGGTGGGCATGCTGCTGATGGCCGTATGGATGATGAGAACGAGCACTGTCAGGAGATAAACCTGCCAGTTAGTGGGGACATAATCTGGATTCTGCATTGATGCAGCGGCGAGGATCATTGCAGAAAGCGCGTAATCCACAGATGGCGCTGCGGTGATCTGCCCGATCCAGTTCGACCATCCTGTGATCCAAGCGGCAAAAGGCCCATATTTTGGAGGTGCAAGGACTGCTGCGGCGTAGTAAAGACCACCACTGCCAAAGTCAGTCTTATTCTCCTGTATCAGGCGATGAGGCAAGGTTTACCTTGTAGGCATCGCGGAACATAGCTCAGCCATGGACATGGCGACGCACTGAATGAAAACCATCGCGATGATCCAGCCCCAGACCATACCAGCCGTTCCTGCATAGCCCATTCCTTTGTGGACGTCAGCCCTACCCGTTGTATCAAAGGGTCCAGGAACAGCTACCGTAGTATATCGTGCTTGCAAATGATGGAAGCAACCCTAGTACCGAAAAGCTGACGCAAAATGTTGTCCATAGCGAAAATTCGCGCTTAAATTCTTGCTTGTACCCCAGGGCCACAATGACCCTCTCGTCCGCATCCATTGCATGATCGGTATAAGGGATGTCGCCTTGCGGCAGTACGGTCGTGACGGGGTCATGATCGACGTCCGCGAACACTGCTCCTTTGGAGACTGCCTTGTGATTGCCCGTACCAGACATTATGGAGGTCTCATATATATAAGAAGAGGCGATATGTACACAGTAAGCTGCTGCTGGAGAGTGGGAGCGGCGGGGTAGGAAGTAACGTGGAAGGAGGAAAAAGCAAGCAGCGCAAAGACGCAGCGTTTGCTAGCTCAGACACAAACTTTCATTTGTTTTTCTCAGACAAATGCTTAAAGCAGTATAAGTATCCAAGACACAGGTGGTTAAAAGATAAGTCATAGAGTGGCTGCGGGACACACAGGGTCATGCGCCAGTACATATATGTGTGGCCTTCGGAAAATCAAGACAGCCATCTTATCTGCACACGACATGTCCCGTCCTGCAAAGTGTTGAAAATGATAGCCAAAGCCTTGAGTAAGATAGGTGGCATGCTGGCGAAACACGATAAACGCCTTAAGGAACTCAGGTACCTTCAAAGCTGGGCGCAAGCGAAGCGGGGATCGAGCGCTGATACGCTTGGCAGCTGGTCACGATCTCACTGGATGACCCGAAGGAAAGACCATCACTTGCAGTCAACCAGCAGGAACGAGTAGGATGACTCGCTAAGGATGGAGACGAGATAGGATGCAGCTCCTTGCTGGTCAGAGACCTTGAAGCTTGGCATGCACCATACTTGGCTAGGAAACTTCAGGCGCTGCGAGCGAAGACAGAACTTGGAGAACCCCTTGAACTTGACGCTAGAGCAATGACTTGACCCAGAAGCTGGGGAATCCATCCACTCGGGCTTATCGGAGGCAACTGGTTGGCTATTGGTTGCTTTGACTGCCGGATGATAAGCATCGAGCGAATATCAGAGTGGTTCTAACGGGTCGATGATAAGACGGACGGCAGCATCTGGAGCTGGTTGAAATTATAACCTGTCATTGTAGGAAACAATTGGCTTATACCAATCGAGTCGCTCATCGCTGATTTGGCAGGCTATACCTGCCTTTATGAGAGTAGCGGGGTTGGTGTCATTGATTATCAGCATCTCATCGTAGCTACAGTGTCTACATGATGCTTGCTCATCGGTGGTCCCTAGACGAAGCATAGACTCCTGGATCAGCCCCCGCATACAACATGCATAAATATCACTGGAGCCACTTATACCTTGCATTTTCATTTAGTATCCTCATTGGCCTTTTATCATCTAGTGGGAAGTTCACCGCGATTGGCAGCCCCAAAGCTTTTCGAACCAGATCATTCGCACATTCTGGCAAAGGTCCATGGTGGCTCAAGAAACTGAATTAAATGACTATTCCGAGCTTATCAGCGATAGGTGACCTGGAAATGCGTTGCGCAGCACGCGAGTGGTGCTGCAATTGCGTTCCTGTAGTCCGGCGCTAGAGATAGAATGACTAGCTCGTGACTGGTCCTGTGGCAGAAGTCTTTGGAATAGGCGATCAAGCTCAAACAATAGCCGCAAAAGTGTTTATGCGTAGACGTAACAGTCCAAGGTTGGGGTTGGAGAAAGGTATGAAAGGAAGAAGCCTAATAAAAGAAGAGCGATCTGTGCCTGAGGAGGGAGATATGTCCATAGCCTGAGGCTACAAGGCATGCATGTGCTCCTAGAGAGCCTTTGGCCGTTTGATGCAGACGCAGTTAGACAACGCGTTTTAGTGTTACTGAAGAAAATGAAATGAAGCAGCCAGTGTCTATGTGCTATCAGAAACTCATCGCTATTCTACACGTACAGCACCCTCTTCTCTTCACCATCCATCCGCTAGGTAGCATATCCATGCTGGGTGGGTTCTTATAGATGGTCGGAAAAGCATATCCCATACGGCACAGATTTAGAAGGGCTAGACGATTGTTAGCACGGCCCTCAATCCTAGTTGCTGGTGCCACTGGAGCGGTATGAAGGAAAAGCGAAAGCACTTACGTTGTCCTCGGGAGCGATCGTGCGGTCGAAGTACTCATCGAGGAAAGGAACCTTCTGGAGGATGTCGCGGCGGACACGGGGGATCTCGCCAAAGAAGAAGAGGGCGAAGGTACCGGCGGCAACACCGAAGGTGCCAGCAATGGTAGCGCTAAATGTGCCCAACGAGTAAGTTGAACTGCCAGGAAGCCAAAGGCGGGGGCTAGGCTTGGGACCGAAAGGGGGAAACTTACTACTTGGTAGCCAGGCCGGTGGTGAGGCCGTGGAAGTGAAGGGGAGTGTGGTACCTATTCCATGCAGTCAGTACGTCGCTTCCATATACCACTTGCAGTTCCCAGCTCAATTGGTGCCTTTACTAGCTGAGTCTTGGATTCTCGTCAGAGGCAGGGTATGGCAGCAGTAGTAGGTAGTTGTGCAGAGGCAATCCGCAATACCTAGGCCTAGCAGTAGAGACCCTGCCTCATTGAGCCAGCCCAAGCCAGCATGGACACCTTGTGTGTTCGTATGTCGACCGAATATGGGGTATCGGGGAATCTCACTTGGGAGCGAAAGGGGAGCGGTAAGCACCGGCCCTCTGGGCGGCGGCGCGGCGGAGAGTCTGAGAGAAAACCTATCGGCGAGAAGATGGAATCAGCACTGGTTCACTTGTTTCCAAAGAGGGTCCAAGTCGCTATCATAGTAACATGGATAACGGCTCCCGACACAATTGAACAGTGGGCAAGCTCAAAGGAACCCGACAGAACACTGGCAGGGTGAATGCCGGACGAATAATCTCTGGGAGAATACATACCATATTGACTGGGTCTAAAGAAGCACGTCCGGCAACAACAATTGCTCCAGCAAAGGATGACGGCAGCTGCACTTGAAGTCTGAGGCTGTCGACGAAAACCGGGAGACTCCGCGACGTTGAGTGCTTGCGGCTTCCGATAGCCAATCAGCGACCGGCAATTGGCATTCACGTGACCATCTGATTGGCCAAATCAGAGGCCGCGCATTTCCACTGCTCATGCCACCATTTACATCTACAATCGAAATGCGTGATTCGAAGCATCCTACTACTGCAGCATAGCATCCGTTGGAAAAGATCTTTTAGAAGACTTGGCTATTATGCACACTTTTTGGTTTGTGTATGGCTGACTGGAAGACAGTGAAAGCTTTAGAGGGAATTTGTGTACAACAGTAGCGCCATATTCTAACACCATTCAGGACAAAACAACAGACGAAAGTAAAAAGTAGAACCGTCAATATGAAGAACCCAGAAATCCTGGTAAACGTATAGCAACCCAGTAAAAGTCCAAGATAGACACGAAATTAGGGCGTGGAAAAGAAGTATAAATGAAGTAACTGTACAATGCCCACATGGGATCAATCAACCTTGCCGGTCGATCCACCGTTCAGAAGACCTTCCTTTCCATCAAGGTTGAAGAAACCACCGCCGGTGTTACCAGTAACCCCGAGAATTCCGCCACGAGCCCCGCGTCTAAGACTTCTTCCCCGAGCTACGATTGTAGCACCAGCCACCGAAAGCGTCAGGAGGATGAAGAAGATGATCGGGTGACCACTGATGAAAGTCCGAGTGAAGAAGAAGACAGACTCAAAGGTACCGACGGTGGACTTGGGGGTAAGTTTCGGTGGGTTGGCAATGACCAAGGGGATGGTCTCAAGGATGGAGGTTCGGGAAGCCATGATCGAAGCTCCGCTGGAAGACGTATCCCAGTAGCGCCGGTTCTACAGAGAGGTTAGCTTCAAGTCCTAACAGATAGTTGACTAATCTGTGATTGTCACTTACATCCTGATCGTTGATAATCACGCGTTCGCCGTTCTCGACATCGATGCCATATGTGGTTCTGAGCCACCTTTCCCAGAAATCGCCATCAATCCAAGCGAAACCGACTTGTTTCTTGTCATCTTCGCGGATGGTAATGCGCATGTTCTTGGCTGCCCGCAAGGCCCGTTGATCGTTACGGTCTTCAGCTTCCTCGATCCGCAGCTGCTTAGCGTCACGCAGCTCAGCACGCTCCAACTGGAACAACTGCGTCTGCTTATCCATCCACTCAAGAGCGGCATTCTTGAGCTCTCGCTTCGATTGAAGGAACTCATCCGAGTGCTTCCGGCTCAGGATGCCGAGGACCACATACTTGCCATCCATGATCTCCCGCGCGTTTGAGGCGGTAAGTTCAGGAACAATGGGCAGCCACACAGTGCGCATCCAATTGAGAATCTGGCGGAAGTCCCGCATATCCTTAGGTGCAAGCGCATTGTAGTAACTGGGGCGGCCATCGCGGGACACAAGGAGACGTGGCCAAGTCGAGATCTTGAACCGTTCCGCAAGAGCAGCGCTGTTCGTCTTGACAAGCCGGGCATGGCCAACCAAACTAAGGGTCAGGCGCTCGAGAGCTTCGAAATCTTCCGAGGTGGTTGCGTGGTCATAGAAGTACAGGAAGATAACATCCTCTTTCTCCTCCAACTCCTTGAAGGTGGTGGCATCGACATCCTGTACACCGGATCCAACATCAACAGCCTTCTTGGCATAACTGACCAAATCTCCGAGGCCACGGAGGCCGGTATATTCGACCCTCTCACCGCCGCGGAAGAAATACATCGTCGGGAAGCCGCTGACACGGGCATCTTTGCAGAGTCGGGATTCCGCGTCGCAGTTCACTTCACCCACGTTGAGAACACCCTGCATCTCCTTTGCCATTTCCCTCCAGTTGGGAGCCAATGCTTGACAGTGGTGGCACCATGGTGCGTAAAACTTGATGAACCAAGGATCCTGAGTAGTCGTGACCAGCTTCTGGAAACTTTCCGCGGTGAGAGGGACAGAAATTCCCTGGGGGTTAGCAGGGGCCGGCTTCGGCTTAGTCTTAGACTTGATCGACGCCTTGTCTGCGGGTGTCTCATCCTCGGCCAGCTGTGCAGCCTGCTCGTTGTGCTTTTCTCCGGCCTTGGTGCCCGCCTCACGATCTTTATCTTTGGCGACGGGCGCCTCCGGCTGAGCCTGAGTATCCACTCCTTTGTCGCCAGGCTTGGGGAGGTGGAGACCCTGGGCAGGCCGCGAACCAGGCTTGATCTGTTCCAGCTTCTCCTCAACGAACTCGCTAATGCCCTCCATACTCTTCTTTCCAGTGTACTGTTCAACCAGTTCACCGTTGTGGTACAGCGCAAAGGTGGGGAAGTACTTGACGTCGAGTTTGCGGCAAAGATCGCCATGCGCGAGACAGTTCATCTCGGCGAAATGGAAGTTGTAAAAGCCATGGAAGGAGTTCAACGAATCGGTGTTGGACGACTTGGAGGACGACGAGGACAAAGGATCGGAGGTCTAGTGGGATATTAGTGGATGCTACTGGTAAGGAGCGATGTGGACTCAATGCGCGACAAGTTAACTCACGTAATAGAATTCATAAAGCGTTTGCCATGTAGGTGCAATCTTCTGGCAGTGTGGGCAGGACGGGGAGTATTGCTTGACGAACCTAGATCCTTGTCAGCTTTCCGGAGGACCAACCGTAGATGGAGAACGAAGAGATAACATACCAGTAGCCATCCTTAATCGTGTCATCGAAATTGTCGGGAGTCAAAGCCTTCATAGGCGGGACCTCGATACCATTAAAAGTAGTCGACTGGCCCTCCGACTTCACGTCGGAGTCGCCTCTCTTTACGAGGTGATGGCTGGGAGAGACATTATCGGAGGGGGCGGCTAAGGCGGGAATCGAGAGAAGAGAGAGTAGAGACCACGCCAGCAAAGAGACCCTCATGCTGGCTGTAGCGCAAGGTCCTTGACCTTGAGAGCGTGACTGAAATAAAGAGGGACGAGTGAATTTCGGGGGGTTGAAGGAGTAGTGGAAGAAGTCAGGACGGGGCGTCACAGGTGGCACATTGGACTAACGACGGTCTAGAATCGCTAAGGGACACGCTTGAATGTACCCCTTGTTGAGGGGGCGAAAGAGATCAGCAAGACAAATGCTGCCGAAAAGAAACAGAGATGAGCTCGGCTCAGAGACTACTGCGGAGGCGATCCGCAGGCTCTTTGAGAGAAAGAATGCAGGAAGAACACTCCTACAAGAGAAAGCGATAAGCCGACCAAGTGAGGTGCTTCACGAGAGCCGCAGGGAGAGACTGAGGGAGAATGTCTCCCGGCGTCACAATTTCTCCGCGCCCCGACACGGGACCTCAACCCTTCGCGCATCCATCCCGATCCAGTGTGGTATCTTGACGACTGACAGCGCCGCTATTCCCGCTTATCGTCTGCCATTGGGTCTGTCACCACCCGGCCCTTTTGCCCAATAACACAACCTCCAGTTATAATGAGGTCTACATTCCGGTTGCTGGCCGGCGTGAAGCCGGCTCGCTACTTGGAGCCTTTCGCTCCCACCGGCTTGACCGGTATCGTCACTCACCCTAGTCCTCGCCCGACCCTGATCTTCCTCTACAAGTCCACCCTGGATAAGCTGAAGGCCTTCCCCGAGTCTTCCGTCTACCGCCAGTCTACCGAAGCATTGACCCGCCACCGTCTGCAGATTGTCGAGTCTACGAAGCCGCCCGGATTTGATGCTTGGTTGGAGCGTGTGAAGAAGGCTGTCGCTGAAGAGCCCGAGCGTTTCGCCTCCCTTCGCCGTCCTGACGGTACATATGCCGCCTGGCAGCGTGATGACGGTTCCGACAACCCCCGCGGTGAGGAATGGAATGGAGAGAGCATCGAGCCTACTACCGAGGGCCCCGCTCGTACGGCAGAGGAAGAAGCTCGGTGGCACAAGGCCATTGAGGAGTCTACCAAGCCCACTGCTGAATCAGACTTCTACACCGCACAGATGAAGTGGGAGAATGAGCCCGCCCTGGAGGCTGAGCAGTATGTGACATCATGTCTGAGCTATGCTACCGTTCTGTGGAGATGCTGATTATGTCTTCTAGGATTGCCGAAATTGAGAGACAGATTGGCGCCGGCCTGATCGAAGAGGTCATTGAGGTTGCTGAAGGCGAGTTGAAGGTTGTTGACGAGCTGTACAAGACATCCGCGTAAGTCGACTGTTGACAAGTCTGTCTTTGAAGCCATAGATGCTAACATTAGCTTAGTTGGGAGGAGCTTTCGGAGAAGCCCAGACCCGGTCAGTGGTCTTACTTTGAGCGCAAGACCGAGTAAGCATAGAATGTTTTCTCATGAAAGGAGGGTCTGAAACTAGATTCCAATCTGCTTGTAATTATTATCTTACGGTTGTGTGAAACAAAATTCGTTGCCAATGCCAGGCCAATTTTCTTTTATTGGGGATCTACTCTTATATATGTAGTATCAATCGCCGTAATGACTGCCTACAAATATGCCTTGGAAGAAACCAAAGGAGCTGGTGCGAGCGATGCGTGTGATGTGTATAATTCATTGCTCTAGTTGATGACTACTGCAATCATCCCCACGGTGTGCTTAGAATGGTCCCATCTGCACACAGGCATTCCCATCCCAGATAATCGACAATCAGAAAGACATCCACAAGCATCTATATCTTGCAGTGATGAAGTGCTGATGTCTGATGCTAACATGGAATCACAAACCGTAGGCGGTGAGCCCCATATGGCTAGCCGGTTCCAGATAGCTGGCGGGATTCCGTCTCCTTGTGGACACATCGCTGCCAGTCCCTGAACATCTGCGTTGACCTTGCTGGCCATTCCGGTCGGGGACAATTCTTCTTTCTTTGCGCTCTCATCTACTTGCTTCTCGGGACTCCTTTGCATATACGGGCTGGCTGTTTGAGCGGCTCGTGGCCTGGTTTCCCCTCCTTCTCTCAGGCCGTTCTCCGACGCCGCACATAGTCGCGACTCTCCTTCCCCACACAACATGAAATTGGATGTCAAGGTACGGGTTATAATGCTGAGTCTAAAGCCCTTAGTTCAACAAGAGGCTGTGACGTGCAAAGGAAATACTTTCAGGAAACAATTATACGGATGCTGACTGTTGTTGTGGCCTAACAGAGACAGCTGTTCGCCCGCTCCGAGCGGGTGAAGGGCATTGACTTCCATCCCACAGAGCCATGGGTGAGTACTCAATCGCCGTAAACTGTTGAACAATACTAATGGCTCTTAGATTCTTACAACGTTATATAGCGGTGCGTTTGCGGTAGCGAGTGGAGGAAGTCTCCGGATGCGATGTGCTAATAAGACACAGGACATGTATACATCTGGTCTTATGAGACCCAGGTGAGTTGTACAAACAAGGAATTGCTATGATGCACTGCTGATTGCTAAACTATCTAGTCGATCATCAAAACCTTCGAACTCACCGATGTCCCTGTACGAGCCGGTCGTTTCATCGCTCGCAAGAACTGGATTGTCTGCGGTTCCGATGACTTCCAACTTCGCGTCTACAATTACAACACCTCCGAGAAGATTGCCTCGTTTGAGGCGCATCCGGATTACATTCGTTCCATCGCAGTGCACCCCACCCAGCCTTTTGTTCTTACGGCGTCTGATGACATGACAATCAAGCTGTGGGACTGGGAGAGGGGCTGGAAGTGTGTCCAGGTGTACGAGGGCCACAGTCACTATGTGATGGGGCTGGCTATCAACCCCAAGGATACGAACACCTTCGCTTCCGCTTGTTTGGACCGTACCGTCAAGATCTGGAGCCTTGGCTCGCCGCACGCCAACTTCACCCTGGAAGCCCATGAAACCAAGGGTGTCAACCATGTCGATTACTACCCCCAAGCGGATAAGCCATACCTTCTTACGACATCTGATGACAGAACCGTCAAGATCTGGGATTACACGACGAAGGCACTTATTGCAACCCTGGAAGGGCACACAAGTAACGTTTCGTTTGCCTGCTACCACCCGGAGTTGCCGGTTATCATTTCCGGATCGGAGGATGGAACTATCAAGCTCTGGCATGCGAATACATACAGGCTGGAGCAGTCGCTAAGCTATGGCTTGGAGCGTGCCTGGTGTATCGCTTACCAGCGCGGCAGACAGGGGGTTGCAATGGGTTTCGACGACGGTGCGGTGGTTGTGAAGATGGGCAGAGAGGAGCCGGCGGTTTCAATGGACGGCTCGGGAAAGATCATCTGGGCCAGGCACAACGAGGTCGTTTCCACTGTCATCAAGGGTGGTGATGCTAGCATCAAGGACGGAGCACCACTGTCCCTCCCCACTAAGGAGCTGGGATCTTGTGAGGTCTATCCCCAGACACTGTCTCATTCCCCCAACGGCCGTTTCGTTTCGGTATGTGGCGATGGTGAGTACATCATCTACACTGCCCTTGCCTGGCGAAACAAGGCTTTTGGACAGGCCCTGGATTTTGCATGGGGCTCCAAGGACAACAGCAACGATTACGCTATCCGGGAGTCCACGACCAGCGTCAAGATCTTCAAGAACTTCAAGGAAGTGAGTGGTGGTCTGGACGTGGGCTTTCAAGCTGAGGGTCTCACCGATGGTGTGCTTCTTGGTGTTAAGGGGCAAGGAGGTATAGGCATGTTCGACTGGGAGACGGGTAACTTGGTCCGCCGCATCGAAGTCGACCCTAAGGCTGTAAGTATCCCCCAACGACGAAGTCAAGATGGCCTTTCACTCACACATCAAATAGGTCTACTGGTCCGAGTCTGGAGAGCTGGTGACCCTTGCTTGTGAGGATACTTTCTATGTCCTCCGATTCTCTAGGGAGAACTACGTCAACGGTCTGAACGCCGGTGAAGCCGACGAGGATGGTGTGGAGTCCGCTTTCGAAGTTGTCACCGATATCAACGAGTCCGTGCGCACAGGTCAATGGGTTGGAGACTGCTTCATCTACACGAATTCGACGAACCGCTTGAACTACCTGGTCGGTGACCAGACCTACACTATCTCCCACTTCGACCAGGGCATGTACGTCCTGGGCTACCTGCCCCGCGATGGCAGAGTCTACCTTGCCGACAAGGACGTCAACGTCGTCTCCTTCGGTCTCTCCCTCAGCATGGTGGAGTACCAGACCGTGGTGCTGCGTGGCGACATGGACATGGCAGCTGAGCTGCTCAAGGACGTTCCCCAGGACCAGATGAACAAGGTTGCGCGATTCCTCGAAGGCCAAGGCTACAAGGAAATGGCCCTTGAAGTAGCAACCGACCAAGAGCACCGGTTCGAGCTGGCACTCGGGCTCAGCAACCTCGACATCGCCCTGGAAATTGCCCGTGAAGCCAACAATGAGCACAAGTGGAAGACGGTCGGAGATGCCGCCTTGGCAGGATGGAACCTGGCCCTGGCCCAAGAATGCTTCACCAACGCCAAGGATGTCGGCTCTCTCCTCCTTCTGCACACTGCCAGCGGCAACAAGGACGGCCTCCGTCAGCTGGCCGAACAAGCCTCGGAAGCCGGTCTCCACAACGTCGCCTTCTCCACCTTCTGGTCCCTGGGCGACGTTGACGGCTGCATCGACCTCCTGGTGCGTACCAACCGACTGGCCGAATCCGTTCTCTTCGCACAGACCTACAAGCCTTCCCGTGCCCCTGCTCTCGTCGCTCAATGGAAAGAGTCTCTTGAGGGCTCTGGAAAGACTAAGATCGCTCGTCTCATCGGTATCCCCCCGGGCTGCCCTGACCTCGCCGCGGACGATGACCTCTTCCCGGAATGGGACGAATACCTCCGTCTAGAGAAGGAGGGAGTTGTTCCTGAGCCCCCCTCCTCAGAGTCTCTGATCGACGTGCACGCCGACGAGGACGGCAATGCCGTGTCAGCAGCCAACGGTGAGCCTGAGGTGGAAGCTCAAGCTGAAGCCGAAGCTGAAGAGGAAGAGGAAGAGGAAGTAGAAGAGACCGAGGCATGATCTGATGATGGTTTAAATAAGGTGGGGAAGGATTAGGAGAGAGCGTGTGTGAGATTTTTCCTTAATTTCTGCAGGAGTGGGAAGAAAAGAAGTGAGAAGAGGAAAAATCATTTCCATGTACTGTTGACAACCCTCCTACTTACTTTTATCTAGCTTGCTTGCTTTTTTTACATAACTTTATTCTCTCTAGAACTATGTTTGATTTTTTTTTCTACATCTGCCTGCTTTTGTCATGATTCAATCTTATGTTCATCCTTTTTTTTTTGTTCTCTATATTGGAACACTGTATGTGTCTTCGGTTCAGTTCTTTATTCTACCTGTATCTATCACCCCTTGTTCTAACGATTTGAAGTGATGATGATATTGTGACCCCCCTTTTTGCGTATGGTGAGGCACAGACAGTACATCTCCAAGGCTACCATACTATGTTTAGCTGTGTGATGCAGATTCAGTTGTAGATAGTAAATCCCATTGTCTATGAGCCAGTCATGTCAAATCAACAAACACCTTTACCGTCAACTGGCTAGAGCCCATCCCAGTGCGCAAAGAGAGCAGCACCCAGACAAAATTTTCGACAACAACATGGAAAAGGGGCAGCTAAATGGTCTAAATCGAGGACCGCTCAAATGTGTACTTTCATATGTAAATCGACCCCAAATGGATTTGGCTTCCCCAGGAGCATTCCGTATTTCGCCGAAGCAGCGAAGGATCGGACCAGCAGATCTGAAACAGAACGAGGCCGACTCATCAGGCATACAGAGGCCATGTGTAGAGGGCCAAAGTGTGGAGAATTTTTGCTTTACCTGTGCCGTCCGCCTGTCGTTCGAAGATGGAAGCAAATCACTGACGCAAGCCCGAGACAAATTGGTGAAATGATGCGGCAGTCAAAAGAGGTGTGGTAATGACAGTAAATGAGAAATGCACGAAAGGGACCCGCCTCAATTGTATCTCAGATGCAAACCAGGATAGAAAAACACAAGCGCTCAGCCGAGATCACCGCCACAGAGAATGGATTCCAACAGAAAGATACCATATACCACTTGTGCTAAGAGGGAAAACAGGGAGAACCAGCAGTGAAGCAAGTGCTCGAGCTATGCAGAGAATATGCACGAGTAAAGGTAAAAAGAGCAAGGAATTGTCTCAAACAATTTCCCTTTATGTCTGGAAGAGACGTATGGTGTTCAAGTGAGTCGATTGATGATGTATCAGCTTTTTACTCGGTGATGCTACCAAAAGAGGGATCCTTGACACTGCCACCAGCGTCCCCGAGACCGGCAACCGGGCGGTTGTAAGACCAGCCTTCGAACTGTTGCTGCATGGTCTGCGACAGCATGGGGCCGTCCACATAGGAATCTTGCGGTGCTTCAGAGGTGAACTCCCGGTCGAAGTTAGTGATATCGCGAGCGCCCATCTGCAAAGGTTAGTCACCATCCCCATCATAATGCGAGCCACATCAAGAGTTACATACCACGTTCGGACGGAAGCTGGGCTCGTACTTCCGCTGGAGCAGCTTGCGCCAATCGATGTTAGCGAAGAAGTGGTGCGACTTGATCTCCGCTGCGCCGTTGGCTCCCAACCGACGTTGGGGATCGCGATCAAGCAGACGACTCAGTAGATCCCGAGCGGCCGGGGGAACAATGTCCGTGCTGGGGAACGTCAGGGGCTCCTGAAGGATCTTCCGATACATATCATTGGTGTTTTCATCGTAGAAAGGGGGAAGACCCGTCAACATCTCGTAAAGGAGGACACCCAGCGTCCACCAGTCAACGGTCTTTGTGTATCCGTTTCCAAGCAGAAGCTCGGGTGCGAGGTATTCAGGGGTACCACAGAAAGCTGTTTCAAAATGTTAAACGAGTCCAGGTTAAGGGCAGGAAATAATCTTACTGTTTGTGCGATCTTCATCCTTCATGTCCAACTTGCACAGACCAAAGTCGCACAGGGCAATGTGGCCAGTGTAGTCCAGAAGGATATTCTCAGGCTTGAGATCACGGTAGATGACCTTGAAACCATGCAGGCACTCCAGCGCACAGAGCAGCTCGGCAGTATAGAAACGGGCCCGGTTGATATCGAAGCGTTGCTCGCGCTGAAGGTGATGGAACAGCTCACCGCCGTTGACGAAAGCAAGGACGAGGTACAGCTTCTCTGGAGACTGGAAGGAGAACTTTAGAGGGACGATGAAAGGATTGTTGATTTGAGAAAGCACTGATCTTTCGGCGAGGGTGTGAGTGACTTCCGACCGTGAGATGATGTGCGCTTTGCGGATAGTCTTGAGGGCGTAAATCCGACCCGTATCCTTCTTCATGACCTGCATGACCTTGCCGAAACTACCCTTACCCACCACCTTCAGCAACTCGAAGTCTTCCAGCTTCATGCTGCGCTGCTTGTTCTCGACGAAAGAGACGCCAATCTTGATGGAGCCGGTGCCGAACTGCATATCCAGCCATTCGGCGCCCAGCTGGCCCAGCTGGCGCTCCTGCGGGGTCTTCTTGGACTTGGGGTCTTCCGCATGAGGCTGAGCTTCCTCGAAGCGAGGATGTACCTTGACGGCACCAAGGAAGATATCCTCGCTGCGACCAGCGCCAGGACGAGCCGTAGGGTTCCGTAGATACAACTGAACGTTCAATTCCGTCTTGCGCGACACATCAAACTTATAAGCCGTGTTGTCTCCAGCCCACAAGGGGTTCTCGGGGGAACCAGAAACAGCATCGACGAAGACTTGGTTCTTTTCGAAATCCAGAAGGGCGTAGGGGAGGTACTTGGTCGAATAGCGACCGTGGGAGGTCGGAGCGGCATTGATACCTCCGCTGGTGGACTGAGGGCGACCGCTGGGGACATAGGAGCCGGCCGTTCCGTGTGCAGAGTGGGATGACGAGGAGCTTGGACGCATGCCATAGGAACCGCTACTTTGGAAATGGGAGTTGAAGATCTGTTGGTAGTGGGGGGAAAGAGAAAAGCCTCGACCTTCGTGGAGGGTGACGATCAGGATTCCGGGCTTGACAGGGGCCACGGGCGGGGAGACGAGCGACTCCGAGGCATCTTTGGGACAACGTTAGACGGTCGGCAGGGAATTAAAGAGAAGAAGATATATGAACAACGTACTGATTCCATTGGTGTTTGTTGTGGAGATGCTGGGGGTTTGCGAAACAACGGGGGTCTCTTCGCCAGAATCACCTTTGATGGTGGATGTGGAGGAGGATCGGGTGAATGTTTGGGTCAAAGGAGCCAAGTGCGTCTCCTTTAGTTCTGTATGAGGGAATTAATTGATTAGCTATCCGATATGCCGGGACAAAGGGAACACAACCGGGCATAAACAGCGCACATACTTCTAGTGAGTTTCCACGACATTGTGAGAGGGATGTTCTAGCAAGCGAATCCAGGGTGTGTGTATGTTTGTTAAAAAAAGGGAGAAGAGGTAGAGGAAGGGAATAGGAAAAGAGAGGATCAATTCGAAATGTTCCCCGACGGTTTTAAAAAGAAGAGGAAAAAGGAGAGGAATAGGAGGCCAACAACTGGGTCGGAGGCCTGGCAGAGAAGAAGGGCAGAACGAGCCAGACCAGTCAAGTGCAGTGATAATATGCAGAACCGCCACAGCCACAGCGGTCAGCCAGACAAGAAAACGAGGGAGGAGAGGGAGGGAGAGAGGGAGAGAGAGGAATGAGGAGGGAGAGGGTAAGTAAGTAGTAGTAAGTAGGTAGTAGTTTCAGGAACCAGCGATCGGGCGGGAACAGGGGAACACCCGCAAATTGTACAAGACGCTTGAGAGCACAAACGAAATGATGATGATGAAAGTAGAACCAGGGTCAGGGACGCGATGGAACGACGAGAAGGAGGATCGACCCGGGTTGTGCCTTTTTTAGGGAGAGACAGTGATAAGGCGAATTGGGGGGGAAGAATTGGGAAATGGGGGGAGGAGGAGGGGGGGGGAAAGCGAAGAGGGGGTGAATGAAGGTGGGAAAGGGACTGAGCGAGGCTGAACTCTGAATAGAATAAGTCGCCGCCACTCCGGCCTTCATTGGCCCAGGAACCCCGTTGCCTGAATGTGTGCCTGGGGCACCCATCTTGGTCACGCTGAGGCGGTGCATCCCGGGATCGCAGTCTAGTCCCGATCGAGCAACCAACCAAGTGCACTAGCCCCAGAGCTCAGCCACCGCCCACCCCCAGAACCTCAAGTCGTCCGTCCGCCGATACGCGACCAGTCTCATATTCACTGCGAACTGCTGCTGTCACAATCCTCCCGCCATCCCCCAGAAACCTTGTTGCTATTACGGTTCTTGTCTGTGCTGAATCGACTACTTTGGGACCAATTTGACGTGAACCCTCAAGGTTACTCCACCCTGGTTTCCCCGGCATTTCTCCCACCCCCCGCTCATCGACTGCGGAGACGTACATCCCTTTGCGCTACCGACGTTCTCCGGACCACCATCTTCATCCCCGACGCGCATCACTCTTTTTCCTTTAGCTAAAAACTGCCCTCTCATTTTACTGGAGGGCGTGTCGGTGTGGTCGAAACGGATCCGGGAACATTGGAGGATGAAAGGGACCCGCGACCGATGGGTGTAATACGGAAGAAGACCGCCTCGCGCGGCACTGAAGCGGGCACCAAGTATCACTGTGATATTTGCTCGGTTGATGTGACTTCGACGGTATAGTCTGCGATCTGTGTCCCAAGGACTTTCGCCTCTTGTCGGTCTTAAACCTAACTTATCGGTCTCTTTCTAGGTTCGCGTATCTTGCGCCCATCCCGCCTGCCACGAATACGATCTCTGCGTCCCCTGTTTCGCTGCCGGAGAGAAATCCAAGAACCATGACCCGTCGACACATCCGTTCCAGGTGATCGAACAAAACTCGGTCCCGATCTTCGAGGAAGACTGGGGTGCGGACGAGGAGCTCCTGCTGCTGGAAGGCGCCGAGATCTACGGACTGGGCTCATGGGCGGACATTGCAGACCACATTGGCGGTTACCGCACCAAGGAGGAGGTCCGCGACCACTACATCAGCGCCTATATCGATAGTCCAAACTTCCCGTTACCGGAACGCGCCGATCCGGATGACAAGCGCCTCTCGGAGGCCATTTCGAAGGAAGAATTCCAGGCGCGGAAGAAACGCCGCATTGAGGAGCGCAAAGAAGCGGCCAAGGCAGCTCCCCCCACAACACCGAAGCAGAAGCCTACGGCCAGTGTACCGGCTTGTCACGAAGTGCAGGGTTACATGCCGGGTCGGTTGGAGTTCGAGACAGAGTTTATGAACGAAGCCGAGGAAGCGGTGCAGCATATGACATTTGAGCCTGGCGCGGGCGAGACAGCGAACGGCGAGACGGACGCGGAGATGGAACTGAAGATGACTGTAGTGGATATCTATAACTCACGGCTTACGGCGCGCACGGAGCGCAAGAAGATCCTCTTCGAGCACAATCTCCTCGAGTACCGTAAAAACACGGCGCTGGAGAAGAAGCGCACGAAAGAGGAGCGCGATCTGCTGAACAAGGCGAAGCCGTTTGCCCGGATGATGAACCACGATGATTTCGAAGAGTTCAACAAGGGTCTTGAGTACGAGCACAACCTGCGGCTAGCCATCACGCAGCTCCAGGAGTGGCGCCAGATGGGAATTGGCGATCTCAAGGGTGGAGAGAAATACGAACAGGAGAAGCAACAGCGGGCACAGCGGCTGATGCCGCAGGGCTCATTTGATCGGTTCGCCAGCACGCGACCGACGAAGCAGTCGCAGCAACCAGAACAGCCATCCGCCGCCAGTCAGCTGACGACCCCGGAGCTCCCTCTCCGGTTACAAAAGGCGTCTGGGGCGCCTAAGGCACCAGAGCCTCCCAACCCGCCGATGAATGATTTTGATCGGGCGTTTGCCGCCACCAATGGCGACGGGATCAGCACGCCGCAGCCAGCAAAGACCAAGTTCGTGATCCAGCCACTAAACGGAGTGATTCCGTGGAAACTGGAGAACGAGGGAGCACCGGATTTGCACCTGCTGACAAAGGAGGAAGTCGAGGTGTGCAATGTGCTGCACATGCAGCCCAAGCCGTACCTGGTAATTAAGGAGACGTTATTGAAAGAGGCGATGAAGCAGGGCGGCAGTTTAAAGAAGAAGGACGCGCGAGCTATTTGCAAGGTCAGTCTCCTTCCCCCCACTGCCAGCAACAGGAGATGTATGGGTGTCTGACAAAGATTCTACAGGTCGACAGTACCAAGACGAGCCGGATCTACGATTTCATGGTACACAGTGGCTGGATCAACAAGAGCTGAGCGTTTGATTTGCATGAGCAGGATACCACGTGGTTCTGTGTAAGGAGTTGCGGCGTTGGAGGTAGATGATACGATTTCTGGGCTTGATTAAGTAGATAGACATATATGTTTATCTATACAAGGGACACGTCTAATGTTCTATCTATACTATGGAATAAACCCCATTGTTCTATATCTTCTAAACTTGCATGTAGCTCCAGTAAAGTATGAAATAGACACAGCAATCGGAAACGATACCCACCGACTAACAACAGAACCAGTCTAGCGGCAGGCCGTCGTCTCCGCACTCCAACTTTAACAATATAACATCCGACCGAACCTCGGCATCAATTAAAGACCCATCCATAAATAATCATCGACTCCTATAACAACACCACTTCTATCTCCAACCCTCCCACCTTCTCCCAATTCTTCCCTACATACAAAGTTGACCCATACTCCAATCCAAATACCATCAAAAATCAAAAATGGCACCAACCCTCCCCACCCCCTCCTCCAACACAATAACCCTTTCCCTCCCGCACCCACACGTCCTCCTCGTCACCCTCTCCCGCCCAAAAGCACTCAACAGCATCTCGACAGCCGGCCACCATGACCTCGACGCCATCTGGACATGGATGGACAACGAGCCCTCAATAAGAGTAGGCATACTGACTGGTTCAGGAAGGGCCTTCTGCGCGGGCGCAGACCTTAAAGGTATAGTATATATCATATCCCTAACCTACCCCATTTCCTCCCTTCCCCCCCCCATCATCAACCCACCACACATATACATAGTATACTCACCATAATAAATGTCTACTATAGAATGGAACTCCACCGTCCAAACTCCCAATCAACCCAGCCAAGCGCGCACCATGCCCCCCACCGGCTTCGGGGGCCTCTCCCGCCGATCCGGCAAAAAGCCCATTATCTGCGCGGTGAACGGCCTCTGCCTGGGCGGGGGATGCGAAATGGTGCTCAACGCCGACATGGTGATTGCGTGTTCGCAGGCGTATTTCGGGTTGCCGGAGGTGCAGCGCGGGGTGGTAGCGTGGGCGGGGGCATTGCCGCGGTTGGGGAGGATCGTGGGACGGCAGAGGGCGATGGAGATGGCGTTGACGGGAAGGAAGGTACCTGCGGAGGAGGCGGCGAGGTGGGGGATTGTGAATGAGGTTGTTGATGATAGTAAGAAAGGGGTGGTGGAGAGGGCAGTGGAGGTTGCGGTGCAGATTGCGGGGAATAGTCCTGATGCGGTGTTGGTTAGTCGCGAGGGAGTCAAGTTGGGGTGGGAGGGGGTGGGGGCGGAAGAGGCGACGGGGATGTTGATTCAAGAGTGGTCGGAGAAGTTGAATCAGGGGGAGAATATTAAGGAGGGGTTGAGGGCGTTTGTTGAGAAGAGGAAGCCGGTGTGGAGGGATAGTAAGTTGTGATACTTTTGAGATCTATAATCAACTACTATTTATGAAATACCCGAGCAAGATAGGTTCATGTTTCAGTCATGTATTCGTGCTAGTTGCCTGCAACTGTGTACATAATTATCATGTTATGACTATGCTAATCCGTTTCCATACCCATGCTCCATATCCGCGCCGACCAGTGTTCGCCGTATCCCAGATGGCCTGTCACCGTCCTGCGGCGTGGCCAGTTGTACATGCAGGTGATCGACTCGGAATGCTTTCGCAGTTTTCGTAATCGTAATCGTGAACATTAAAGACAGTTTGCGACAGCAGCAGTGCCTTTACTTCGTCCCCTGCTGCACCTTGCGCACCCGGTCCAGCACGGCAGGATACAGTGGGTGTTCCTTTTCCAGGCCGGTGAGATTGGTGGTGGCATCTTCCGCCGGCTGTTCTTGGAGAATGTTGGCGAGCTCCGCACTCTCATCGTCACCAGGCACGTTCTGGAAGCGCAGAGCCATCTCGACAGCATCCATCAAAGAGTCATACTTCATGCCGCGCTCGGCCAGCTGTGAAGCCGGTCCAATGAAACGCTCCTTGCGAGACAGCTTGCGCAGGGGAGCACGACCCACGCGATCGACATTGTCCTCCAGATAAGGGTTGGAGATGCGGCTGACGATCTTCTCGACGTACTCCTTCTGCTCCTCCTCTGAGATGTCGTGCTTGGCCACGATGAGTGAGGCAGTCTCCTCGAGAACCTTGTGAACAAGTCCACGGATCTCCTTGTCCTCCAGAGCGTCGGCAATCATCTTCTTGCCCCGGAAGTGACCAAAGTAGGCAGTAGTAGCATGGCTGGTGTTGACAGTGAACAGTTTGCGCTCAATGTATGGCTCCAGGTTGTCAACCCAGTGGATAGCAGGAATGTCTGGGTGGCCGACAGAGCCAAAGGGAGTCTTCTCGACAGCCCATTCGTAGAACTTCTCAATGCGGACGTCGAGGCCACTGTTGGGGGCTTGCTGAGGGACGATGCGGTCAATGGCAGAGTTGGCAAACTGGGCGCGGTCATACAGGGACTCGACGCGGTCCTGGCTGGTGTGCTGCTTGATGAAGCCGTGCAGGGTGTCGGTAGCGCCAATGGCATTCTCACAGGCAATGACAGCGACAGGCTTAGACTCTGTGCGAGCATCGATACCCTTGGCAATGACAGGGGCGATGAACTTGAGAATGTTGGGGCCCACGGCACAGGTCACGACATCAGCCGTCGCAATCTCTTGAATGACGTCGCTCTCATGGGTCTTGGAGTTGATGGCACGGTAGTTGGTGATAGTCGTTGTGTGCTCACCCTCCTCACTGACCTCGGTCACCTTGTACGACTTGTTCTGCTGCAGAGCCTCGACCATCTTGTCCATGACATCGACGAAGACCACTTCGTAGCCCGCCTTGTGGAGGAATTCGGCGACAAAGCCACGGCCGATGTTACCACCGCCGAACTGGATAGCCTTCTTTCCCATGATGTAGTGGAAGTCTGATAGTAGAAGGGAGGTAGAGTGTAATTGGAAGACTGATCAAAAGTAAAGTAAGATGATCAGAGGTATGAAAGGATGATTGATATCGCGAAAGAGAAGAGTGGTGTTGTGAAGACAAAGGAAGGGTTGAGAATTGAAGAGCAGAAGACGGAGAGAAAGAAGAGGGGGAATGGAGGGGTATATAAAGTATAATGAGGGAATTGAGGGAAATGAGGGAGAATGAGGCACCCACGATGGGAACAACGGGAAAGTGCAACGGTGAATGGGACCAAGACTTTTTCACGATACCCAGGCCAATTGCAGCAAGTGGGGGAACAGAGACACACGCAGTGACTAACTGACTACTATGATTCTAAACTAACTGCCTATGACTTAATGGATCACGATGAGGCCCAATCCAAGCCAATCCAAACAGGACCAGTGCCGGCCGTTCCAATGAGCGGCGATGACGCAGGCCCAAAGCGGATTGGCCATGCGGGCATTTTCAGGCCTGCACGCCTCCCCTTACTTTTGGCTTCTATCCCAATCAGACACGGCCACAGTCATGGTCCCGGTTGATTCCGCAGCCCACAGACAATCCTGGCCTTGTCTGTCGCATGCGCAACTGTGCCATCGTGAGGTTGACGACGCGATACTGGCCCGTTGGCCCGGATGGCCATCGACTATACTAGTTAGTTAGTGGTGCTACTGTAAGTCATCATCTCACACATTTTCATCCCGGTTAGTCTAACCCATCCTCTTCCAACAAGTCAGTTTCCCTGAAGGCTGTGTTCCTATAACCCCGATCGCTGACCTATAATGACTGGGGTGCTGTTTGTTGGTCCTGGTACAGGTCTCCTACATCATTCCCCTGAATATCATCATCGTCCAACCGGTCGTTAACATCATCATCATGGAATCGAATCGAGTATCCACCAGGGGTTGACCCACCAGTGGTGTCAGGCCAGCGATGGAATGGATAATTCAAAAGAGATTCTACTGTTAGCGCTGGACGAGTGCCGGGAACGAGCAGCGCCGGAGGGGCCAAAGGAGGCCATGCGCCCTCGTCATTCGACCCGAGCCCAATCCTGCTCCACTGGTGACGTGACCGGTTCTTCCCCCCCAGCAACGCTACGCTGCACTGTACCACACTATCGTCGGTTCCCCCCAGTGGATGCGATCAACAATGGACGGCCGTAGAATCCCTTTCATGGGGTTTCTGTGGGTCTTTATATCCGGCTTCCTCTTATCCCCAAGACAGTCCAATAGCTTCATGTTCTATAGCCTGGGCTGGATGCATTCCTTACATTTCCATTCATTTCTATCCGCACTATCTACCCTTTCCATCAAATACAGTCCCTATTCCTCTTCTTTCCATCACTGATTTCCCTCCTTTTCTGTCTCCACCCCTGGAGATGGTTCCGCACTGGACTTGACCGATTCAAAGTCCGAGTGTATGAGGGACTTGGCTTGATCATCACAGTCACCTGCAAGGGTGCCTGTCTCTGCTCGGCTCCGGTCGACCAGCACCGTCAATAAACTGGTGATGCCTCCCGCCAGCATCAACCCCGTGGCCGCCCAGGTCATCCCCAAAAATTGGGGTCCGTACTCGGCACTCACCCCCATATCGCGGCCATGGTCATTGACCAGATCGACAAACTGAAACGCGATAACCGTCGCAATAATCGAGGAAATTCCGAGCATGATGAACCCCAACTAGCACGTGGTTAGTGCTGGGATCATCCCAATCAGAGGTCGGGGGAGGTATCTTTACCAGTAATGCCGCTACTTCCATCACGGACTGCCGTGGTCCGCGCCGAACCAGCCAATACAATCTGCCCACTATCGCCAAGCCAGCAGCCCCGGCTCCGATGCAGTAGAGAATCCCTATACTCCGGCTGGTCATGCTGAATGCATGAAAATCATCTGTAACGGAATCGGGCCATCCCAGGTTCGAAAGTGAAGTGGTGTTACCGGTTTCTTTCAACAGCACCACAGAAGGATCAAAGGCAAAGGGCAATGCGGCTTTGGAGCAATTTGAAAAGCGCCTGTTGCCAGTCACGAGATCTCCTTCGCAATACGACATCACATAGATGGAGTAGAAGTCATGTATCCCCGTATTTCGACTCTGTTCTGAAGAAAGAACCTATATTGTAACATCTCAGCTAACCGACCAGACACTATTAACTCGGAACCAGATAGACCAACCGTGAATATATCGACACCCGGTAGCACCGTCAATTGCGTACCTGCGAAGAGACATAATAAGGTGAGGATAAAAGCGATAAACGCTGTTATCGTGGGGAAGTAAATCACCAAGCGACCCATGGTGAAAGATGATCTGCTTCTCTACTAAAAATGTTTGCGACGAAGCTTATTTAATGGATACTGCAGCATGATAAGCATGAAAGTAAATGCTCGCTCGTAGACGACATGACTGATAACTTAAAGGATCCCAACCGCCGTGTGTCCATCATTCCTTGGGATGGCCGGTCTACATCACCTTTGAGAGACAGCAACGATGCCAACTTCCTCTCCTCCTTCAAGCACGTGGCGGTTCTCCAGCTGCATTGGTCGCGGGTTCTGCCAGGGATTCCCATTGGCCGACGCGAGCAACTGGGGAATGTGCATACTCGATTCATCAGGGTTGGCATGTTCATTCTTGAGGGACCGCCCGCTTGAAGAATGCCCGCCTGCCAGGAGCATTCGAGCTGAAAGAATCAAATACGGTCCAGATCCTGGATTTGTCACTTGATCCCATGCACGACACTGTTGAATTGACAATGCGTTATTGCTGACTCTTTCAAGCTTTGAAGGCTTTGGCTGGTAATACTATTTTGCTTTATCCTCGAAGATAGCATAGCCAGGGTACTCTTGCCGAGTCGCTACGGGCCAGAAGAAGATCTTTCCCAACACGCCAGCATCTAGTAGTGTCTAGAAATGGAAGCCATCTCAACTGGTCAAAAGAGAAGAGAGAGGGAGACAGAATGGGTTAAGAAAAGCGGCGTGGTCCAGATGTTATGTTTTACATCATGTATGCACTCTGCTTGTAACATATCTTATCTGTTCTCCTCCTTTAAGTCTGCCAGAATAGAAAGGAATACTATAAACAGCTTTTGTCGCCTTGTTTGTGTCAAGAAAAGAGAGAGGTCTGTAAAAGACCAGCGGCAGAATGGGATTTTTGGTCATTACGGGAACTACCACTAAAGTATGTAGCATCATCAGTAAATGCCTGCCACATGGCCACCCAACTAGGCCACTGACCCTTTACAACTTGAAGCCATTTGTGGCGGTCGAGGATTGCGCTCAATCGAGCCTTTGTCTTCAACACGCGGGGATTACCAGTGGCACGAGTCACGTTGGAGCTATTTCTTTGTGAGCCTATTAGACAACAACCCATTTCGTGTCATGAGCAATTCACTGTTAATCCAAGAAAAATCTGGGCGCTTGCTGCCAATAGACTATGATTGCACGCCGTTCTGTCATCATCATGGTGACACTGCTCTTTTCCCTCGTGTCAATTTGCATACTAGACATGAACTTCTCCATGATCATCTCCTTTCGTTTGCTTGCTCTGTGTCACGGTCACGACTTCTCAATTTCCACAAGACACATCACCAAGACTCGTGCTCAAGATGCAGAATCTCTCGCCTTCCCACCGATCTTGTCGTCCACATCTCAATCCTGATGATCTTCAAAACACACATTCTGTACACATACGTACAATGTGCGCGGGTCCGTGTACAGAAGCCCTTAAGGTTGGGGAACTAGAATGTCCTTGTCCTTGTCGACAAGGGATCTTCCAGATGTCCTTGCAGGAACGTAAAGGTCAGTCCCTGCTCCCTCTCAATTCTACAATCCGAGAGGCTAATGAAGAACTAGAAGCTGTCATTCCTCCTCCAATGAGGTGTTTACGCATGGAAACAGTATTGAAGGTTGTAGATGTCCTGGCCTCTGAAAACGTCGTCCTCGTACGTGGGACACCAGCAAGCGGGAAGACAACCCTGTTTGAATATACATTGTTGAATGATTGAGACTACTGGCAGTCATTTCATATTGTACAAGATCTGCCAAATACTAATATTATGATAATGATAATGGTTGTATGGTGCAAATTCCATAATGGCTGTGTTGTTTTGACAAACCGGAGAAAAGAAAATGGGCAATTGAGTTACCTTAGGGACCATGATCGGGTCGATGAACATCTTTCTCGGTTTAAGGAGGGAGGAAAGTATTATCTGTACTGGGTGGAGGATAAAGGGGTCGACAACCAGACAATGATTGACTGCACATGTACATCCATGCATGATATTATCTCTTTTGTGCAGCTGTGTTTTCTTCGTGCCGCTCATGACTTAGCTACTTCGTGACTAGAGACACTTAATGAATCATGAAATAGTATCTTATTGAAGCACGGATGAAGCAAAAAAGCACATATGTAGAACCAAAGGGTATCAGATACATTGATGTTGCGGAAAAAGTGCAAAGAAAGCGAGCGTATATAGGTTCGATCCTGAAATTAGGATCTGCAAGAGACAGGATCATTAAGGCCGGAAAGGATAGATGTTCCCCTTGAGCAGGGTGATAAATATGGTTATAAAGGTAGTCTGCATATCAAGGCTGTTGACCGAGACGTGAATTGAAGAAAACTGAATCTGACTGATTGTAAAGAAGTAAAGGGCTCATTTGCTCGGAGATCGATCAAAATGCTAGACCGACAGCGGAATGGCGATACTCGTAGTACTGGGTAAGCATATCATCAAATACTTCGGGCTCCTGATGCTGTTGCTGTTCACCCTCATGAATTGTGGGATAGGTGTGCTCTTCTGTCACGGTTGGAAAGGTCTGTTTGGGTGAGAATGGACTGCCAAGAGGGAGGTCAAAGTTCCGTGATTCTGTGCTCGATGCTTGCATCGTCGGGGCTACTGTCGTGCCGCTGGCGAGAGACGGGGTAGTCTTGTGCCCTCCGGTAATGTTGGTGATAGTTGATGCGAGCGTAGAGCCGCTCAGCGTCCGCGAGCGTATGCGAAATGGCCCCTTGTCGCTGATTTTGCTCGGGTTGGAAAAAAGAAAGTTCGGCTTGTTGGGTGTCTGAAAGAGCCACTGGGTAACACGTCCCGAGCGGGTTGGGGTTTGATTGGGATTCTCCGATGGTGTGGTTGGGGGTCGGCTTTCGGAGGGAGTAGTAGGTGGGTGATACGTACTGCCTGAAGAAGGTGAATCTTCCTCAGTCGGGATAGAAGGTAAGGGCCTGTCCTGCAGGCTGGGTTTGGTGGGAGTCCTTGGGACCGTGGATGTAGGGGCCTCGTGGGTGTCCCGGTGTAGCTCGTTCCTAGCCAGGGACGTGCTGCCACCACTTAAATCCAGCCTGGGAGTGGTAGAAGGAACCGCACTTGCGGTCAAGCCAGTAACCGCAGAGCTACGTTGTGAAAAATGAGGGATTAAGGGACTGGTGATGGGAGTATTCTTCTCTAACAACTGGAGCTGTTCTTGGGTTGGCAACGAGGATCGACGAGATCCTGACCCGACCGGCTTTCGCGCAAGCTGAAACGAAGAAGAGGGTCGATGAGTCCGCAGTTGCGATATTCGGCCCATCTCGGTGGACGAGAGAGCCCGCGGGGGTCGTGAAATGACCTGCTTCCGGTCGTGGTCGAGAGGGAAGTCTTCAAATCTGGGGAGGTCCGGGAGTCTGTTGCCTGGGGTATTGAAGCTCAACTCCAGCGGACGATACTCATCCAGTTCAGTCAGGAACATGGAGACTCTTCTAAACTCTGAGGGACCACTGATCCTCACGGGAGCAGTTGACTTCCTTTTGAGCGACATGCTAGCTCGATTTGACGCTCGCGATGCCCGGGTCCTGCCCTCAACCACCCATGACTGTAGCGATGATACCCGAGGCTGAGGGCTTGGACTGGGCAAATCATCGTAGTCGGTGAGGTTCATCGGAGGAACGAGATGAGGTTGAGTATGGCATACTCTCATTTCTCGTTCAACACCTGCAAGGGACGACAGTCAGTCCCCATGTCCGAGTGGGAGAAGTGGTAGTAGAGAAAGTATGGGGAAAGCTATACCTTTCTGCTTCATAGCCTGTTGATGATGAAAGCTCTCATCGTCGCCCCTCCCGCTCAGGCAGAACAAGCAGGAAGATATCCAGCCAGTGAATATGGAGCCTGCCTGCTCAATTGCCTGCATCATGGCTGCCAGCGCATCAGCAGTGATGCTCCATCGCCCAGTGGCCAGGGAGGGAGGACTGGGTGGGGACCGGAAGAAAAGGCAGGCAGCAAAGGCGCGAGCAGGCGATGCACGAGGCAGGTCAATGAAACACTAATACGAGACATCCGCCCAGCGGGGATGCAGGAGAATTAAATCGGGGGGTCCGGGAGGGGCCCATGAGGGCGCTGATATGAGAGAGATATTGTGAGAGAGGCTGGGGAAGGTTAAAGTAACAAAGAAAGAGAGAAATAAGCAGGAAGATGAATGAGGGAAGCGGGACAAGAGGATGTGGTGACCAACCATCTCTCCCAAGTGTTCCTTTCCCTCCCCGCGATAAGTTGTGAACAACAGAAAAAGCGGGCGACCTGTTGAGGCTATTGTCCCCTGATCCATCAATAAAGAGCAGATTGGAAGCAGCAGAGCAGCTAACGAGATGGTGCCATGCAGTCCGAGGCACCCGCTAATTTGGCTGGCAACCAATAACCGCCATGAGCCGCCCCTCCTCGACAGCGTGTCGGCTTGTCGATCAGCCATCAAACCATCAACTGATAGCCATGTCACCCCCTCGGCGCCTAATGGATGCGCTCCATTTGCTCGGATCGTTGGTGATGTGTGATCCGGCTAGCAGCAGGTGGGATTCACACTTCACACTCACAGAAAACTCATTAGACGGAAACAAATTTAGATACTCGGTGCCTGACTGCAGTGTCCCTCTTCCCCCAAATCCCGCAACTTTCTCCTGGTTTCATCCTTCACCTCCTGTCTGCTCATATCGATAAAACATTTCACGGTTTCATTCATCTTACATATCCTATGCCTCAAAAATATCTGCAGATGCTCCCCAATATGTAAAGCCACTGGAAAAGGCGGGGATGGGTCTGTGCATGAAGCAAGCTCTCCTCTCCTAGCGATCCCACACATTCTCCTCTTCCAACTCTCCATATGCCCAATTTGGCCGTGTCGTCGGTTCATCATCTCCTGCTCGGTCGGTTGGGCTTGCAGCTCTGGTATTTTCCATCGTGCCATCTGCGCTATTTTCGAGATAGTCTGGCCGTTCATCAACTGGCTCTCCAGAGGGTCTCCTGAATAAAATATTAGTGCTGTTTCATGACGCTGCAGAAAGATGCGATATATGAGATGTTGCAACATACTGGAAGTGCCTCTGCTCGGGTTCCAGCCAGGTCGATCCGAACGCCTTCTGTGTGTGCACTCTTTCTGCTTCCTCTGCTTTGCGATCTTCGACTACCAGGTCCACCAGCTGACTACGCTGGGAGCTGTGGGATATGGATGAGCTAGTTTCCTGACGAACCGTCTGGCGACCGTTGGTGGGTTCCCTGCGAGAACTACGGGTGCTGCCTTCACTGCGTGGGGTGCCCCCGTTACTGTTTATGCGGGACTTTCGGTGCTTCCGCGTCCGTTTCACTGCTCCAGGATTTTGTAGATTTGGTGGGCTTCGGTGGTGTATTTGCCGTTGATCCTCCGGCACTTCGTTGGCTGTGATCACGGGGTACTGATTGCAATTAGCCCATCGGTGTCCTGAAATAGAGCGCCATACAGATTGACCTACATTCCAATCGCCGAATTCAAGAGCGCGTGCATTGGTGAAGAGTCTCTCATCCTCATCATCCAGGCCTATCTCCTCAATGTCACTGTTTGATCGAAAGCGACTTAGTGTGCTGCTTCGTCGATCGCGACTGCTTCCTTCTGACCCTGATAGCAATGGCGTTCGACTGTTAACCTCGCCTGGCTTGGGAATCCAGTACTTTGCTTTCCCCCCACGCTCATACCGCATGCCTTGCATCACTCGCCTGACACGGGAGTTGGACTCGGCGTGGGGGATGATGTGATCACCGGAATCGAAGAGTCTGTATTCGTAGTTTTCTCCTCGAAGGGTCATCTTCGTGTCTTCAATAAGGTCTCGGATTCCAAAGGAATCACGCAGGGCAAACTTCACAGGCAGACGGGCAGCCGAGATGGTGGAGTCGGCGTAGTCATGCCAGGAGAAGGCATACCAGTGGGTAATGGCGAAGAATGGCATCTCGAAGCAGATCAGACTGTCCTGAATCGCAGCGGCGAGGTTGTCGGGAGTGTATCCCGCCACGCCGTTGGATAGAGCGCCCAGCCATTGCAAGATGGACAAGAAAAAGCCTTGCCAGTAAGAAGCAAAAATGATAAGCTTGACACAGAGGAACTTAGGTACCGGACGGAACGGTGCCAGGTCGTTGTGTAAACAGACCCAAAACATGGCTAATGAGTAGAGACTTATGGTCACGCTGACATTGTACACGATACCCGTCCAGAGATACCCCGACGTCAAGCCTAGATAGCCTTCCTGATAGGTGTCCGTCGCTTTCATGACAATAGAGATGATAGCCAGGATTGGCTTCAGCCAGGTATACTGGAGGATACCGCGCTTGACAGCTAAGAAGGTCTGAGGGTCGGAGATGTCCACTTTGGGCAGGATATGGTTTAGTGGCCAAGCGTGTTGAATCGGAGGACGGCCATGAGTCATTATGATCAAGGCTCGCTCGCCTCCAAGAAAGTTGATGAGTAGCTGGAAGAAGGTATAGATTGTGAACGCCTGCAGAGCACCGTAAGCATGTGGCCAGCCAGTCGTCGGCGCGCATAGGTTACCTCGTAGACATCGCGAACGGGGTCCAGCCACATCGCCGCTTTCAAAGATATAATGCTAGCCCAGGAGGAAACCGCATATATAGGGACCCTATTGCAATCAGCATTGCGCCAACAGGGTTGTCAACAAAAGTGGAGACACGGACATCAACAGTATGCGAACAACATATCGCTGGAGGAGTGGTTTTCGATAATTTTTCCTATGCCACAATCAGAGTAGTTCTTGAATGAGATGGAAAGTTTGGATTGCCGTACGTCTGAAGCCATATGGACCTAAGACCGCGATGATCGGTTGCTATCAGCACTTGTACCCTTGGGGGGGCGCCACCAGGGGCAGCGGGGAAGGAGAGCTTGCTCACAGTAGAGACAGAAGTGAAGCTACCAGCGCAGAAACACCAGCGACTATCACCACCGCTCGTGCCAGGCTCGAGCCTGTACCACCGAAGGACGAAGTGCTACTCATGATCAACAAGTTATCAGTATTCGCGGTAGTTGACCGCGTGCGCTTTCAAGGCAGTGTCCGCGGGTAAAGCATTCCGTTTCAGACCATCAGAAATGTCACCAAGCGCCAGACATGATCATCGGACAGGTATAATCGTGGAACTGAAAACTTCCCAAGACCTCCCAAAGCGAAGAGCTCCCTCGCATGACTGGTGGGAGGGAAAGCAAGGTCGTGCGGTGAATATTGCGTGGACATCGGGGGTGGGATCCTTATCCATCAGGCCCATCCCTCCGCTCTAGCTTGAGACACCGCCTACTGACACTTTGTGACTGGTTCCGTGACGGCAGCCTAGTCTGAGCTAAGCTGGTCTAGTGCGCGTCCGCCGCCCGTCCCTCCGTCGGAGCTTCCCCGTCCTCTCCACTCTCTTTTTGTGAACCCAAGCCGCCATTCCAGCCTCAGTTTCAAGAAATCTAGGGCCTTCTTTGCCTTGCTCGATTTTCCTGGAGATACTGTCGCGGATATTCTGTGCTGTTTAACTATGCTTCCCTTCCAATTCCGGCTCTCATTGATGGCGCAGTGATTGTTTCGCAGAGTCACCATGCTCCCGAAGTACATGGGTTCTGGTAGGAGGATATTGCGACATGGCCAGCACAAGCTTGACAGCTTTATCCCTGACACCGGATCCAAGCTTCAACTGGTCAGTTTTGCTGTCGCGTCTCTTCTATAATGACTAATATTCATTCAGGTTCTTCCTCCTTGAGCTCATTGTTTCCTGCATCCTGTGGGTTCTATCCTTTCTCTCCCCTTTCTCTACAATGTGACCCGCTAACGATAATACTTCCCAGCGTATTGTTCTTTCTTCTCTACTTCAACCGCCTCTTTGCGACTCTCTTATCATACGGAATCCGCGCTTATACATGGCATTACTATCGTGCTTATGTCGACATCCGTGCGCTTCAGATCTCCCTATTGGGAGGGAGGGTTTTCTTCAAAGGCATCCGATACCATGGGGTGAACGAAACTATCTTTGTGCATGGGGGCTTTATAACATGGCATTATTGGAGACGCTCTGTGAGGCGAACGGACCTTGCGAATGGTAGACCCGACAATCAACAATCAGAGGATGAACCCCAACAAAATGGAACCACCGGTGCCAGCGCGAGCAACAGTAGCGATCGAGGGGAACAAGGGGGGCTGAAGAGTACGAACTCGCTTCCTTGTCGCATTACTGCCAAACTATACGGTCTGGAGTGGTTTGTGTACAATCGAACTCCAGCCTACGAAGGTATTCTTGCGGGCTTCAGCCCCCCACCGCCCGCGCCATCGTTCACAAGACCGCAGTATCCTGGAAGCAATACTCTGGATTCCCGATTGAAAGATGATACAATGGATGGCTCTGCGGGGCATACTCCTGACCAGGCGTCTGATCTTCATGGCAGTCGTCGTGATAGCGAGATGAAGGAGACGGCTGCGTCTGCGGCTTCAGATGGCAATGGGCAAGAGGTAGGGGAGAGCCTATCGAGATTACTCCGGCTCCTGCCCATAAAGATCGAGTGTGACAAAGGTGCTATTGTCATGGGCAACGAAAATACGAGATCTGTATTAACTGCCATCTTCGATGGCGCCACGGGGTTGATCGAAGCCTGCGATTCTGGTCCCCTCGACCTTTACCGGCAAATGTTTTCCTTTGACTTCACTCACCCGGTCATACAGATGCGACCCAACCCCGACTTTAAGCAAAATCAGATCGCTGCTGCGAAAAGCCTCGGTTCTAGCCGGTCTGAGCAAATGGAAACGAAACGCAAACGTGACACGATCTTCAACTACCAGCTGCAAAAGCGCAGGGTCTGGCACAGTATCCGTGATCTTATCCCGTACTTCCAGACTTCTGTTGAGTCATTCCACGTACATGAGAAAAACCCAGAGGCGGCCCCTAGAAGCTCGGCCGAAATGCCCGATGACACACGCTGGGTTGGTCTTTCTCGATATTTGGATGAAAGCTCCCAGGATGACCACGAAGAGTGGAATCCCGTCGAATATGCCAGGTTTTCCACACTGATTGACAGTCCTAGCATAACTGTGGCATACTACTGGGATATCCCTGGTTGTGTCAAGCCGTCCCCGGGTGTACCGGCACCGGCACCGGCACCTTCAGCTTCGGCATCGAATATCAATGGCGCACCGCCTCCGGAATGGGGTATCGATGTGAAGATTGGCGGCGGCACTATCAATTATGGCCCCTGGGCTGATAGAGAGCGAGTAGGCTTGCAAAACATATTCTTCCCAAACGCCTACAAAAGCTCGC